TTACAAAACTTTCACCTGATAATCCTGAGTTTGCAGAGATTGCTCCATCTAGGAAGGAGGTGGGTTCGATGACGTTTATGTCCGGTCTTCTGGGCCGAACAGTAGGTGGGGCATACTTGAAATGCCCCGGGTCGTTATGATAAGTAGAACAACACAACAAACAGAATGTTTTCTGACCAGATTTCGCACACTCTGTATGTTTGTGCGGTTGTCCGCAGTAACGACATTGAAGTTCTCTGCAGTCTTTCAAGAGGTGGTCAGCTGAACACCTGTAACACACAAGCCTCTTCTTCTCTCTTGATTGCATGGCAATCACGTGCAGGCTCTGTTGATGCTGAGGAACTTTTATCCGCGTTCAAAATTGCTTAATCGAATCGCATAGATTCGACCAACTAAAGGGAATCTGTATAACTATTGATGCAGCTAACTTTGACAGCTTCGAAGACTCCAATCTTTCACATATCTTCTTCATGATGAGCGACACCTGAGACATGTTCCAGTTAGAGGAGTTTCCATAAGCTTCTTCTCCCGCATCTTTAACTCTTTCAAGATAATTTTGCACACTTTCTGAAGCAGATTGCTTGATGCCCTCGTACAAGAGCATAATCGCTAAATCGCGCAAATCAGGTGAATGGACGATAGTGGTTATTACTTGGAGAAGATTGACAAATGAGTAAGATTCATCATTCGCATCATCTCCCACTCCTAGCACAGTCAGGCGGTTCTTCAGGGATAAGGAACACGAGTTATAAATCACTGCTATCCGCCCAATGCGGGAGTTAATGAAATTCTTATCGTATAGATCAGTGAAGTGGGCTATCCAGTGTTTCAGGGATTGCAGAGAAAAATCCTGAACTTTGATATGCTCTAAGGCTCTAGATACTATCTTGGCTTCAGCATCAGAAATCTTGCTCCACGGCATGCTGGCACCTGGTTCGATTGCAGGAATTGGCTGGGTCTTGAGGATTCCCTTGAGCTTGAGTTTATCCTGTTTCTGTGCTTCTCCCACTCTAGCTTCGTGGTTCAGCTTTCTCTCCAGGGTCTGCTTGACGGAGTTGTCGAGGTTAGGAACAGACTCCAATGCATCGCAAAATTTTTCAATTTGTTCTTCCACGGGATCACGTTGCTGGGGAAGGAAGGTGTCCTTGAGCCACCTTATGAACCATCTTGGCCTCTCCCCGTTCTCCTCTTGCTCCATGACGTCGTTATTCATCCTAGGCAAGAAAGAGCATGTAGTTTTATTGTTATGAACAATTCTATTCGAAAAAACATCGTGTCTATCCGTCCACTACCCATTTTAACTTAAATCCCCGTCAATCTAACTATCGTCGGTCTGTCACAAGCATAAGAGCATGTTGAAAGCCAATACGCCATTGTCGAAAAGAAAATTAGTGAAATTTTGACACAATTGAAAAAAAATAATCGAAGGAAATTACCTCAGAACAAAATTAATAGTCACGAATTCAAATTCACAAAGGCGAGTTTAGTATAGAACTGAGGCGGGTTTAGTTGGCGTCGGTTTTCAATGCCGCGTTCTGCGCATGCTCTACCGGCAGATTTCTAGCATTCCGACTAGGGTGCGTCGGAATGTTCGAAAACTGTTTCGCTGAATATAAAGAAACAAGGTTGTTGCTAATTTAGTAAGGAATCCAATTTTTCAAGCATGTCACCATTTAATATATGAATAAAAACGAAATGCAACTCAACCAAATTTCTAATATTCAGAGATACGGTATTCAATATTTATTATTAACATGAGAAACGAATAATAGGTAAAAACTAAATGATACAATACGAATTATACAAACTAATTATGAGCAAACAGGATCAACGTGGATTCAATCAACTACTTCTCCTCCTTCCTTCTCAATCTCCTGATCCTGATAGACTGATCATTCTTGCACGATTTTCTCCATCCTAGGTTTGCATTTAACCCTAGCTACCCCGGGGTTGGTCCGCCCCCTCCCCAACGCTTGGGTCTTCAAGATAACGGAAAATTCGGCGTCGCTTGGGTTATTTATAGAATCCAAATGCAAACTTAAATAAATCCGTTAGGATTCAAAATAGGATTCAAAAGTTCAACTGTAGGGTAAAACATGGGGGGGGGGAAGGGGCATGATGCCCCTAGGTAGCTATGGTCTCAGTGATCCAAAAAATCCTTGAATCACTGATCGTAAAAGATCAACAAAATCGCCCATTGTTACAGTACACTTGTAAACCTAGAAAAACGACACATTTCAATATTATTGATTGATTATATAAAGTCTTCAAGTGTATTGTTGTGTCACTATAATTGGTTCCCGGAATTCCCAAAAATAAGTAGACTTTTTCTAAAATATTTATGTCCTGGCTTTTTCAATCTAAAATTTAAGGCCGGCTAAAAACCTTCTCTAGATAAAGAGAAAAATTCAGTCCAAAAACTTTATAGACCTGCAAACCATAATAATTGGGTGATACAAATATATTGAAATGTTCATGTATCTACTTATTAGAATTCAAGTGTTAAGTTTTTTCCGTAATATATAATACTAGCTAGAGTTCCCGACGTTGCCCAGGTTTATATTATTTTGTACTTATCGTTACTCCCGCCGTTTACCCGCGCGTGGTATTAAATTATGATTTTATTTTGAGTGCCCGTGGAATTTCAATGATATTATTTTCAGTTTTGAACTGTGGCTGAAAGTCGCCATTTTTCATCGTTCTAAAAATGTTGGGCATTTTTTTGTTTAAATTGGTGCATTTTCAAGGTAAAAACTTTCCCAGAGCTAAGATTTTAAAAGTAATGCATAATCAACACAATATCATGCTTTGGGAATCCCCAGTCTAGATATCTATGATCCCAAGTCTTAGGTTGTCTTCTGATTGGTTCTGATTCGACCAATGAGAGACTGATTAAAAGGCTTTCTCTGCATTTTGACACAGATAATTTATAAGATTTCAAATGTAAAATTATAGTTTTTATGAAATTTACATATTTGGCTTTACTACGGACCGAGTCTAAGAAGAGATATTGGGTTTACATAAAATAAAGTCTAGCTAAAACTCGAGTCTTCACTTGGTCCTTATATGGACGTAAATAGGTAGTAAAGTCTGTTTTTGCTTTGTTTAAAGTCTTTTAAATCTCCGCTTTGGATTCATGTGAGGCCGACAAATCGGTTCAGCCTTTTGTACGTTTATTGGATACAAACAAACAAACGCCAGGACAGACAGACAGAAAAGCAAAGTATATATAAATGAATGATATAGATTGACAGAAGATATCATAAATAATATTTGCGCTAAAAATAATATTTTAAAGATTTTATAGCGTGTTATTGAGAGTGTGGGGGGGGGGATTAACACCATTCAACTAAAAATGTAAAATAAAATGTTGATTATTTTCAAACTATTGTAAAAGTTATAAATAAGAGAAATGTGAGGCACAAAATATAATTTATCACCTCTCTTGTAGGGACAGTTCAATGAAATGGTTTAAAGGGACTGTAAGCGTAATTTCAAGTGACCCTTTATGCAATGATGGCGATGTCCGATTTACAACAGTACCCTTTAAACCTTAATCTGGTCAAAAATATGGAACGTCGCCCCGCTGAGTGTTCAGGCCAATATTTTTGTGGTGGCTCATGTGACCCCATAGAAGGTTCAAGGGTGGTCGAAAGTCAAAAGTTTTGCCTGAACGCGTCATTATTCTGACTCAAAAAGTGTTTATTTCTGTTCGTTTCCCCTTATATGGCTTCTTTAAGTCAAAAACATGCATATCTAATTCATACTTGATCAGACAAAGCTTTCAAGGGTAACGTTGTGTTTCTCATTTAATTATGATAATTTATAAAAATCATCTTTGATTTCTGAAAACTAATAAATAACCTATATAGATGATTGTGGAGAATATAGATCACATTTTTGAAAGCCCAGATTTCTGCATCAGTATTTATACAAAATGTATCTTCCATTAGAGCTATAGCTATAAAAGATTTTAAAGTTTTTGTGTTTTGTGTTTCTCTTAGATTTTAAGTAGTTGTCTTTACCATCAGGGATACCTTTACCATACCTTGCAGGGATACCTTTACCATACCTTGCAGGGATACCTTTACCATACCTTGCAGATATACCTTTACCATACCTTGCAGATATACCTTTACCATACCTTGCAGGGATACCTTTGCCATACCTTGCAGGGATAACTAAAATTGAGAGATCAAACACAATTCTTTCTTAACATTCTAGTGGAAATCTAGATCAAGCGATGTAGGTTAGAGCACTAATTTACTCAAAAGTTTTGATCTCAGATTTCAGATTGTAGGTTATTATCTTATTAATTGTATTTATTCTTTACAGCGTCGTGAACACCAGAACTTAATTAATTCAAATATTTTCCAAGGATCCGGGTGCAACGGATAATAAATCTATTTAATTGATTAATTGATTATGAATGGTAAATTTATAGACGTAGTTTTAATATTTCTGTTTATCATTAAATTAACTACAGTTTCCGAACGTATTAAAGTTTGTGTATAATCGAAAAAAATTATTTTAGTGGGAAGACCCACATTTTGTGTCGAAAACATTTTGTAAGGTTTTTTAATATCTGGAAACTCCCTATTTTGTAGAATATCCTTTCGACTTTAGATTTTTCTCACTAGAAACATCAGACCCAAAAAACTCGCAAAAAATGAAGATTAACATTTAAATATTTAATGCTTTTGAATAGTTAAAATTGTTTGTAATCATTAATTTGGTATTTTTTGACACAAAGTGAATCCTTACTTTATATAGGGCGTGAATATCTTAGCTATGTTCTTCATTTAAAGGGACGGTATATGCATAATTTCAAGTTACACTCCCTGCAAAGATGGGTATGCTCAATTCACAAAGGTACCCTTAAAAGCTTTATCTGATCAAGTATGAATTATTTATAAATGTTTTAATTTGCATTGCCATCTTTTATAGGGGAGTTACATTAAATTACGCTTACAGTCCCTTTAGCTGTTTATCTATCTATCTGGCTATATAACTAATCTTTATTAAGTTAAAATCATTACAAATACTAATTTTCTTAAATTTTGTCAAATCAAGTATCGAGCATATGCTGGTGCTATTGAGAGAAAGGTATGAAGCACAGTGGAGCAAGGTTGGGACTATTGAGAGAAAGGTATGAAGCACAGTGGAGCAAGGTTGGGACTTTGACGATCACAGTTTTCATCGTACCAGAAATATTCTAGAATTAAACAAATTAAAACGAACATTTTATCAAAATTTTCTCATTTAATACGACTGCTAAGAAATATGTATATATTTATATCTTTAGCCTGTCTGGACTCCGGTTGTCGTTTTTTCAATTAACGTCAAAACGGCTGAACCGATCGGGTTCGGAATTTTGTAGAATATCTCAATCTATAAATTTTTTAATTTTCAATTTTTTTTAGGAAATTTACTTAAAAATCAAGGAAAAGCTAGGAAATTTTTTAGTTTTATAATGTAGGAAAACAATATAGTGGACTTCTTGTCCACTATATTTTTATTACAAGAAAACTGTAAATATATCAAAACCCTTTTGCCCAAACTAACATATGAAAACAAGATTTAGAACTTGCGACTCAGGATTCTTTTTCGAAATATTTTAAGAATTGCCATGCAATATTTTTAATGAATTTATTTGATTGTTTTGTCTTCAGACGGTTTTCTAAAACAGCGTGTACCGTACCTGTCTAGTTCGTACCGTACCTGATCCCATGTACACACAGTCGGCATGGTTGTATTGATCAGGATATGTAGGACGGCTAGGTCCCCAGTTTCTGTATGTACTGTAGTTCTCGTTAGACCAGCGGAACCTATTGATAGAAGCATCAAAGCAAACATTGTCCAGAGTTGGAAACTTTTATGTTGAATACTCATAATCCCGAGCGCTTGATGATCTCGATAGCCACAGTAGACACTTTTAATTTGAGTACAATCTCTTCATTCAGTTTCTTCTTCAAGGTACGACTATTATGCGGGATATCGAAAAAAGATTAAATTAATCTGCAGGTTAACAAAAGATTGAGATCATGCATAGATCCACAATAGAAGAGTTCCTAGCTAAAAAAAAACGATAATTATACGTTTATAAAATATAGGTAAAAGAGGGTCTATTTTAATCTAGTTTTCGTTAAATTTTCTTAACTACCGAGATTAGATATCTTTGTTAGTTTTTTTGATGTAGCTAAAATTGAAATCTATATATAAATTTAGCTTGTCTGTTTGTTTGTATCCAATAAACGTCAAAACGGCTGAACAGATCGGGCCCAAATTTTTTGTTGTTGCTAAAAATTAAATATTTTAAATTAAACAATCTTTTTCTCCTGTCTTAGGTTTTATTCATAGATTTTCTCAGTTGGTAAAGTTCATTTTATTCTAGTTAATTTATTCTATAAAAAAAAATATTTTCTTTTTTTGTCGCATATAGGACAGGGGCTAAAAAAATCTTTCACTATAATATATTTTTACTTTGAAATAAATTTTACTGTGATATGACTTCCATGCAATATTCTTTGGTATCAATTGAACAAATTTTGGGAGAAGATTTATTCACTAACTGTCATGTTTCGTGAGACACCCTGTATCAAAAAAAGAATTGTGGTTAAACGAATATATATTTCTACTTACTCTCCCTCGTGACCAATATCGTTCAGTGCTAGCCACCAATCATATTTTCCTAAATAGAAACAATTTTATTATAATAATTCTTTTTTAAATGGAATTATTCTTCAAATACAAAATACTGACCAATGATATTTTCTTCAAACTGTAAAATACTTTTCAAAAAATCCTAAACAATCATTGTTAATCAAGCATGCATGAAATATCAATCATATATATCTTCCGCTTAATTGATCAGATACAGGGTATCGGCGTGAATCAGACAGGCCCATCCTTGAAATTACAACGACACAGTCCTTTTTAATTTAAGAAACATTCTTTTTTTAACAGTTTCAGAATTTACAATAAAATTTGAACCCTTTCCGCGAGATGCTTTTTTGCTTTTAACAGCATTTTTATAATTTGCTAGTTAATGTTTTCTTAATTTGCAAACAAACATATGCTGAGTGCTGACACAATTTTCAAATCAGAATATTTACCTGGACAGAGGGATCATAGATTTCTGCCAGAACCCCACCCACCTCTTCACAAACCTATATTTGATTGATGCTATCAAGGTTATCATGCAAGAAAACTTATTGTTGAGGTGTACGCATCTTTTGTACTGCAGTGTACTGTCTCTGGGCGGTAATGTAAACACAAGACGGATGTCGAATCCTGACATGAGATCCATCTTTCACATAAAAAATCAATGAAATATTCTGGTCATAGGAAACTATTATGTAAATTAACAAAATTATCAAAAATTAATGCTTTTATCCTCCTCGGATACTAAACAAACACTGATGCATCTATTCTTGTTTACAAATTTCGCCCAGAGATAGCTGGTTTCAATATGTGAGCAACTGAGTATACGCAACTGCAATTAACTTTCCTTGCATTATAACCTTGGATGCCTAGGGTATTTTACGGGAACATTATTACATGCTCAATGTGGTGAAAATGGTTTCTAAAAGTAATTGCTTTAGATTTAGTTTTTAAGAAGTAATGGGGAAAATGTTCTTCATTAATTGTCTACTGCGTGAGAGCTTGCAACCCTTGGATCACCGTGAAGGACGTATATAGGATTTNCCCCCCCCCCCTCACAGCTTTCTAATTTATATTTTACAAAATAAAATAATACTTATTAATAGTATTTGTCTATATAGTGAAGAACCTGAGTAGCCTGTAACCAGTTAACACCGGTTGCCTGATGAATAGGTAGGAAGCATCCTGAATACAAGCCATTAATCCATCCTTCAGGACAACCAGCTGTTGTTGTAGTTCCTGTAGTTGTTGTTGAATATCCTGTAACTGCAGTTGGATATCTTGTGGTGGTAGTATATGGATATGTCGTAGTTGTAGTTGGATATCTTGTGGTTGTAGTATATGGATATCCCGTAGTTGTTGTGGATGTTGATGTAGATGATTGATTTTGCGCGGATGAATTATTCAGTGTCAGTATAAGAATTGAAAAAACTAGAGTCCGTCCCATCATGTTGCAGAGAAAAGGTTTTCTACAAGAATTTTCGTTAACTGGGGGACTTTATCTTTCTTTATATGTTTGTTTAGAAGATAATATTAGCTGTTTCCACTGTAATTCAGATGCATAATATGTATCATTCATTAAGTCTTCGATTTTTCCATTTTTTTACGATTGGAGGTTTCTGAATTATGCACAGATTTAGTCAGGCTCATGTTTTTTAGTCAATATATATGTTTAACATATGTATTTTCCGAACTATATATGATTGTTAATCTCATATTCTAGATTGTATATTTCCGAACTATATATGATTGTTAATCTCATATTCTAGATTTTGTATTTTCCGAACTATATATGATTGTTTATATTATGATAATAACAATAACTGCGTCATTAAATTAATTTAATTCGTATCACAGGAAAACAATTTGATAAATACTGTAGATTACTGACTATAATATTAAACCTTTTATTGTAATCGGGATTTGAAACAATTGATATAATAATAATGATAATTTTGATTAGAAATAATAACAACCATGTTTTGAAGAAGGGTATAAAATCTACTATTCATTACTAATGCTACACCCCTGCACTCTATAATTGTAAAATCTCATTTAATTTGTTTTTATTAAAATCAGATTCTAATTTCTTAAACTCAGATTATGGATTTTTTAATTCAGATTCTAGATTGTTAAACTCATAATATAGATTGTTAAACTCATATTCTAGATTGTTCAACTCATATTTTAGATTTTTTAAATCATATTCTAGATTGTTAAACACATATTCTAGATTGTTAAACTCATATTCTAGATTGTTTATCTCATATTCTAGATTGTTAATTTCATATTCTAGATTGTTTCACTCATACTTTAGAATGTTAATCTCATTTTCTAGATTGTTAAACTAATATTCTAGATTGCTAATCTCATATTCTATAGATTTTTAAATTCATATTCTAGATTGTTAAATTCATATTCTAGATTGTTAAACTCATATTTTAGATTTTTTAAATCATATTCTAGAATGTTAAACTCATATTTTAGATTGTTAAACTAATATTCTAGATTGTTAAACTAATATTCTAGATTGTTAATTTCGTATTCTAGATTGTTTAACTCATACTCTAGAATGTTAATCTCATTTTCTAGATTGATGAACTCAGATTCTAAATTATCGAACTAAGATTCTAAATTGTAGAACTCAGATTCTAAATTGTTAAACTCAGATTCTAAATTATTGTATCCGTGAATCCTTTTATTCAGCTTCTAGATAAAAAAAAAGTTTTATTCAAATCTTTAAATTTCTATTTATTATTATATTCAATTTCTTTAGTTCAAAGCATCTAAAAATAAACGAATACAACACACAGTACATATGTTTACTCAATGTTTCAATGATTTCCTCCAAAGTATAAGTAAAGCTAGAGCATGAAAGAGGAATGCCATGAGTATAAGAATAGTCAGCTGGTTATCTTGAGATATAAAGTTTAGATCTTGATGAAGTTCTCCTTGAACTACTTCTACTCCAGTTCTAAAAATTATATTGAATATTTAAGATATAATTCATAATTTATATTTTATGTAAATATAAAATACTAGAAATTCCAGGCGCTTCGCGCCCTTCTTTCTAGCCTTAGAGGGCGCTTCGCGCCCATCTTCTAAATTAATTGTGAACGTGTTCTCTTTGTGTACATCGTAAAACAAAACAAAAATAATTCGCGGATTTTCACAAAAAATTTCGCGGATTTTCAAAATTTTAAAAATTTAATGACGATCGAATTTTGATGGAGACAAATATTTGAAATTTTGATCATTCATAAACCTTCCCTGGAGTCCCTAGATGTCCCACAAAAAATTTGGGCCCGATCGGTTCAGCCGTTTTGACGTTTATTGGATACAAACAGACAGACAGACAAGCCAAATTTATATATAGATATATTACTTGCATGACGTTTGGTCAAGTTTCCTCCAATCATCAGGTAATCTTCTACAGGATACATTATATTCATCAATCCATTGATTATACAGTAAACCAGTAGATGCATAATGGTTTAACGTAAAAAATCTAAAAAAAAATAAATAAAAGTTATCAAGCATAAAAAGATGCAGATTGCTATGGTAATTTGTATACATTGTGTCGCATCATCTTGGCTTTTAATTTTACCTCACCAACTCAATATTATACATCAACATTTTACCTTAACACCTCTACAGCATATGTTTTGGCAAAGTTTTTAGCAATTTTTGCATAAGATCTTGCAACATTTGGATCACATGTGAGTGTGTGATAAGCGAAAACGAAAACAGGATTAATTTTTGGACTTTAGGAAAAAAAACCTTTTTGTTTTCCAAATAATTGTTCAAGTAAGAGGAATTATGATTGATAATAATCCCCCCTGGCCTTCTTTACCTAGTATAATAGAACCATGAGTCTGAATCCTGTTTATGCATGAACCCACTATGAACTATATTTAGAACTATGTATAGATAGTTTATATAGTTGGAGTAGGAATCTGTTAAACAAGCTACACCCAGTGCAAATCCTGCAAATACAAACATTGTAAAAAACCGAGTCCGAATTTACATAATTTGAGCTGTTTTACTAAACTACATATATTGCCAGTTCAAATTTTACCACTAATTATAATTAAAGATTAAAGGGACTGAACTATGAATTTGGAACGAATCTGATAACCCAGAGTTGTCTAAAAATTTATGTCAGCTCCTATATTTGAATATAATACTTGTTCATTTTTAATAGATATCATTGATTGTATGCTTTTAACATCTGTATCACATTCACATGACCAGCTTTTTCACCAATGGCAGTTCAGTATCTGTCACGTGGCTTCGTTTGTACCAAATGATCAGAATTTCCACCAATGGCCATGCCGTATCTGGTTACATTGCTACATCGACTATATTACATAAATGATAACTTGGACACAGATTTATATCAATTTCTCCAGACAGGGACATCAGATAGAACTATTATTGGTCGAGATCAACGGCTAAAATGTATAGGCTTTAGACTATATCCCCTTTCATTTTACAGTCCCTTTAAGGAATGGTTTGAATCGGTCATTCAAATTTGAACCAGCGCGGCGTGGCGGTAGGCAGTTCAAATTCATACATGTAATTTACCTTTAACTCCAACATGGAAAATGAAGACAAGAAGAACTCCTTGTAGAAATCTTACAACAGATTCATTCATGCCTATTAGGTGAAGAACATTATATGTACTATGTATATCAATCTATAATCAGAATTCTAACAAATAGTTTTAGCTTGACCTTCTGTATTACATCTTTAATAAAAATGATATACTACCCAATCCCTGAGTTTATCCATACCTGACATCCAGTATACAAGAGATATTACCTGACATCCAGTATACAAGAGCAAAGTTAAGGAAAACAAGGAACAATGAGAACGGGAGATCAATCAATACTTTACTAGATAGAGAATAGATATTTACATCTAATCAATCAATTCGTCTAGTAAGTTTATTTTTGTCAATAATAAATATTTTTTTTCTGTAGAATGATTGTTAAAAATGGCAGCAGTTCAGTATTTAAAAATACTTCTACGATTAATATTTAATTTAAAATCATCCAATACTCGTTACTTATAAATCAGTGTATTTTATCCATTATTTTAAAATACTAAAATATTACCTGAGATAGAAAATATAAGGTTTATATAATCCGTTCATGGATTCACGTTTATAGATTATTAGAGCATTACTCATATCATTACTCAGATCCAACACTCTAAACAATATACAATTACTCAGATCCAGTACTCTAAACAATATAATTACTCAGATCTAGTACTCTAAACAATATAATTACTCAGATCTAGTACTCTAAACAATATACAATTACTCAGATCCAGTACTCTAAACATTATGATTACTCAGATCCAGTACTCTAAACAATATAATTACTCAGAAATAGTACTCTAAACAATATACAATTACTCAGATCCAGTACTCTAAACATTATAATTACTCAGATCCAGTACTCTAAACATTATAATTACTCAGATCTAGTACACTAAACAATATAATTACTCAGATCTAGTACGCTATACAATATAGTTACTCAGATCTAGTACTCTAAACAATATAATTACTCAGATCTAGTACTCTAAACAATATAATTACTCAGATCTAGTACTAAACAATTTAATTACTCAAATCTAGTGCTATAAACAATTTAAATACTTAGATCTAGTACTCTAAGCAATTTAATTACTCAGATTACTCTAAACAATATACAATTACTCAGATCCAGTACTCTCAACAATAAAATTACTTATATCTAGTACTCTAAACAATATAATTACTAAGATCTACAGTACTTTAAGCAATATAATTGCACATATCCAGTAAACTAAACAATATAGTTACTTAGATCCAATGCTCTAAACAATACATAATTACTCAGATCTAGTACTCTAAGCAATATCATTACTCAGATCTAGTACTATAAGCAATATAATTACTCAGATCCAAAAAACTAAACAATATAATTACTCAGATCCAATAAACTAAACAATATAATTACTCAGATTCAATACTCTAAACAATACATGATTACGCAGATCTAGTGCTCTAAACAATATAATTACTCAGATGTAGTACTATAAGCAATATAATTACTCAGATCCAGTACACTAAACAATATAATTACTCAGATCTAGTATTCTAAACAATGTAAATACTCAGATTCAGTACCCTCTAAACAATATTATTACTCAGATACATACTCTCTAAAAAATATTATTACTCAGATTCAGTATTCTCTAAACAATATTATTACCCAGATCCAGTACTCTCTAAAATTACCCAGATCCAGTATTCTCTAAACAATATTATTACTCAGATATATACTCTCTAAACAATATTATTACTCAGATCCATACTCTCTAAACAATATTATTACTCAGATCCAGTACTCTCTAAACAATAATATTACTCAGATCCAGTACTCTCTAAACAATATTATTACCCAGATCCAGTACCCTCTAAACAATATTATTACTCAGATCCAGTACTCTCTAAACAATATTATTACTTAGATCCAGTGCTCTCTAAACAATATTATTACCCAGATCCAGTACTCTCTAAACAATATTATTACTCAGATCCAGTATTCTCTAAACAATATTATTACTCAGATACATACTCTCTAAACAATATTATTACTCAGATCCAGTACTTTCTAAACAATATTATTACTCAGATCCAGTACTCTCTAAACAATATTATTACTCAGATCCAGTACCCTCTAAACAATATTACTACTTAGACTGTAAGCAAATCATAACTCTGCACTGGTGAGATTTAAGCTGCACTGAATTAGATAAAACCTATTTTTTTTTAAATCTTGGGATTTGACTTATGATAAATTGGTTACACTAGGAATGAATAAGTCTGATTAACTGTGTTTAAATGAAAGGTTCCCAGATTTTATATTTGTACTTTATATTCTGTATTTTTTATTCACCTTAATATTTCCATTACAAGAATAACGAAGATTAGAGCATTAATATTATTAACGCTATCCTCACTATTATCCTGATCAAGGAATATACTCCCAATGATAGATCCAATAAAGAGTGTAATGTATAGATCAACTCTGTATCCTCCATCTCCTCTAAATATTTAAAAATGTTCATTTATCTCAGTAATATTTTTCTACATTAAAAAATTAAAAACATAAATGAAGCAAATGATTTTAAGCTTCATTTAACGTGTTTGAATACTGAAAGGCCTCAAAAAAATGTTACATTAAATATAACCTTAGTTTTGAATCCGCTGATCTGAAGAGTAGACCTTTGAACTGCTCCCAACTACTAAAAATGAAAGATAAATTTGGAGGAATGTTCTGTGTTTTAAATAACTTGAATTTTCAATATTTTGTCTAAACCTTTCACAAAATTTATCTGTTCGAGTAAGATTTATTTCCTCAGGGAATTGTTTAAAGTCTGCCTCCTCTATCTCTTGCTGAAGCTCCGCCTTGTTTTTAGAATAAACAGCTGATGTGATGTACATGTTGGTTATATAGTTAGATTTACCCATGGTGGATAAACAGGACGTATACCAGTCTACAGGACTGTATAAGGCAGGGACTGGATGTCCTATATCCTTAAAGAACTGATTAGTCTCCTCCATGCTACCAAAGAATGGAACCTGACCGTATCCAAGGAGCATAACTTTGTCAAACAAGGAGAATATTGATGAGGATGGTTGATGGATGGTTGTCAGAATTATTTTACCCTGGCTAGCTAGATTCCGCAGAACAGTTAATACCTTAACAAGAATTTAACTAATTAATGTAGTTTGAAGATAAAATCATTCATTTTCCTTTCTTAGTTATTCACAAATAAAAATAAAGTTTTGAGTGAAAGTAAAATTAAGAAATATTCACCATGTTCTTTTTATCTGAATTGATCCTAGTTTACAAAATCTAACTTTAAAAAAGAGTTGCTCCTCTAAAGTCTGGCGAAGAAAAATGAGAAGTTATTCTTATAAATGATCTTATATTAAAGATACTTTAGTTACTTGAATTTCACATGCTTAAACCCCATTCATAATATATTTAGAAAATTTGTTGACAAGATTTCAACATTATTATTATAGTTAATACACCAAAAAAACAAATTGCAAAGTGCACAATATATTGCATATACCAGAATGATTTTCAAACTTTAATATTAAATATGCAGTAATTATAGAAAAGATATACAAATGAACAAAGGAATTGAATCTTGGCCACAATCTCAAATTTGTAATCCCTTTATCTTTGCAACCTTATAGCGTGAACCTTTGATAATTAAAAAATATATATATTTTGAGTTTGTGGTGAAGACTCAATTCCATAGTTTTCAGGATAGATAAATTAGTTCTAAGGTTAATTCTTTACTCACATAAAAAGTTCATGCATAAAATAAGTATGATATATAAAATAGTATGTTTAAACCCTACTTGATCTGAGTTGAATGAATCTAGACTAGTTGTTGGTTCATCACAGAACATTATTGGAGGATTTGTTAATACTTCAGAAGCAAAGGATAATCTTTTTCTCTCTCCTCCAGACAAACCTTAATATTATTTTTTTAGAAACCTTTGGAACTAAAATTCATTGATGGAAATACCTTCGTTTCTCCTTCCGATAATAGTGTCCTTACACTTCATCAAACCCAGCTCAAGAATTACCTAAACATTTTCAAATTAATAAGACTTGGATAAAAATATTGTGCTTCTTCGATAATCTATCTAAATATATTAAGTAGTAATCTCTGTTTGTTTGTTTGTATGTCCGATCATAACTTAAGAACCCTTTGACCGATTTTCCTCAAATTTTGAATTAATGAGCTTTGTAGAACCAATGGAATGTTCTTAGCTTGGTTTACAAATTTGAAGTTGATCGGGTTAACTTTGATAGAGAAAGTTCAGTTTCCAGACAAAGCTGGGTTCCAAGCTAGTTTGATAATATTATACCTCCTCTACTCGTTTAGTTCTTATTTTATCTGCTACAAGACCCCCCATCCGTAGAATAGATTGATACTCTAGATGTTCTCCTGGAGTCAAATGCTCAAGGAACAGATCTTCCTGTGCACAAATCATATTTACAATATTGATCTATAGTATTATAGCATTACAAAGATAGAACATACAAGATTATAATTGTATTTGCCAAAGAAATACATATTACAAATTTTTCGTGAACAATGGTGACGTTCAGGAATAAACGAACAAGGGATTAACGACTTGGAGAAATGAAAAAGACGATTTAAATTCGTTCTAACTAACTTGAGAAAACGATAGTTTTTTACTGAACGAATAAATTTTCCAATAGATATTGACAATAACGATCGTTTTTCACTCAACGAACGATTTTATTGAACAAACAATCTTACTGAACGAACGATTTTACTGAACGAACAATTTTAATGAACGAACAATTTTACGGAACAATCGTTCACTGAGAAAACGACCGTAAAAGATGGAAAATGAATGATAATTTTGAGAACGAACGAAATACTTTTATTTTTTGAACGACCGAAAAAAACCGAACGTTCATGAACAACAAGCTAACGAAATGGAAAAAGCCGAACGCGTCTATCTCTAATTACACAGTAATAGTTGGTTGATTGTTTATTTCGAAATCTATCTATAATACAAGTTACAACCAAAACACTTTGTTACAACTATTACAATCAATAATAAAATATAAACTAAGAGATTACATATAAACTCTGTTGATTTTTGCAATGTTTAAAAAGCATAATTACTTAGTTATCAGAGCTAAGCTTAGTAAAACCATATTTTTGGTGGTTAATTTAATATTAAAGGGACTGTAAGCGTAATTTCAAGTGACCCTTCATGGAAAGCTGGCAACGCCCGATTTACAACGGTGCCCTTAAAAGCTTTGTCTGATTAAACATGAATACAGAAACAATCTCAAGAACTGACGAGGGTCAACCCAGACCGAAATATATTTTCAATAAATGTAAACTATTATCTACTTTTTTACTCTACAGAGGTTTGGTCCATCACCATCACCGAATTTTATATATCCATGTTTTGGTTTCTTTAAACTGTTTTTTTCATTTGCGGTTTCTCTGCGAAAGTAACTTGCATTTTTGGTCAGATTAAGGTTTCCAGGGTACCGTTATAAATCGGACATTGCTATCTTTGCATGAAATCATGCTTACAATCCCTTAAAGCATGATGATATATAACCTGGTTTACGTAAGCTGAGATCCCCTTCATCTGTTTTTTATCTACCTCGATACCGTTTATATAACGAGATCCTTCAAGTTCTATTCCAACTCCATGGTTAAATACCAGGGCATCAAGGAATAAGGATTTACCTTAGCAATTATGTATATAGAGGCAAGTAAGATAGAAACTCATATTGATAAGGAAAATAATTTGTATCTAGAAATAAATAAAAATAATATTGTTATGAATCCTATTAATGATGATTATCTTCTCTATATATTTAAAGATGAAATCTCTGTTTGACTGTCTGTGTGTATGTCCGATCATGACTCATGCATGTCTGATTCATGTTGGCACCCGAAAAAGCTTTGTCTGATCATTGAACAAGTATAATTTATATATCCATGTCTATAATTTTCAAAACTTATTAGTTTCAATATTTGGTTTCTCTACAAATGTAATTGGTGCATTACTATTGTAAAAAAATTGGAGTGATTATCAGAATTAAACACGTTCCAAGATAAAAACGACATTTTCTTCTACATTAATGTTGAGATATAGGTTTCATGTTCAGAATCGTGCATGGTCCTCTTTAAATAATGGGTCATTTAGAATTGCAAGAAACGTCCCTTGAATAAGTAGATTATCAAACAGATTATTAATCAAAATTCATTTAATACTGGGAAAAACTGGTTAGAGACTGAAACTGCACATTAGGTATTTACTTGCTTTTACATTTAAAAAATCATAGTTCATTTCCCTTTAGTCTCAGATCTGAAAATGGGGAACCATTTCTGATAAATATATTATATTTAAAAAATCATAGTTCATTTCCCTTCAGTCTCAGATCTGAAAATGGGGAACCATTTCTGATAAATATATTATGTTTAAAAAATCATAGTTCATTTCCCTTTAGTCTCAGATTTGAACATGGGGAACCATTCCTTTGAAATATATTATGTTTAAAAAATCATAGTTCATTTCCCTTTAGTCTCAGATTTGAACATGGGGAACCATTTCTGATAAATATATTATGTTTAAAAAATCATAGTTCATTTCCCTTTAGTCTCAGATCTGAACATGAGGAATCATTCCTTTGAAATATATTACATTTAAAATATATTATATTCATAGTGCAGTAATTTGTATTTTTAATTCATCCTTTTATCGCATTTTTATATTGATAATAAATGTACTTAATTTTATGGAAATGCATGGTTAAGTCTGTATATACCTGATCCACTAGGCCCAATGATTGCCACCAGCTCTGTAGTTTTTACTAAGCAAAAATAAAACAATATATTTTCTAAAAATTAATTTTTCCATGTTCAAAGAAAACATAAAGATCATGGCTTTGTGTTAATACACAAAATCAAGATCAAGTATAAATGTTCATGAGAAATCCAACATTTAGAAATCAGATTCTAAAGATTAAAAACCGAAAATAAAAAAATAATCATTGAAAAGCTGGACCATGGAAAGCAGAAGTGGTAAATATGGAAGTTAGTCGAGACTCTCCATATAAAGATGGCACCGCCCGATAAAACCTTTATGTGATCAATAGTGTGGTAGATATAGTTTTTGGTTAAAAATGTTTAATTCTGATAATTTCTACATGTTTTCCTGCAGTAGAAATGCGCAAGTCACTTTTGTGCATGAGAAACCACACTTGAAAATAATCTGTTTTTTAAATTATAAACATTGTCATCTTTGCATGAAGGGTCTTACACGTACAGTTTAAGGAACTGACAATTTAGTGACGGCAATCTTTATACATTTTCATAGCTCGTGAATATTAAAAAATCTTACTCATTCCGAAAGTAGACTGGAGAAGAACTTTACCCTCCTCGAGTTCGTTCTTTTCTGGTTTAAATATAGATTTACAGAGATTCCTGATATCCAGGTTGTACTTCACAGTTTCAAGAATAGGTTTAGAGCCTTTACTACTCACCTAATTAGCAATTTTAGGATCTTTCTTTAAAGTGGGAATTGTAAATGGGGGATGCATTAAGTCCGTATCTCTTAGCGCTATGTATTTTTCAAGACGTGGTTCAAATTAAGATATTTTATTGCTCGTCTAAAGCTAGGCGGGGGATGCACAATTTTTATAATTTTTTTTCGACTAAGGTTTCCGTGATATAAACGTACTCTTTTAATGTATAATTAACACAAGTTCTGTAAATATTGTTACTTGTTCTCCATCATACATTAACATTAAAAGCTTTAATATCAGTTTATTTTCAATAACCCAGCTTTACATCTCCAGTGCGAACTAACTTTAATTGGATTTCATTCGTGGATCTTAAATGATAAGAGAATACCTTGATATCTTTCCAAGCAAATGTAAGATCTAGAGTTGAATTTTTAGGTGGTTGATCCACAAGAATAACAGAAGCATTGTCAGCCGATTCCACATTAGCCACCGATCCCATATTGACCACCGATCCCATCTTGTCGACCGATTCCATAGTTGAAATGATTTTAAAAAAAGATTTGCGGATTTTAAGATAGGATTTCGCGGATTTCTAAAAAAATGTTGGGTTCTCAGAAGATTTAATTTATTTTCATTTTAATATTTTTCAAATCTGCGCTCTATATGTACTCAAGTATAAAGTTGCTCTGGANAGGTTATTTAAGATGTCTCCGAAACATACTGTGAACACATGTGGAATAGACCCAGCCCAATATCATCCGTAGCCGTGCCCGTATTCGTAATTTCGTAGTTAGAACTGGGCTCTGGCAAGTTTAACATGTTTTAAACAAAAGTTAGTAATCATGCGAGAACAAATTAAAAAGGTACGGTGTATGAGGTTTTCAATATTTTGGAGAACATTTTTTAAATAAACAATTTCTTTAATAAATACTTCGTATAAATAAATAATCCGTAAAAATAGGGCAAAATGTTTGATCATATTTTTGGTTTCTAACAAAGACATCGAGAAAATTGCTTTATATATTACTAGATGAAGGGCCCGGCGTTGCCCGTGGAAAAAAATATTTAGAAAAAAAATAGATAATTTTCTAGGCTTTGGGCCTGCTGTTGGTCCAAATATATTTTTGCACTGACCCTGTATACGCCCAGTTCATCCTGACTCCGCCCTACTTTAATATTGCAGAAAACAGGTAACTAGTTTTTTAAACTTTGGTTCTTAGAATTTTTAATGCTTCTCAATTAAGTACAAACAAATTGACGCTAAAATTATGAATGCTTCATGAATAGACTAGACCCAAAATTAATCCAAAGTTCAAATGCTTTTTTATAGAACAAATGAGCTTTACCTGGGGACTAGTACTTTCAAACAAACAGACACTATTATGTTAAAACGTGCAACAATTGACATACAACTTCGAATGCTACTTTCTTTAGACCTTTTACTAAGAATGCTTGTATTTTTAAAAACACATAACTGTACACAATGCTACTTGTTTAGACATACAACTGCGAATGCTATTATTTAGACCTATAACCGGGAATGCTACTTGTAAAGGCATAAAGTTGTACTCAACACTACTTTTTCAGACCTCTAACTGCGAATGCTACTTGATCAGACCAATAACTACGAATGCTACTTACTTTAGACCTTTCTCTTGTAAAAACATTACTTTTTTAGACAAAAAAATGCTAAGGCTACTTGTTTAGACCTATAACAGCGAATGCTACTTGTTTAGACCTATAACTGCGAATGCTACCTGTTTAGACCTATAACTGCGAATGCTACTTGTTTAGACCTATAACAGCGAATGCTACTTGTTTAGACCTATAACTGCGAATGCTACTTGTTTAGACCTATAACAGCAAATGCTACTTGTTTAGACCTATAACAGCAAATGCTACTTGTTTAGACCTATAACAGCAAATGCTACTTGTTTAGACCTATAACAGCAAATGCTACTTGTTTAGACCTATAACAGCAAATGCTACTTGTTTAGACCTATAACAGCAAATGCTACTTGTTTAGACCTATAACAGCAAATGCTACTTGTTTAGACCTATAACAGCAAATGCTACTTGTTTAGACCTATAACAGCAAATGCTACTTGTTTAGACCTATAACAGCAAATGCTACTTGTTTAGACCTATAACNATTATTATATCATTATTATTATTAATATCATTATCATTTTAAATATGATAGTTGGGTTTGATAGAGAGGAGTCCTCCTGGAGTAATACTAATACGGACAAGGAGATCCTGGGCGGCCAGGTGAAAAATAAATGTTTCCTCGAATTTTCTTACTTTTTTAAAATTCGTGTAAAATTAGAAATGTTTATTATGGAAGAGTTATTTCAGTCAATTTGTAAACATAGTTAATCCCATATATGATATCTTTTAGTTAATCCTAAATATTCCCGAAAAGGACCAGAAGTAATTGTGGTATTTGTTTAAAGATGGGTTTCTTGTACAAGTCGTGGATTTTCTAAGTTGGTCTTAATGGCCTTCTTTAAAAGTTAATGGTGTTAATCATACAACTTTTTTTTACTTCTTAAGTATTTTCTGTAATTTAAAAATAACAACAAATTTGTAAGACGAATATTAAAATCTATTTTAAAATGTTTCTATTTAGGTTTGTGATGTTTGCTATGCTCCGGATACTGAGGGTGTAGATTTTACTAAAACTCACGGACCCAAGGAATTCAACTCTACTCTTGAATTTATACAGTAATAACCAGAAAACAATGGAATAGAAAGACGACTTTACAGCAATACTCAAGTGTGTTGATGTTGTTAAAAAGCAAGTAGTATTACTAGACACTAATCACTAATTTAGTGAAATGGGTCATTTTACACTTCACAATTGCTGTGCGCTCATTGGACATTTTATAGGTATAACTTGATTCTTAAAGTCGTCTTCCTATTTCAGAGTTTTCTGGTAATCACTGTAGATTTACGTCAATCTATATCATATTCTTTTAAGAAAATCTGAAGATATAATATCCCATTCCCTTGAGTAAACCAATTTTTTTAAATAATCAAATTAAGCATTTTATTCAATAATAAGTTTATTTATTATAATGATCAGTATCAAATACGCAGGTTCCTAAATTATCTGAGCCCGCGATTTAAAAAATTCGGAAAAACTCGGCTCGAGTCTAAGCTGTCGTTGGGCCTTATTTACGGCTTGAGCTTTCTGATTCAAGCTGCATCATTTTTTTCCACTGAGTTGAGTTCAAAAACCGGTTAAATATTCTAATTGGCGGATTTTCATGTAGGAATTGGCGCATTCCGGGTTTTTATGAGAACAAGAACTCAACATTGAGCCTTATTCTCCACTAAAACAAACCAAGGTCGGTTTTATTTTCATTGGGTTACTTCTTAAGCCGAGCCGAAGATCTTGCAGCTGTCAATCACGTGACACAAGCTGTCGTCAGAGTTGGGTCGAAGATTGGGTCTTAAAGTCGGGTTTAAGGAATTACGACTCGAGCCAAAATTTTTAAATCGCGGGCTTAAGAAGCCATATTGATTTGCGCACACACTGAATAAAAAGGAAGAAAGGATAATTGTGAATTGAATGTATCACCGAGTTAATGGTTAAAGAACCAACGTGCTAAACCTCGTTCTTTCTTGGGGGGGGGGGAAGGGGGGCGGGGATTTTTAATCTATACTTTGCTCACCCTCAACTAAGCTTTCGGTGCGTTCTGCAGTAATTTGCAGTATACTTACCGAAAATTTAGTAGCGTTAAGTGTTGAGTGGCTTGTCCTGGTGTGTGTTGATATGTTTGTATCCATTAAAAGTAAAAACGGCTGAACCCATCGGGCCCAAAATTTGTGTGGGACCTTAAATGTTCCCAGGGAAGGTTTATGGATGATCAAAATTCCAAATATTAGACAATTTGTTTTCATGAAGTCCGCGGAACTTTGTTTTGTTTTTGTTCTACAAATGTATACAAAGAGAAAATGTTCATTTGAAATATAAGATGAGGGCGCCTAGTCTGTTAAAAAGGATAGAACTAAAAATAAAAAAGCGCAATTTTAAACACAATTCCTTCGTGCCAGGGACTTTGTAAATAAACCCAACCACTAATCTTACAAATTTTCAAATTAAAATAAATAAAGTATGGTTTGAATAAAAACTAGAATGCTGTTGATGGTGATATCTCAACCTGGTGGCAATCCCCTCCTATATCCAGGGGAAGAAAATATAACAGGGTGGATCTAGAAATAGATCTTTTACAAACATTTCAGGTAAACCATTTTATTTAGGATGAGAACCAGAAAACTAAGAATAAGAAGAAGACTTTTTAAATCAAATCATGAGTTTAATAAACATGAGACACAGCATTTGTGTATTGTAAGGTACAATTAAAACAACATCAAATACACCTAATTATTGCTTTATGTCGTTTTCCTATTAATACACAGCTTTATATTTATGAGAATATTAATGAAATGATTGTAATGATAATGATAGTAAAAATGATAATGATGAAAATAATAATAATATTGCGTATGTTGTTGTAACAATGGCGGATTCTCCTCGGCCTGGTGTTTGGTCCCTGGAGAAGAGCGTGGACGGGGGGAAGACCTATACTGCTTGGCAATATTTTGCCGGCAATGATGCGGAGTGCCAGAAATATTTTGGAATGCACGCTAATATGAAGATTAAGAACGATGACGACGTCATCTGTGTCACTGAATTTTCTAAGGTAAGGTTGAGGGTTTCTTATCCTCAAAAAAGGATTTCTTCTTGTTCACATTTTTCACTAATGAAATGTAGTTCGGGGTTTAAATTTATTCCACCCTAAATATATTTGTAAACGCTTGTAAAACTAATTTGTTTCATTGTATTCTTGAATACCTATGAAATTATAAAAACTGTAATAGCGTTTTGAAATCATTGCTTAAATGGACTGTAATTTTAAGCTAACCTTCGTGCCAAGATTGCTATGCCAGATTCACAACGGTACCCTTGAAATCTTTGTCTTATTAATAATGTGGAAGCTATTGTTGTTGTTTCCAGGTTTAAAATGTATGTTTCTGATAATGTTTTTTTTCTGTAGTAGAAATGCCAAAGGGATTTTAGTAGAGAAAACACAATTGAAAACTTTTAGTTTTTAAAATTACAAACTTTGATATCTAATTCATACTTGATCAGATTAAGGTTTCAAGAGTACCTCTAATGAATCGGGCATTGACATCTTTGCATGCAGGATAACTTGAAATTACTCTTACAGCCCCTTTAATGGCTCTAGTTGATGATTTGATATTGCACTGGTCTTAAACTCCGATTTTCTAATCATAATACTTTTTAACATACAGATGTAAAAACCTTTGATATTATAAAGACTACTTGATAAAGCACAATTCATAGTTCGGAAAAAAGTCCCCATACGATAACAGGCTGCAAAGCAAAAATATTGATAAGCAAATTAGAATTTAAACTTTCAGTATTCTTCTCACGTCAAACTTAAAGTTTGAAAAATAAAAGGCTTACACCATCAGGTTTCAAAGAGTTTGTGGCAAAAACTCAATTCCTTTTAACGTAAGATTTAAATCTTTTATATTTCAAACATAACACATCTTATAAAAGCCAAGGGCTAATGAGAAAAATGGTTTGAATTTCCTAAATGTAACCAGATAAAATTGTCTTTTGCGTAACATTGGAAACTATACGAGCTATACGATGTCTCAAAGTCGGTCCATTAATGTCGTATAAACTTTACCTTATTCCTTGTGTCTAGTTGAGTATGTTCCTCGAGTTCAACACTAACTGAATACAAGTTTAGGTTCTACCAATAGAAGGAGGAGAAATATTCGTTCCTCTAACCCAGGGTCGACCTAGCCAGGATAATATTCAAGCCAGTGATCTAATGATGAACTGGCTTAGAGCAACTAATATCAGGTACACCCTTTATCAATATGTAAATTTGTTTATTTTAATTGTATTACAGAATTGCAAACTCATTGCAAATTCATTGCAAATTTATTGCAAATTGAAAAGAATTATCATAAAAGTTATTGAATTCTGCAAGAGAACATGCCTCAAACTCTAATCTTTTAATCTTTAAATCTGTTCAACCTGATTTCGTAGACAATTAATATTTAAAACAATGAACTGCGAGATCAGATAGTCAAAGTTTAAAGTTTAAAATATCCAAGGTTTACATCATCAGGGGGTTAAAGATCGAAGGCGTATATACTTGTGGCGAGTTTTTAGTGTCTCCAGAGCCACTTTGCTAATTTAAAAAACAATATGGCCAGAGCTGAAAACTTTAGAATGGGATATCCTTAATCCCGATCGGTTTATTAATCTGGAGATTAATTACAAAAGGAGAACAAGCATTGTTTAATCTCGAGATTAAGGAAAAGACTGGATCAAGCCTAAATCCCGATATCCACCATTCTAAAGTTTTCAGCTCTGAAGTGAGAACTTTTGGGCGGATTATCGTTAATCCTTAACGGTTGATCTCCATATCCAATGTGGGCATTTTTAGTTCAGTTATTCCTGTAGGGTACGATTACGTACACGGGATATTTAAATTGATCCGTAGATTTGAAAAGATGGAGATAAACAGAGATTCACATCACAAAGTTTTGAACTTAGGATACTTCACAAGATTAGTTTCAAGCAATAACATTTATAATAACTATCCTACAGTAAAATAGTTGAACATGCTTGCTTATTAAACAACATCGTTATAATTTTTTAAATGTCCGTTGTGAATTCAGGTGTCAATGTCAAGCCTGAAGTAAAATTTAGCAATTAATCAATTAACAACTTAATTTATTTATATATCATCATTGGTGATACTAGGATAACATAAGTTGAATAGTTCCATCATATTAAAGTATCTCACACTGAAAACTGGTTTCAATATTTGTCACATGTTGCCCAATTTCACATGTTTATGAATTGAATACCCTTATACTTCACTTGCCAGATAGTCTACTTTTTCATGTGTTTACAAATTTTAAATTCTTATTTTAATTTTTATTTCGTTTTTTTACTTTCAACTTCACGATCCCTAAAATAAAATGTTTTATTTGCATTCAAATTTATTCCCCCCCCCCCCCCCCCCGATATTTCCGGAGATTTTTGAAAAATATAAAGTATTACATTATCGAATTTTAGACATTTCAAAAAAAATTGTTGGCTTATGTACTCTGTACAAATGTCAGCCAATTTTGTCCAGCTGTTATGCAAATATATATATATAAGCAAAGAGCTTTATATATTTCTGCCTGAAGTGCCCTGCGTTGCCCGTGGAACTTTAAAAACACTAATATATATATAATATATATATATATTTCAGTTCTTAACTTCACATTTTTTATTAAAAAAGAATTATACTAAACATAATGTTTCACGTCTATCATGACGATCCTCAATAGTTGAAATTCTTTGAAAAAAATATATATATATATATATATATATTATTCTAAAGTAAATGTTTCAGGTGCTACGACGATCCTTAGCAGTCTACATTTGTAACATATATTGTTATTATAGTTGTATGTATCTATATACTAAATCTCTTTGCTAATACAGGGTTACCCACAAAGGATGAAACTGTAAAAAGGGCCCAACACTCTAAAAATATGACAATTTAAATCTTGATTTTAGGTTTCTAATTCAATTGAGTATGTTTTACAAAATGATAAAGGACAGAAATATGCCAGTTTACTCCTAGACAAGGAACCCTGAATGTAAGAAAACGGACTAACCAAATTCCGTACAATAGTCTCTGAAGTCTCATCCTTTGTGGGTAACCCTGAATATATATTTGTATTTAAAGAAGTAATCACGGGCATCCGTAGACTCATAGTACATTTGAATTTCCTAGCCGGGTCAACCTTTTCGGTCCCAGTTTGTACTGTATCGCCCAGGGTAAAATAAGCAGACTCTTTATAGGACTAGCCGGGGCAACAAGGTTGACGCGGTCTGACTTTAGGTTTAATTTACTTTTACTAAAGGGTCAGGGGTGCGTGTAATGTAACTATATATATTTGTATCTAATTTAATGTTAGGAAGGATGTACGTATATATATATTTATATGTTAATAAAGGGAACCACCCAGTACCCCTGGGGTAACAAACACTAAAAAAAAGATTTTATTTTCAAAATTCGATTAAAATATTCTACGGGCAACACAGGGTACTTCAGCTATTATGTTTATATCAGCAAAGAGCTTTATTACATACAAAGTACGTATAGATGTATTCTAAGTATTATTGTTTAGGTTGAGGTTGATGCACACAAAGACCATGTTGGGGCACTTGATGTCAGTAGCTCAGGGGGATCAGAGTACTACAAGGTCAAACATATCAAACAATAACACCAACATTACAGACCCATGATTCACATAACGCCCCGATGATAAATCACATTATTTCCCCTTGGAACAATTAATTTATTAAGTAAAATAACCGCTCGCTGCACAGTTTTTGTTATAAAGATCGCCTCTTATTCATCATAAAAGACAAAACAGTTTTGTAAAACTTCTTTTTCGATAAATTTAAACTTTTACCTAAACATGGTTCCCAATTTTCCCAACAAAACATCCCTCGCGTCGCTCTGAATGTTTTGTACGCAAGCTTGATCTCGTGAACCCTTGGTAAAGTAAAATTCCCTAAACTTCCCTGTAAACTATAAATTAGTTATGTTTTCCCTCGCATTAAAATTTGAATTTAAGAATAGTTCAAAATTGTTTAATTCAATTTAATTTTTCAATTTTGCCAATCTAAAACTTTTCAATCATTTAACATTCGTATTTATATTAATGGAAATTTCTCGTTTTTTAGAATTAACTTAGGTTAGTTATATAGTTGTGCAATATTTCTCTTTGTGGTTTTATAACACGTCTTATATTAATGAACAGTTTTTGTAAATATTTTTCTTAGTTCTATCAAAATTGTATAAGATTAAGCTTGCATAAAAATTTTACAAAAATTATAACATAAAAGTTATAAAAAGTTATAATATAATTTAAAAGTTATAACATTTTTAATAATAATTTTTTCTTTTTGAGGTTTCGGAGGGCGCGAAAAAATAATTTTGATTCTTTTACTTCGAACATTTTTTAAAACATGATCAAGCTCATATTTTCCGGATATCTACTTAGCATTTTGATTGTTTGGAATTTTGAAAAAAGTTAGAAAAATATGAGCTATGAAAAGAATTTGATTACCTGCCCTAAGCACCCCAATAAAAACCAAGACGCCCCCACCCTCCCTTAAACATTAAACAATGTACAAACGCTGAAGAAATATTTCGAATAAAAGTAACAGACGATAACAAAAATTGACTACATTTTATATTCCTTGACCTATAAAAAAACTAAATTGTAATAAAACAGATGTACAAATTTTGTACGCTATGTGTACTGCACAACTCATTTCCGGCCACGTATAGCGTTCCTTTTCAGGGTTTAATTTTTCTTTATTTTTATGAACTGGGACAGGGACAGGGACAGGGACAGTTCAAACATTTTCTAAATAATTCTACGCGAAGATTCTTCAAATATTGACAGTGTTTGATAATTTTGTATTAAAGGCGTTACTACTACTCAATCAAGGAGATCTCTGTGGGAGGTAGGTGTGTCTGTAATGGACACGCCTATGTCTGCCCGCCCTCCCCTCTAGATCCTAATATTCTTCAGTGCGAATGTCTTCACAATACCATAGGTAAATAAATATTCAAATGTTTATACTAGCTCGGCGTTTCCATAATTATTTTAAAAACACTGGGGAAAAAAACCGAAAGAAATTGAGTTTTTGCCACAAACTCAAATTTGATAATCCCTATATCTTTGCAACCTAGCGGTGTATCTTTTAATTATTCAAACTTGAAATATTTAATCTGACTCAATACCATACAAATTTTGAACAAAAAATTATTTAGATTTGTTAGCCTATGTCACCCCTTTTGAATCTATATATAAATTTGGCTTGTCTGTCTGTTTGTCTGTCTGTCTGTCTGTCTGTCTGTTTGTCTGTCTGTCTGTCTGTCTGTCTGTTTGTATCCAATAAACGTCAAAACGGCTGAACCGATCGGGCCCAAATTTGTTGTGGGACATCTTGGGACCCCAGGGAAGGTTTACGAATGATTGAAATTTTAAATATTTGTCTCCATCAAAATTCGATCTTCATTAAATTTTTTAAAATTTTGAAAATCCACGAAATTTTTTGTGAAAATCCGCGAATTATTTTTGTTTTGTTTTACGATGTACACAAAGAGAACATGTTCACAATTAATTTAGAAGATGGGCGCGAAGCGCCCTCTAAGGCTAGTTAGTTAAATAAAGAGAAAAATCAATTCACATACGAGCCTAAGTGATAAATTATATTTATAAATTTTAAAAAAATAAAGAAAAACTGAAAGAAAAAGTTAGAAAATTAACGTGATGCCATAAACTATTTTGCCGTTTGGAAATTCGAAAACAAAAAGGCAAAATAAAAAGAGAAATTATATGTGCTTCGTAATTCAGCAGCTATGATAAATGATGTTCAAATTTTTCATTAAATTGAATCCTAATTAATATTTAGGTTTAAACTGTGACCAGTGTGCTCCTGGCTTTACTCAGAAACCATGGCGAAGGTTTACCAAGGATGACAGGTTTTTAATTTCTTGATTATAATCTATGATGAAGGTTTTCTAAGGATGCCAGGTTTTTAATTTCTTGATTATAAACCATGATGAAGGCTTACTAAGGATGACATGTTTTTAATTTCTTGATTATATAAACCATGATAAAGGTTTACTAAGGATGACAGGTTTTTAGTTTTCTTTATTATAAATTATGATAAGATTTAGTAAGGATGACAAGTTTTTAATTTCTTGATTAAAACCATGATAAAGGTTTAATAAGGATGACAGACTTTTATTTTCTTGATTATAATCCATGAAAGAAGGTTTACTAAAGATGACAAGGTTTTTAATTTCTTGATTATAATCCATGATGAAGGTTTACAAAGGATGACAGATTTTTATTTTCTTGATTATAATCCATGTAAGAAGGTTTACTAAAGATGACAAGGTTTTTAATTTCTTGATTATAATCCATGATGAAGGTTTACAAAGGATGACAGGTTTTTAATTTCTTGATTATATAAACCATGATGAAGGTTTACCAAGGATGACAGGGTTTTAATTTCTTGATTATATATAAACCATGATGAAGGTTTACTAAGGATGACAGGTTTTTTAGTTTTCTTTATTATAAATTATGATAAGATTTACTAAGGATGACAGATTTTAAGATTTTTCTTGATTATAAATCATAATGAAGGTTTTCTAAGGATGACAGGTTTTTAGTTTTCTTAATTATAAACCATGATGAGGTTTACTAAGGATGACAGGTTTTTATTTTATTAATTATAAAATATGATAAATATTTACTATAAAGGATGACAGGTTTTAAAGTTTTCTTGATTAAAAGCTTTGATATGATTTACTATGGATGATATTAAATTTTTCTTACTTATAAATCATGATTTTGCGGATTTAAAAGCGGAGGCAAACAGAATTCCACACTTTTTAAGATAAAAAAATGACGATATCTTATTCTTTGTTTTTCATATAAAGGTACAAAAGTAACGTTGTGATTCAGGCACAACATGTATATCCCAATAAATGACACTGGCACAAAGGTTTAGTGCATATGGGGGGGGGGCACATTTATTATCATGCTGATTTAGGGGTGGACAAAATTCATCGCAACTCCGTTTTTTTATTTTCATTTGTTTAGTTTTGAATGTGAGCCCTGTAACTGTAATGGACACAGCAATAAATGCCATTATAATCAAACTGTTGACGCACTAGGGTAATTATAAATTAGATAATCTATCTAATATCTATCTATCTATCTATCTATCTATCTATCTATCTATCTATCTATTTATCTTTCTATCTATCTATCTATCTATTTATCTATCTATCTATCTATCTATCTATCTTTCTTTCTATCTTTCTATCTTTCTATCTTTCTATCTATATATCCTTCTATTTTTCTATCCATCTATATATCTATCTATATATCTATCTATCTATCTATCTATCTATCTATCTATCTATCTATCTAGATTATCTATGGATATATCTGGTATGTATGAGGGTGGAGGTGTATGTGAGGAGTGTAAGGATTATACTACTGGTATAAACTGTAACACCTGTATAGAAGGGTTCTACAGAGGAATAGGAGTACTACCCAATGATACTACTCCATGTGTACCTTGTGATTGTGGAGATGATCCGAGGTAGAAGTTTATCATAATAACAACATTTATTTCATTGTTTCTTTTTTAAAGTAATTTTTGGAAAAATCCTTTTTAACCAATACTATTCAAAGATGGTAAAATCATTTGTTTCAGGGGTATTTCTTTGAAAGAATGATTTCGATGATCAGGGGAAATTTTTTAAGTTTTTTCGAATTTGACTTAATTTTTCATTTTGCCCTAAATCAGCGGATAATCTGAATTTAAGAGAGAGGATTATTTTTAATGGAGGGGGGAGGGGGAATAAATTGCTTTAGACCTCTAAGGAGTTTTAAATCTTATTCCGCGTAACATGTCTTAAACATTGAACGAAGAAACATTGGATGGAAAGAAAAAAGTCCTTCCGTCCTAATTTCCTTTTAAATTTCCTGATTGCCCGTTGAACTAGATTTTTTAAAAAACATTCCTAAAAACTCATGAAATTGTTTATCCAGGTATACCGGGAGCTGTGCGGCGGAGAGTGGCGAGTGTGAATGTAAACCTGGATTCCGTGGGGCGGATGATTGCTCCGCCTGTGCCGAGGGATATTATGATTATCCAGACTGTAAACCTTGTGATTGCTTTCCAGATGGAACAGAGTAAGTACAGGACTTTATTAATAAACTATCTTGGAAACCCAGCTTTGCCTGAAGTTTTCCAATAATCCAACCCACTTAATTTCTAAACCAAGCTACAAATATTCCTGTGTTTCTACCGAGTTTCCCAATTAAAATTTGGGCCAAATCGGTCAAAGAGGTCCTAAACTATGATCGGATATACAATCAGAGATTACTATATAAATTAAGGTTGAGTGAGAAAGGAGCCCCCTACTGTGTGAGTGAGGGTACCCTGCAGTGCCCCTGTAGACCTGGGTTTGGAGGGGAGTTCTGTGATGAGTGCGCTCCTGGATTTTTCAATTTCCCAACCTGTTCACGTAAACAACTTTCTTATCTTAATTTCACTTAGAACTAGATATAGAAACTTAACGGACACAAAGGACACTTCCCACAAATTCTAATTTTCGATTCTTTTCATCCTTTCAACCTGACGGCCTGTAACGTTGAGTTCTTGTCTTGATAAATTCTTAGTTTCAAACTCTGGTGTTGTACATCAGATTGCAAACAAATAGGGAAGTGAAAATTAAACATTGGATGGGGAACGCATTTAGTTACATTAACAATTGAAAAAGAATCAAGAATTTAACAATGACAATATTCATAGAGCTTTAACTTTGTGTACAATAAACTTTGATTGATGGTTTTTCAATGAAAAATAATTGACAATTAAACTTAAGCTAGCTGTTATTAATTCCTATCAATCCTATTCTATTCTGAAATTTTAATCCGGATATATTAGTTAATTTTATTCTAATAAGTTAATCCTATTCTAATAAGTTAATCCTATTCTAATAAGTTAATCCTATTCTATCAAATTAATCCTAATTTTTTATGCTAATCCTTTTCAATGAAGTTAATCCTATTCTGTCAAATTAATACTATGTTTAGTCCATCATATTTAGTTAATCCTATTCTGTTAAAATAATCTTATACTATTTAGTGAATCCTATTCTATTAATGTAATCCTATTCTATTAAGTTTATTCTATTCATAAAACTAATCTTTCTTTTTAATTAGTAAATCCTAATAAAGAAATTAATCCTATTCTATCAAGCGTGTGAATGTAACACTAGAAACATACTGGATCCCTCCAATACGGACTGTGACAAGGAAACTGGGCAGTGTGTGTAAGTTATATTTTAATAATTTTTATTTCAAAAGAATCCTTGTTAAAAATAAAAGGGGATATAGACTAAGCTACTGTTTGAGTAATACGATAATTGTAAAAAAAAACATTCTTCGTTTACAGCAGAGAATTTTTAATCTAGCGGCCGTGTTATTGTTCTCCAAAGTAGACACATAATATAAAAACAAAACTTTACATGAGTGACCTGAATTTAATTTGGATTTTTGAAATAAAAAAATTTAAGGATAAATTTAAAATTAAAATTGAATTATTACTACAACATGCCAAATTAGGTATCTCTCTTCTTATTACTCAAACATCAGATTGAAAAAAAGATTGATGCAATTTGATTCGACAAATTCAATTTTTTTATCTAGAAAATGCAAAGTTTTAAATAACTAAGGACTACGAAAATAGGTTGCAACGTTATAAGGATTAAATAATTAGAGTTTGTGGCGAGTAATTAGTTTTTTATCTGTTAAGGTGTGATCCTCGATACAGTGGACTCACTTGTGAAGAGTGCAATCACGGGTTCTTTAACTATCCACAGTGTACAAGTAAGGTTTTCCTACAGTGCAGTGGTTGGCGTTTATATCAATACATTGATGACGACTCTTATCTTAGCTTCGATTTCTAAACCAGAGAAAATACACATGTGACTTGTAAACAAACATTCAAATATCATTCATTCCTTATTCTCGGAAATTGAAGGAAAATAATAGAAGTAAATCCAAAGTGCCCTTAATATTTACAAACTTATATAATCCTTAATTCACATCAAAAATTAAATTCATGATGAAATATTTCTTAAACTGTACATTAACTGCCATCAAGAAAACAAAATATTAAAGGTCTTTCGTTTAAAGACTTTAATGTTCAGGAAAAAGGGACATTTCAAACCAAATGTCATTTCCAGGTTTTTTGTTCCTGTGATTTTCTGACATAGATTTCACTGTACAGGTTGTAACTGTGACCCTCAGGGTTCTGTAGAGGAGGTTTGCAGTAAACAAGATGGAACATGCTTGTGCAAGGACGGCTACGGAGGTAAGAAATGGAACATGCTTGTGCAAGGCCGGACGGATACAGAGATAAGAGATGGAACATGCTTGTGCAAGGTCGGATTTTGAGGTAAGAGATGGAACATGCTTGTGCAAGGTCGGATACAGAGATAAGAGATGGAACATGCTTGTGCAAGGATGTATATGGTGGTAAGAGATGGAACATGTTTGTGAATTGCGCAAGGACGGATTTTGAGGTAAGAGATGGAACATGCTTGTGCAAGGACTGATATGGAGGTAAGAGATTGAACATGCTTGTGCAAGGATGGATACAGAGGTGCAAGGATGGAAACAGAGGTAAGGGATGGAACATGATTGTGCAAGGGCGGAAACAGAGGTAAGGGATGGAACATGCTTGTGCAAGGACGGATACATAGGTAAGAGATGGAACATGCTTGTGCAAGGATGGATACGGAGGTATTCAGTTCAACTACTTCTTGCTATTTATTAAATTAGTTATTTACTTAGGAGAAAGGTGTGATCGTTGTTCTCCTGGTTTTTTTGGATATCCAGATTGCAAACCTTGCAAATGTTCACAACAGGTATCGGAAAGCAGAGTTTGAATCTATTTAATCCATATTTGCACCAAACTTTGAAAACTAATCTATTCTAGGGATCTAACTCTGAAATTTGTAACGAAGTGAGTGGACAATGCCCCTGCTATAGTAACTATGCAGGACGTCAGTGTGATACCTGTACTCCTGGTTACTACAGCTATCCTGACTGTAAAATGTGTGGTTGCAACAGCTTTGGCTCTATGGGACTGTCTTGTGACAACAACGGTCACTGCAGCTGTCTTGACAACTTTATGGGCATCAAGTGCGACCAGTGTGCACCGGAGAGGTTTAACTTCCCACTGTGTGAGGAGTGTAACTGTGATCCTAAGGGAGTTGCTGATGATTTCTTTCAACGAGGAGGTTGTGGAAATGTTCCCAAAGGAGAACTGTGCTCATGTAAGGAGAAGGTGACTGGTAGAACTTGTAATGAATGTAAACCCTTATATTGGAATCTTCAGAAATGGAGACCTGATGGTTGCGAAGGATGTGACTGTTACCGTCCTGGAACTATTGGAGGACTAGGAGTGTGTGATCTGAATAACGGACAGTGTGCCTGTAAACCAGCTGTAGACGGGTCTAGAAAATGTGATGAGTGCAAGGATGGATTCTTTAAACTGTCAGGGAACAAAATCCTTGGTTGTGACAGCTGTAACTGTGATATGGGTGGTACTGACTATCTACCTGGAGAAATACCAGTGTGTAATAAGGATTCTGGAGCATGCGCCTGTAGATATGGTATGGAAGGAAGGCGATGTAATGATGTTCAATCCATGCATTATGTTCCAACTCTTTTTCAGAACAAGTTTGAGGTTGAGGACGGATATAGGGCGGATGGAAGCTTGGTAAGGTTTGCCTATGACCAGGCCAAGTTTCCAAATTTCTCCTGGAGAGGATATGCAGCATATTCTCCTCTACAAAAACAAGTTCTCCAGGATATAACATTGGATAAGAGTTCTCTATACCAGATGGTACTTAGATATCAGAATCCCAATAGTGTTCCAATAACCGGAACTGTTAAGATGAGCAAGCCTGAAAGTGATACAGTTGCAGTATTTCACAAGTTTGTTCTAGATCCAACATATGGAGACCCTGCTTTTGTAACTGTATCTGGAGAAACTGGAATATATCCCTCCCCCTTTGATCTTGAGCCAGGACAGTGGACTGTATCCCTGAATATAGACAACAATGATGGTGAGAATGCTGAAGTATTGGTTGACTACTTTGTTCTTGTCCCAAATGAGTTTACGGAGCCTCGTATTCTCAGGTATGATGTTAGGGATCCTTGCCTTCGGGATGGATCCCAGGACTTCTGTCGTGACTATATCTATCCTGTCGCTAATATGTATCCTCATGTTGATTCTCTGGATGCAGTGAACCCATCCGGAGCCGGATTCTATCCATATACCGGACAACCAAAGGATCTGAAGAATACAGGTGTAGATCATGTTGTACAGATTGCAAACTTTCAACCTGAGCTTAAATGGACCAATGTAAAGAATAAAGGTGGTCCACATGCCATTGTTCTAGCATATTTCACACCTGACAGAACCAACGGAACATCCATTGGAATGAGTGCAGGTCAGGGGATCCCTGGAGAAGCATATATCTATGATTGTCCATTCAAGCATGTTTGCAGGCAGGTAGTGACAGACCCTGAGGGAAGAATTGCAGAGTTTAACTTAACAAGAAGAGACACAACTGTGTCAGTAAGAGCTCTCAGTCCAGATACAAATGTTGCCATTGACCAGATTTACTTGATTCCTATAGAGAACTGGTCACCTGACCTAATTACACCTTTCTCTAGATGTGTGAAAGATAAGTCAGGAAACTGTATGATGCCCCGCCCCTTCCCAGTAGCACCTGATGATTCAAACATATTTATACCTGAGAAAAAAGAAAATGAGGCTAGACCCCGTTACTTGACAGATGATGATGTTCCTCTCCTGAAGATCGGAGGAAAAACCCCTGTAAGTAATCTGGGTGGAGAGGTTCCCAAGGAAGGAGCTTATGTCATAGTTGCCCAGTATTACCAGCCAGACCATCCAGAAGTAATTGCCAAGGTATCAATCACAGATGGACGAGGTCCAAATAGAGAAGGAGGTGATCAACTCCCTGCTGATATATTTAATGTTTATGAAGCCGTTCTACCTCTGCCTCTTTGTGCCTCAAAGAGGGGATGCAGGCAGCCTGTTCAAAAAAGTAAAGATGATCCTACTCCTGCAGATTTCCAGCTGACTGAACTAGTAGATATTCAGTTTACCACAACAGGGCCTGAAGAAGGTTGGATTGAATATATCCTTGCTGTACCTGCCGATGAGTTTGTCAAAGAGTTACTGGTAGCTGATGACTCAGTAGATCGGCGTGGAGAATACATTCAAGAGTGTGGAAAAAACAGTTTCTATATACCCACCAGTGTAGAGGATGGTTTCTGTAAAGCCTCTGTTGTCTCCGTGTCCTCTGACTTCAATGATGGAGCACTAAAATGTGATTGCAACCCTGAGGGTAGCCAGGACCAATACACTTGTGAGAAGTTTGGTGGACAGTGTTTCTGTAAATACAACGTGATTGGACGGTCCTGTGAGCGCTGCGCACCTGGTTTTTTTGGATTCCCGAATTGTAAACAGTGCAACTGCCCCTCTACTGCCACATGTAACGAGGAGACTGGAGACTGTATTTGTGCTCCCTTTGTAACAGGAACCCCTGAGAACCCTTGCTCACAGTGTGAGGAGAATACATTTGGATATGATCCTATTACTGGTTGCCAGGAGTGCAAGTGTCTTCTGGAGGGAACTATTGCAGGTATACATCACTAAACATTTTGAATTTATCTTATTGTTTTTTTGAATATAACTAAAGGGCTTACAGGATTTATTTTACATAACAAACTGTATGTTTACATTCATTTGATCAGGAAATATGTCCTGTACCCAAGAGTCTGGTCAGTGTGCCTGTAAGGATAATGTTGAGGGTAGAACTTGTGATCATTGTACGTACGGTTCCTACCAATATCCTGATTGTCAAACCTGTGATTGTGATATCTCAGGAACCACTGAAAGAATTTGTGATCAGGTGATCTTTCATTTTGTACCTCTAAGATGAAAAAATTACAAGGTGGACCTGCTAATAAAAATGTATTAAATAAATTTTGTTTCAGTCGACAGCCGAATGTTTGTGTAAACCCTTCGTAGGAGGAGAGAAATGTGATTCCTGTCAGGATGGATACTTCAATCTCCAGGTCCATTCATAAACCATACACTTCATCTCCAGGTTCATTCATAAACTATAAACTTCAATCTCCAGGTTCATTCATAAACCATACATTTCAATCTCTATGTGTATTCATAAACCAAACACTGTATCTCCAGGTCCATTCATAAACCAAACACTTCAATCTCTAGGTGCATTCATAAACCAAACATTTCATCTCCAGGTCCATTCATAAACCAAACACTTCATCTCCAGGTCCATTCATAAACCAAACACTTCATCTCCAGGTCCATTCATAAACCATGCAATTTAATCTCTAGGTGTATTCATAAACCAAACACTTCATCTCCAGGTCCATTCATAAACCAAACACTTCATCTCCAGGTCCATTCATAAACCAAACACTTCATCTCCAGGTACATTCATAAACCAAACACTTCAATCTCTAGTTGCATTCATAAACCAAACACTTCATCTCCAGGTCCATTCATAAACCATACACTTCATCTCCAGGTGTATTCATAAACCATACATTTCAATCTCTAGGTGTATTCATAAACCAAACACTTCATCTCCAGGTGTATTCATAAACCAAACACTTCATCTCCAGGTGTATTCATAAGCCATACACTTCAATCTCTAGGTATTTTATAAACCATACACTTCAATCTCCAGGTACAATGATAAACCATACACTTCAATCTCCAGGTACAATGATAAACCATACACTTCAATCTCCAGGTGTTTCATGAACCATACACTTCAATCTCCAGGTACATTGATAAACCATACACTTCAATCTCCAGGTACAATGATAAACCATACACTTCAATCTCCAGGTGTTTCATGAACCATACACTTCAATCTCCAGGTACATTGATAAACCATATGAAAAAAATAAACAAGGAACCCACATATTTATGTTTACAATAAATTGTATTGCAGTTTTGGGAGGATTATAAATGAACTTATCCTCATTAGGAATAAGATTATTTGTAATGCTTGCAAGAAGCAGCAAACATTTTCAGTAAAAACAGATAGGGCCGGGTTTCTGGTGTAAGTTTATAATAATTTATATTACAGTAATAATAAGAAAACAGTAGAATATGAAGACGACATAAATGCAGTACTAAAGTACATTTGATGCTGTTACAAAGCAAATAGCCTTACAGTTATTAAATTATTAATTTAGTAAAATGGGTCTCTTTACACTGCATAACTGTCCCATGCTCATTGGACATTTAAGTCATATCTTGAGTCTAAGAGCCGACCTTCTATTCCAAAGTTTGCTGGTTATCACTGTATTAATGTTAATACACAGAAAACTCTAAAATAGAAAGACGACTTTTATAATTAAGTTATAGCTTTAAAAATGTGTCTTCCTATTCCGTTGTTTTCTGGATATCACTGTATATTAATAATGTATTTATTATTATATTCATAGTGTACATATTTTTGGTATTTGTTCTATGTACACTGTACAGCTTATAATATATTTATGTACAGGATAACAACCCTGATGGTTGTACAGAATGTTTCTGCTTTGGAAAAACCAAATTATGTTCTCCTCATCCTTCTCTTAAACAAACACAGGTATATGCTCCCTGTCAGCCTGTCAGGGGCGTATACAGGTATATTCGTGTGTATTCCCTGGCAGCCTGTCAGGGGCGTATACAGGTATATTCGTGTGTGTCCCCTGTCAGCCTGTCAGGGGCGTATACAGGAGGGGGGGGGCTCAACCTTTTTGGACATCACAGAAGGGGGCTTTACTCCCAATCGAAATAGGAACTCTTAATATTTACTTTTTTACTAATTTGTTTTCCCCTATATCTCTGCAACATGATTGTGTAAACTTTTAAAGTTACAAACTTTGACTTCAGATGTAATATAATTTATAGTTTTATGTATCAAAGTCCATGACATTGCAGGATATAAGGATTATAGACAAAGGGTTGACAATTTAAATCAAATTTAAATAAAAGATTATCTATACTCGAAATGCACTTAAACATATGTAGACAGGACAAAACACCCAAAAATATGCATTTCCTTGAATTTGGATTATTTAAAGATTTTGGATATGTCTGAGTGGACGGGAGTATCCATGTTGGTTTCAAGAAACCCAGAAATTCAAGAAATGGATATAGGTAAACCAAAGGTTACATTTTATGAATAGCAAGAAGTAGACAGGGTGTTCAGTGCTAGCATCAATTTTGGATAAATATTAACGATTTTTATATCTACTAAAAATGCCTGATCGAATGGTATAAACGGAAGACTTCTGTCATTCTCATAGAATAGCAAATTTTAATTAAGTTTGTAGTTTTTGAATTCCACAGATTCAAAATTAATTTTTTACTGAAGGAAAAAAAACTACGTCGTATTATATCTGATTTTGATTCTTTAACGAGCTGGAATTAAATTCTAAGTAAAAAGAACTTGGAGTAATGATTTAAGCAGAAATATTAATATTCTAAAATAAAATCCTCTTAATCTTTAGAAGTAAAAGATTATAATAAAATTAATTTTTAACATAAATATGTTTTGAATATTTGATTTACATTTCTTGAATTAATCTTAAAAATAAGAAATAGTAAAAACAATGTATTTGATATGTACATTATTAAAGCATTATATATGTATATTTGTCTATAAAATTAAAAGTTTCATTATAGGGAAAAAAATATAATCTTCTCTCATGTCGTCTTTATTTGGTTTGGTCAGTTGTTCTGACAGTTACTGGATCGTTATAAACCAACAAACATTGTTAACAGGACGGATTTTATATTGAGTTGACTTGAGTTTTATCAATAGGAAAAAATATTCTAAATATTTGATTAAGAGCCCTTGACGAATTACGGTGGGGTGCTCAACATGGATTTTAATGCAATCGACTTTGATCTTGAGACAAAGGTAACCATTTAAAAAAAAACTTTTAAAATATTTTTCCAATTTTTTTCTGATTCAATTTGTTTAGATATTTTACTTCAGCAGTCCTCCCAGCTATGCTGGCAGCCATATCGGAAGTTATGGTAGCAATATTAAGTACAATATTTCATACTACGGAGAAACTGGTCCTGGTAAGTTGAAAACACTAAAGAAACTGAGTTTTTGCCACAAACTCAAATTTGCTAATCCCTATATCTTTGCAACCTGACGGTGTAAACCTTGGATATTTCAAACTTAGAATATCTCTGATCAAACATAAACCATAGTTTGAAATATCATAACGCTACGACATTTGGTTGCAAGGATATAGAAATTAGAAAATCTAAGTTCTTGTCTAAAACTCAGTTCTTTTAATGTCAGAACGTCAGAAATAATGAACGCTCTAATAAATTCGTACCGGTCCGATCCTATCCTCGTATTATACTGGGATAAACTCCGTCTCATGATTGGCTAAATTAAAAATACGAGAATAATTTTTTTGCCGTTTTCGCCTGGCTTTTTCTATGGCTGGAATTAATATGTATACTTGTACTGTATGTATATTGAGTCTTTGCCAAAAAAAGACGATTGTAAATTGATGTTCTTTTATTTAAATTTTTATTCATCTTTCTATATTTTCAAATTTAGATAATCCAATGAGGTTCCTTAAAAATCAAAAATTAAATTTTATTTTTTCATCATATTAAAATTAAAAAAAATATTGTAACTTTTGAAGGATCTAAGCGAGCCCCAGATGTTGTTCTAATGGGAGCTGATTCATTCATTTTCTTTTACTCAGGAAGAAAGGTAAATTTTAAATGTAACTACAAGGGTTACGAACAATGTAGAACTTAGTTTGGAGGGGGGGGGGGGGGGGTTGAAAACAAAGATTGGAATTTTCAAAGAATGAGGCTTTAATGTCGACCAGAAAGAACAACAAGCTAAAATATTAATTTGTTATTCATGCGTTAAATAAAACCTTTGAAACACCCTTAAATGTTTTTAAATAAATTACAAAAGCAACAAAAAAACTTGAAGAAATGAACAGTCGATTTATTTTTCAAGTGTTGACTATTTGAGAATAATTAAAAGATTCTATTTTGCTCTTGCTAAATAAAGATTTTAATGAAATCTTAATGTATTGTTTTCAAGATTTTAGCATGGGAGTCATTTTCATCCTATTTACGTTAAATTTAAATATTACATGTTTCCAATCATAACTCCTTGAAGATCTATTGAGAAAAAGAAACAAGTTTTTAATTCTCCAACATACAACCAATACTAGAGAAAGTACGATGTTACAAAGTGAAGCCATTAATTTCGGATTTGCAAGATTGCAAAAGTCTAGTTCTGCCAGGTTGCAAAGTGATAAGAAAATTATAGTTTGAGTTGAGTGATCAGAGCTAAAATCTTTAGAATTGTGAATATCGAAATCAATGCTTGATCTCCTCTTTTTCTCCTCTTTTGTTAAAAGTTCTCTTGTCTAGGTTGAGCAAGGTATGGTTGAGATGAGAGCTCCACTAGAACCTAGATACTGGGTTCAACCTTCAGGAAACCCTGTCTCTAGATCAAACCTCATGGTTCTACTCAATAGTCTACAGAGAATATATATCAGGTTAGTGCCAGACAGGGCTATCAACAAAGGATGAGACTTTAATGATGACCTGAAACTCTTCGATTCTGACGTTCTAGGTCTTTTATCTTAAATTCAATCTGTTTGTTGTGTATGAAATTGTTTGGAAAATGGTTTAAAGGGAAAGGTAACCACCAATGTATAAAGGACTTTTTCCATAAATTATTCACTATCATTGGTTAAAGAAACTCCCTGTAAACGTATTTAAAAAAGAACCCTTTATTTCATCCGATTCACCCTTCAATCTTTTTTGAAGGAGATATCCTCTTTGTTTTAGCTTAAAGTTGATTAGTTGATAAAAGTGACTATTGGATTTATGTTTTAAAATATAAAACGAAGATATCTTTCTCTTCATTACTCAGATTGAATATTAAAGTGTGTTATTGTGCTATTTGCAGGTTCATTTTAAATTACGTGTACATTAATTTTTAAATTACGTGTACAGTCCCTTTAATGTTTAAATGTTTAGAGGTTCCTATTCTGCCAGTTACTCTGCCCAGTCCAGGATAGAAAATGTTCTACTGGAAACTACTCAGGTCAGAAACCAGGGGCGTGTAGACAGCAATGTCCAGGGAGGGGTGGCTTAAATTTTTCTTTTCAGAGGGGGGGGGGGGCTTAGCACACGTTGGGGCCTGAAATCTTTAGATTTTTATTGGTCCATAGAGGACTAAGCTCCCTTCCCCCTCCTTAATACACCCATGAAAGAAACTAACCCAAAAAAGTGGTAGAACAATGTTAAACTAGCGTAAATTACACTATTGAAATCTTATTGAAGAGTTATCGAGAAAAAGAAAATCATGTAACAGAATAAAATATATTTACCAAATAATTTTCTTTACAAAACACTCTGAAATGTGTGTAGGGATTATTTATTACTTCTTAGGTAGAAAAATATTGAGTTACGAATGCAAAACATAATAATTTGCTAAACTATTTTTTTGTGAAAAAGTACTTAACACCACAAATTTTTGAGCGTCGGCAAAATTATTCCCAAAGGAGTTTGTTCTTCATTTTTGTTTGGTCTTCATTTCCGAAAAAAATTTTTCATCTGAGATTAAAAGGCTAACAAAAAATTGGGGTAGAATTTAAATAACTAAAACTAAAAAACAAAAGTAAAATACAAAAAAATATCTTTTACTTTCAGAGGAGTGCATTTGTTAATCTAATTCAAATATAAACATTTTATTTCTGTTGTTAGGAAGATGAAGAGATTTCTGACAGTGCTGTACAGTCCGTAGAGCTTTGTACATGCCCTGAAGGATATGAAGGTATGTACATTTTGTACATTGAAGTTTAGAAACCATCTAGTTTATCCAGTAATGTCTGCCGAGGTAAAATGGCCAGTTTTCTTAGTTTCAAGTGTTTAGATTATTTTAAGTTTTGCTTCCCTTTAATTTGTGACTCGCGTATTTCTGCTACTGAAACAATAGCGGAAATTGTCAGAATTTACCACTTTTTAAACTAGAATACGACTACGTCTTCCAATTGATTGGTCAGATAAAGGTTTTAATGGTGAACATGGTGAACAGCTTCTTTAGATGTTCTAATACTAATACTAATACTAATAAATACTGTTTGGTTTAGTTTTGACAAGTTTATATTTAGGAAGCTCCTGTGAGATGTGCTCTCCTGGATATTGGAGTGAAACCTCGGATAAATGGGGACCTATCTGCAGGTACTCTCTTTAATAGGTTTTTTTTTCATCCTTGTTAAATTAAGTGATTGAGTATTTGCCACAAACTCTGATTTTATAATCCCTATATCTTTGCAACCGAATGTGGTAGACCTTATATATTTCAAAGAGTATGAAATGTATTGATTGGATGTGTGTAAAAAAATGCAATGAATGAGTTTTTTTTAATAATTTGTTTAAAGTATCCTCTTATTTGCTATTACTAATTATCTGCCACCTGATGTTGCAGACCTTTTAAAATATTAAACCTGATAGATCAATTAGTCAAAATCTAAACATGCGATCATTCTGGTTGCAAAGATTTAATGGGTCTGAAAATCATAATCAGAGTTCCGTGTTCCGTTTCTTTCACGAAATAATACATTTTAATTTAATAAATCGGTTTTTTTGTTTAAAACGTTTTGATTTAAAGTATTGATATTATTTGATCAAATGTGTATTGTTGGTTTTAAAATTATTTGGTTAAAAATGTTTGACATTTTTTATATTGAAACAATTGAAAAAAATTGGTTTTGAAATAATTGAAATGATTTGGTTTGGAAATGATTAAAATTATTTGGTTTGGAAAAAATAAAATTATTTGGTTTGGTTTAGACGGTGTAACTGCAACGGTCATGCGGATGTGTGTCATCCTGTAACAGGAGAGTGTGCTACTTACGTTCCAATCTCTCCACCAGAGGTCAGTGTCAATCAAAAACACGAAAAAAAATATTTTGCAAGATTAAGGTATTTAAATAGTTTATCAAAAACCTAAGTTCTCATATGTTTAATCAATGAACAGAAAACATCAAATCATACTAAATTTCTAAAGTATTATTAAAAAAACAGAGATTAATCGAAATGATAAGATCACTGCAAATTATAATTACCTAAGACGTATTTTTCTTAGAAAGAAGATGAAAACAAAATTTAATTTACAAATACAAATTTGGATTAATCGAAGATATCAAAAACAGTTACAGGGTTACCCACAAAAGATGAGACTTCAATGACGACTGTACGTATTTTGTTCGATTTGTTTTCTTTCTTTCAGGGTTTCCTTGCTAGTGTAAACTTTATTTTTATTTGTGAAATCTTCATATATATAATTTAAGACTTAATTTCAGAATCAAATTGAATCAAAGAATGTTATATAGGTCGTTATTTAAGTCTTATCCTTTGAGGAAACCCTGTATATAATTGTAATTATCATTTACAAATATGACAAACGTAATAAATCAAAATATAAATGTATTTGACGTGATACAGTGACATGTATCATGTGTATCATGTGGATAAACTTAGTCTTCTTCACCCTCTAGTTCATAAACATGATTCTAATAACTTATGTTACCCTCTGTTCCAACCCTTACGCTGAGTATCCTCCCTTTTCTTTATACTCCCTCACCTCCTCCTTACCTTTTACCTGATTTATTATCATTCTTATGTTTAAAATGTACAATGTACATTGTTTTTATCTGCAATTCTCATTCGTTTATAGTGGGCCAACCAATTAAAACAACCTACTCTGGTTAGGCGGGTCCAAACTACATAGTAAATTGTGATTTTTTTATTTGTATTATCTCGTGCTTTGTAGTTGAATAAATTATGAAATATGAACCATAAAACTCTGGAATAGGAAGACGACTTTAAGACTCAATTAATGACTTTAAATAGTCCAATAAACACGAGACACAGTAAATATGCGGTGCAAACAGACCAATTTCACTTCATAAGTTGATTTTTAGCTTATACTCAAACTTTTTGCTTTGTAACTGCACATTCACTTAAATATTACATAAATGTCGTCGTCCTATTCCACAATTTTCTGGTTCTCACTGTAATTTTTAGGGTTTGCCATACACCAGATTAAACTTCTGTCACTACTATCCTGACCGATGTGTAGAGGACACAACTGTCAATCATTGCAGGAACAAATTAATTTATCAGATGGTTAAATAATTAATACTTTACTTCTCTCGATCCGATAAATGCTGCAAATGAACAAATATTGCAGCAATTTTTCTTATTCCTAAAAATCAAAGTAATGGTTTTTAAAACAGATGTTCTAATTCTGCAAAAATAATCAGCCATTTCGGATATTTTTGATCATATGAATCAGCTCAGTGTTATGGGGGCATAAAGATCATCATGAATAGTTTTGCTGGAAACTTTATAATTATATTTAATGTTAAGATTAATCTTAATGGACCATGACGCTTATCATTGAATATTTATGTTTTGATAAGATACTGATGTTTGTCAATAATGTGCATTTTCTACATAATGAGGAAAATTATGATAATAATAATCTATATAATAAAGCGTTGAGCCCATATTTATATAAATATATATATATATTTCAGTTTATATATATATATATATATATATATTAGCAATAGCTGGCCAAACGTCTGAAATTTTTTAAGGGAACCCATGGCTAACATACGTTTAAAAACCGAAATTTTATTTTTAAAACTTGAAAATTAAATTTTCAAAATTTGAAATTTTTTTTCAATTTCTCGAACAACGCCCGGCACTTCGGCTAGTATTAATATAAATAAGAGTTTTGTCCAAAATATAAATGATTTCTCAATTCGTCTTTTTACCCAGAATAGTTTTGAGGTTGATTTGTTACGTTTTGAAGTGATAATACCCGAGGCCGTTACTGTGAATTGTGCGAGGTCGGATACTATGGGGATGCAACACAAGGAGGTCCAGAGGCTTGTCAAGCCTGTCCATGTCCTCGACCAGAAAACAAGTAATTAGATTTTAAATATTTGTTAGACAAAGATTGAATTTGCATGACAAAAAGCCAAACTTAACCTGTTTTAGAAAATGTCACAAATTTAAAAAAAAGTATACTGTTTCGAGAGCATTTAATAATTAGGAATAGTTTGTTAGAAATTATGGATAGAATGTTAAGAATATCTCACAAAATTCTATATTCTTAACATTTTGTTAATACTTTTTAATTTCTAAATGCGTCTAGTTTCTTATATCAATGTGCCATGAGAAAAAAATTATTGTAAGTGAATTTGCTAATGGTGAAACTTTTATGATAAAAATGCTAAAATACATCCGGCACCAGACCTAAAGTTGTATTTGAACCAATTTGAAAAAATCATGATGGGTAGCAAACTATACGTCTTTAAATATTCAAAAACGTTAGCATCGTAGAAAGTTTTAAAAAAAATGTAAAACAACAAGTGATTTTTTAAAACTGTAATAAAAACTATTTTTAAGCCTTAAATTGAATTTTTTAATATCGAAAACCGCACCAGTAGATTCTCTTCAGTTGTTCGATAATCTTGTAAACCCCATATTATATCAACTTTTATTTTTTTAAGACAAATTATTTGCAACGGAAATTTGAAAGACAACAAAGAGCAATTTTAGTTTTGTCTAGAAAATGGAAATGTGAACAAAGTTCTTCATATCTTTTGTAAGTTTGAAAACGGAACAAGGGGGGGGGGTTGATAATTTCCACAAATCATATCATTTGTCAACAGATAATTTTACAAAGATTATCATGTTCTATAGGAGTTCTCCCTCCGTAAATCTTTCAGCGCGTTTCCACAGAAAAATGTCTAAATATATAATAAGTTTATTTTGATATTTTTAATTAGAAAATTATGGTTTATCGCTTGACTAAACCTATTCAGAAATTTTACTAAATGTATACTGAGGATTAGGTGATCTATATAAAAATATAATGATGTTATTTGAATAATTAGACGACGTATCATTTTCTGAGGAAGGGTGCCAGCCACATCATTTTGAATCCGAACCCATTTTCCTTTCTGAACCACAGCAAAATTTTACTAAATTAAACCATATGAAATTGTCAGAAAAAGTAAGTGTTCGGTGATATTCACAGAGCACTTTTAAATATGTTTTGCTTTAAATTGATAATTTAAGAAAAATGCTTTTTTTCAAAGATGTGTTAAATCAAGGTTATAATGCAAGGAAAGTTAAATGCAGTTGCGTATACTCTGCTTACATATTGAAACCAGTTCTCTCTGGGCGAAATTTGTAAACAAGAATAGATTCATCAGTGTTCATTTAGTATCCGAGGAGGTTAAAAGCATTAAATTTTGGTAATTTTGTTAATTCACATAATGGTTTTCTATGACCAAAATATTTCATTGATTTTTTATGTGAAAGATAGATCCAATGTCAGGCTTCGACATCCGTCTTGTGTTTACATTACCGCCCAGAGACGTTACACTGCAGTACAAAAGATGCGTACATCTCTGAAATAACTTTCCTTGCATTATATTTATAACCTTGTGTTAAATGTATTTTACGGGAAGGTTGTAGTGTATAACAGTGTACAACTTGGATTAACGCTAGCTATTTAAACTTTTCTTTGTTGTGCTAGTAAAAAAACATCAAAAATTTGCTTTGCCAAAATATATTTCGACATATTACTAGAGAACAAATTTAAAAAAATCATGACGTCTGAAATTCGGAACATTTTTTGACAATATGTATATAGTACTTCCCTCGCCACTCACACAAAAGATTTCCTAGTTTATATTGCATGGGTGGCTCGGAAAAGAAAATAAGGTAAATGTGGCTCTGATTAAGTTATGAAGTGTTTGGCCTCACCCCCTCGGTTAAGCTTCCAACTGCACTTATTTTTATTATGAATAATATAGATTACTTATAATTGATCAGGCTGTACATAATTTATTTTTATTTCACTAGTTTTGCTGAATCTTGTGATGAGCTGTTTACTGGTGCTACTCCTGAAGAACAGTTTTGTACCTGTAAAACTAACTATGTTGGGGATCGGTGTGAGTCCTGTGGAGCTGGATATTACGGGAACCTGGAGGAGGAGCAAGGTTTCTGCAAACCCTGCTCATGTAACGGAAATATTAATGTAACCGATCCAGTCGGTTGCAACCATATTACTGGTCTTTGTGAGCTTTGTCTGTTTAACACTTACGGAGAAGAATGTGAGCGATGTGAGCCATGGTTCTTTGGTGACGCGATCAGTGCTAAGAACTGTGAAGAGTGCGATTGTAATAGGGATGGTACAGAAGAGTGCGATCATATAAATGGACAGTGTAAATGCTTCCCTGGCGTTGAGGGTGAGCGATGTGATCGTTGTCAAGCTGATCATTTCGGATTCAAGTTTGGAGGTTGTTCGCCCTGCGAGTGTAGTGAGGCAAGTGTAAGTTCTCAATGTGATCTTGAGACTGGACAATGTATCTGTAGACCTGGAGTGGTTGGAGCCAAGTGTAGCAGATGTCTCAATGGTTTCTGGAACCTCAGTCCCTCTGGTTGTGAGAGCTGTGGTTGCAACACTGACTTTGCTGTTGGAGGAGGATGTAACCAAGTCAGTGGCCAGTGCGAATGTCTACCTGGAGTCATTGGACAGAACTGTGATCGTTGTCCTGAAAACTGGATCTTGGTGATGAATGAGACACGAACTGTGATGCCGGAGTGGAAGCAACCCTTCAATTATGATGAGGGATGTTTCCCATGTTCCTCATGTGTTGAAGATCTGATGGAAAGCACTAATGCTATTATTAACACATTGTCTCCTATAATGGAGGAGTTTAGAGAGACTGAAAAGAGTTTCTACGCCTATCGAAGATTGAATTTTATCGGAAATGAGATTGCCAGATTAAAGCCAGAGATTGCTTTGCTGGATCCCGCAGAAGGAAACAGAAGAGTTAAACCATTGGAGGACGAGGTTAATAATCTTCACTGGACATCAAAATCTTTAAACATAGACTTTAAGCAAAGTCTTATGGATGAATTATCAAGACAAGCTGAAGCTGTATCTGTTGATGGTAGCAATGCTGTTGCAGAAATGGGAGAGGTTGGAGTTAAAATCATGGCAGTTATAAAGGATGTTAAAGATGTGTCTGAATATCTAGGAGAAGGAGCACCAACAAAAGAACTTCTGGATACTTCAATCAAGACAGGACGAGATCTTCTTGAATCAATGCAGAACAGAGAACTAGCTCCTATCAGAGATCAAGCAGTTGAGGAGAGAGAGAAGTCAAGAAACCTAGTGGAAAAAGTCAAGGAATGGTCAAAACCTGTAAACGTATTCAAAACGAATGTGAATAAAACTGACGAGATGTTGACTGAGTTTGAGTCCAACCTAAATGATTTGTATGAACATGCATTAACTGCTGACCAAATGTCAACTGAAGCACAACAAGGTAACTTTCAAAACTCTGCCCCTCAGGCCCAAGCAAAGATTGGGAGAATCAATCAGTTGAATGAAGAATCTAAAAAGAAGGATAAGGCAGGGAGAAGGATGATAACTGAAGCAGAAGAGTTCATCAAGCTTGCCAAGGATGCCTACCAAAGTCTTGATGACAAAAAGGATGAGATGGATGAATTTCAAGATCGGTTTAGTGATAGAGAGCGAACATTTGAGAGTTCAAGGGAGAATATTTTCGAACTGGAAGGACAGGCTGCCATGAAAGCTGAAGATTTGGCTTATCAGGCAAATGAACTTGAGACTATTGCAGAAAGAGCCAAACTGCCGGCAGAAAATGCTCTTCAGGCAGCTATGTCTTATGAAAATATCTTAAATGCTGTATCAGATGCCGACATGGCGGCTAAGGCTGCTTATGTAGACGCTGAAGAGGCCTTTGTCATGAGTGACGGTGTTGCTGCTAAGGCAAATGTTGCACTAAAAGAGATTGAAATGATGTATGATGATGCAGTAAATGCTGAGGCTACTGTCCAGAATGTTCTGATCCCTGACCTTGCAAACTCTGTTGTCAGGGTTCAAGATTTATCTGAACAAACTAAATTAGTGAAGCAAAACCTAGGGATTATTTCAAAACAAATCGAGAAGATGGGAGATCTCAGCAGTACCATTAAGTCTACGAAGGATGAGGCCAGTAAAGCTCAGACTGATGCTCATGATGCTCTTACTTCAATTAACGCCAGAGCTTCAGAAATTAGTCAGAACAAGGAGAGGGCATATCAGCTGAGAAACGAGTATTCTGCCATGAACTTGCACTTGGCAAACACTGAGAAAGCTCTTAGAGACTATGTGGAGAACCCTGGTAGGGAAAAGAGGGATGCTTACCAAGACTATGATATCAACTCCAGACTTCAAAGGCTTACAGAAAGGAAAGAATTTATTTTGAGTACAGGAGATAGGATCAACGATCTAGTTAAGTCAATCAAGGAAAAGGTCGGAGATGCCAGAGGCCTTCTTGCTGGAATTGAGAATCCTGGAGTCACGTTCAACCGTGGATCTAACCTCGAAGTTGCAACTCCAGATCATGTTGAGGATTTGGCTTTGAAAACTGATGTTTCCTTCTACATGAACATCTCAAACTCTGGGGAGGATAATGAGAGAGACTTCTTGTTTTACCTCGGCAACTTGGAGGAAACATACAAGAAGATCCCCAGCACACTCACAGATGATTACATGGCACTGCAGGTAGGGAAGGAAGGACATGTTACACTAACTATGGATCTTGGAGCTGGACCTCTGGAGCTCAGATCTAATTCTCCAGTACCATACAACGACTGGGTGAAGGTTGATGTATCGAGACGAGGATATGAAGTAAACCTATCTGTAAGTACAGAGAAGGATATTGGTAACATTGAGACGGATACAGTCAGCGACTACCTTCCTTATCTGGATGACAAAGGACAACCATTTGGATCCGTGTTCAACCTGCATCAGGAGTACTCTAGAATATTTGTTGGAGGGTTTCCAACTGAGAAGAAGGTTCAAAGTAAGATCACCTCCACAGATATGGAAGGACAGGTGGAGGGATTGAAGATTAACGGGAAACCTGTCGGACTTTGGAACTTGAAGAGCTCTAAGATGATATCTGGAGCTTCTACCAGGTAAGATATAAAATTCAGTGATGGTGATGGACCAAACCTCTGTAGAGTAAAAAAGTAGATGTTAGTTCCACATTTATTGAAAATATATTTCGGTCTGGGTTGACCCTCGTCAGTTCTAACGATATAATAACCATCAAAATCGATTAAAAAAAATACAAAAAAATGTAAAAATCACAAGAATATAAACAAACAAAAAGATTATTCAAAATAAAAATTTGGGCTGTCAAATGGACATAAGGGAAAAGAACTCAGATTATGAGATGGGAAAAAGATAATTTGCAAATATTCACTTTCTAAAAAAAATGTTTTTAGACAATTATTATTCCTTGAGATTGTTTCTTCACAAAGATTAAAAACAAACTGTGTAGATGTGTGAATATTAGATAAGATAATTAGCACGACATTTAAAATGATTTTTACAGAGGAGCGTGGCTGATTCCCACTGATACCCTTAAACCTCTATCTGATCAATAATGCAGAAGATATAATTTTCATAGATAAAATTATGGATATCCTATGTATCCTTGATCAGTTTTTTTATGGTACCGTTGTGAATCAGACATACCACTCTGTCCCTGGGGAATCGCTTAAAATTAAGTCTTTTGTCCCTGCAAGGATATTTTGATATCTGATTCCTGATAGTCATGAAAAAAACATCTATATCTATATTTCTTTTATGGAGATTGTCATTCACAGTGGTACTGAAGGAAATTCAAGCCTTTTTAAAGGGACTGTAAAGGAAAAATATAAGGGTGTATAGGCTGAAATCTAATCACTTTAGCTCTTGATCGCGACCCATGAAAGTCATATCTGATGTTCCTGTCTCGAGAAATTGATATAAAACTGTGTCAAATTTATATGAAAATTCAAATATATACAATTTTGTATAGAAAGTAGGTTTAAACAGATCATATTCAGCAAATACATGACCAATATGAAAACGAAGATATCGCAGAGAAACCTAATTGTAACTTAGGTTTTCTCCAATTACGATTTTATAGTATTTATTTCTGTTAGATATAATTGATAATATTATTTAAAAGTCCATCACCAAGAAACAGGAAAATCAGATATAACTTTCATGAGTCACGATCAAGAGCTAAAGTGATTAGCTATCAGCCTATATCTCCTTTCATTTTTCTTTTACAGTCCCCATCTATATATAAATTTGGCTTGTCTGTCTGTCTGTCTGTTTGTATCCAATAAACGTCAAAACGGCTGAACCGATCGGGCCCAAATTTTTTGTGGGACATCAAGGGACCACAGGGAAGGTTTATGAATGATCAAAATTTCAAATATGTGTCTCCATCAAAATTCGATCTTCATTAAATTTTTAAAAATTTTGAAAATCCACGAAATTTTTTGTGAAAATCCGCGAACTATTTTTGTTTTGTTTTACGTTGTAAACAAAGAGAACATGTTCACAATTAATATATATATAAATTTGGCTTGTCTGTCTGTTTGTATCCAATAAACGTCAAAACGGCTGAACCGATCGGGCCCAAATTTTTTGTGGGACATCTAGGGACCCCAGGGAAGGTTTATGAATGATCAAAATTTCAAATATGTGTCTCCATCAAAATTCGATCTTCATTAAATTTTTAAAAATTTTGAAAATCCACGAAATTTTTTGTGAAAATCCGCGAATTATTTTTGTTTTGTTTTACGATGTACACAAAGAGAACATGTTCACAATTAATTTAGAAGATGGGAGCGAAGCGCCTTTAAGGCTATAGCCTTATAGCTAGTAAGGACTATATTTAAAAACTAATAGATTGTATCAAACAATGATAGAACAAAAAAAATTTTGGAAATAATTTAATTTATAAAATTAGGTCAAAATTCAAAACTGTTGGAGGATTTCAGAATTAGTGAATTAGTTTTATAGAGCTATGTAGTATTAGAAAAAAAATTCCCCAGGGCAGATGAAAAAAGTCCCCAGGGCCTGGTGAAAAAAGTCCCCAGGGCGGGTGAAAAAAGTCCCAATGGCGGGTGCAAAAAGTCCCCTGGGCGGGTGCAAAAAGTCCCCAAGTCGGGTGAAAAAAGTCCCAAGGGCGGGTGAAAAAAGTCTTGATGTCCTTCAATCCAACTGTGCAATGTTACTTCTAATACTCTAATACTCTAATACTGCTGTACAAATAAATCAGATTTGAATCGTATAAAGATGGAACCGAAAGATGTCAACTTTTAGATAAAATATCAAATTAATTTTTGCGTTATTAGTGTTCTTTATTATAAAATCGTCAAAGTTCTGTCTTTCAAAGGTTTCCGGATTATTTGTCAACCAAAAATTAAGATAAAACATCCTAAAAATAATAATGTATGTAAAATGTTCGTATAAAGTTTATTTAATATAATTAAAGTGGGTTTAAAGCTTGTGGACGGGGAGAGGGGAGTAATTATAAAAGAGTACAAAGTTGTTCTAAAAGTAGGGAGGGGCAACAATAAAAAATGTTTACATTTTTATTAATTTAGGAACAAGTTTAACTCTGTGAAGGAGAATGAGGCTAGGTTTAGTGGAGATGGATACATATCTCTAGACCCAACGAACTACTACACAGAAGGTGTCACATCCTCTATTTCCTTGAGAGTACGACCTCAGAGCCTCAACGGACTAATCTTCGTCCTGCTCCGAGAAGGTGGGGATCAATTCCTGGCACTGGAGCTCCAGGACGGATATCTATCCTTGAAGTTTGCAATGGAATCAGTTGGATCAGTAGATATTAGGTCTCCTCTACCCTTGAACCTGAACTCCTGGTACACCATAAACCTAGACAGGACAGGGATGATCGGATCCATCAGTATTGATGGTGTCCCTGTAGCACAGAACGGTTTGTCTGATGAGGACGGAGAGTTCATGCTGATGACTGATCTGTTCATTGGTGGAACACCACCTGGATCCAGCTATCCTGTTCTAAGCCAAGGATTCTCAGGTTGCATTTCTCATGTAAAAATTGAACCAGATCATGTGGACTTAGAGAGAAACCTGGACTCTGTTAATACATCTCCGTCCTGTAAGGTTCAGAGTAAGAACACAATATCCTTCCTGGAAGGAAGTCCAGGCTATGTTAGAATGCCGGATACTGAGACAAACGGATCCATCAGCTTTAGTTTTATGTTTAGAACTTCGGCTGTTCAAGGACTTCTCTTGTACATGGTGGACGATACTGGTATGTTCTACGTGTCTTTGTCAATGGTAGATGGAGCTCTTCATCTTTACACTCATCCTGACAATGAGTTGGTCACCACTGATTTACAAAACCAACCTACAAGGTTTAATGATAACAAATGGCACATTGTCTCTGTATCTATCACAGCTAATCCTGAACTAAGTATTAAAATGCATATTAATGATTACTATGTAGTTGCTCCCTATGAGGTTCAGAATATACCTCTTGTGGTTCCAGGTACAGGTTACTCTGTGTACTATGGAGGACTACCGGAGAAACTCCGACCTCTTATGTCTGGAGTATCAGCTCATGAAGGACCATTTATTGGATGTATCAAGGACGCCATAATGATGAATATATACCAGAACTTCCATGATGCTGAGTCTATGACTGGGGCAAGCTTAGGGGAGTGTGGATCTATGGATATCATAACAAGGATTGGACCTGATGTAGCAACTGCTGTTGAAACTGTTGAACCGGTTGATCCTGAAGATGCAGGGTTGGACGAATATGATCCGAAGGAACTCTACAATGAGAGAATAAACACAAGTCCTGAAGTGTATGGACAATGTAAACTTCCATTATCCCCAGCCTACGACACTGATCTCTCTGCTGAGTCCGGAATGAGGTTTGGAATGAAGAGTGACAGTTTCATAGAGTACATGAAGAAAAAGTTACCAGAGCAGATGAAAGAGAAATCCAGATTTGATCTTGAGTTCAAGACAACACACGATAATGGTCTTCTTCTCTTTATGAAACATGAAGAGAGATCAGACTTCTTAGCGCTGTTTATCAAAAATGGAAAACTGATCTTCAGTTTTGATTGCGGATCCGGACCCTCACATCTGGAGACTCCTTTCACTGTAAATGATGGACAGTGGCATACTGCGGATATTAGTCGGGTTGGAAATGAAGGAAAACTAGTGTTTGATTCCAGGGAGGTCAAGGTTCCAGACCATGGTAGGTATTCATCTAGTAACACCAAGATTATGGAGGTTTCCCCGAACCTATATATGGGAGGACTGGATGAGGAAATGAGGACAAACGTAGATATTAAACGTAAGCTGGAGTTCAACAACTTGGACATTATCCCAGGATTCATCGGTTGCATGAGAAAGGTTAGGTTTGAGGTTACAAAGAGTAACAAGAGACGAATGAAGTCTCTAGGTAGGTGGCAGAAGAATAACAATGTTATTCCTTGCTCGGAGAAGGTTGAACCTGGATATTTCCTTGGACCGGAGGGAGGACGAATCAAGGGGTTCCGAAGATTCAGAGTAGGAATAGATTTCGACGCTAGTATGATGATTAAACCGAGAAATATCTCCGGTCTTCTCCTGGCTGTCAGAGGGAGAAGAGATTACGCAATCCTGCAAATGGTAGATGGAGCTATTCAGTTTATGGTGGATAATGGCCGAGGTCCTATTAGTGCTACTTTTAAGCCTGATGACAGGTTCCAGTTCTGTAACGGAGAGTGGCATGAAATTCATGGTAAATTATCTTTATAATTCTATTTTTCTATAAAGGAACTAAACAACATGTCTTTTCAACCTGCTGTTTTAAACCTTCGATATTTTAAGTTGCAAAGATATAAGGATGTGTTTCATACAAGTCTTTAGTTCCTTAAAGGTACTGTAAAGGAAAAATGAAAGGGGGTATAGGCTGAAACCTGAGAATCTCAGGAGTTGATCGAGACATATAAGAGTTCTATCTGATGTTTCCTGTCTCTAGAATTGATATGAAACTGTGTCAAAATTATACCAAAACGTATATGTAAGATTTTGTATACGATTCGTAGTATTAAACAGATCATATTCAACAAATACGCAACCAATCTGAATACAACGTTATCCCAGAGGAGCCTGAGAAACTCAAGTTTGCTCCTATTATTATTTGAATTCAATAATATTTCATTTTTAATAGATAAATTGATAATATAATTTATGCGTCCGGAACATGTCACCAGAACTCCAACCAATGGCAGTGCAGCATTTTTGTCACGTGTCTCCGTCAATATCACTTGACTGCCATTGATGTACGTGATACGGAAGTATATCTTAAATGGAATACTGCTATTAGAATTCTTTTTAATGTACCTAGAGATACGCATAGGTACTTGATTGAAAGTATTTCACAAGTTTTACATGTAAAAACTATGTTAGCTAGCAGATGTGTGTCTTTATATGAGACTATTGAAGCAAGTTCTAAGTTTTGCATTAGATTTCTTTCTAATTTATGTAAAAATGACCTTAAGACAGTTCTTGGCAGAATTTTATTTTCTATTGCAAATGATTGTTCTGTAAATCCTTCCGATCTTAGTAAAATGTTAGTTAAGAAACAAATGAAATATTTTGATGTCCCATTGGAACATGAATGGAAAGTTTCGGTTTTACAAGAACTTTTAAGTACAAGAATGAATAATTTATATGTTGAAGGATTCGATGATTACGTAATAACTGAAAAAATAAATATGTTATGAAGTGAGCAAAAATTTATGTTTTCTATTTGTGCATAATTTTGCATATTTTTTCTCTTTTCTTTTGGAAACCTGTATTTTCAAAAAAAAATTATTTAAACAAATTTTAACTACACCATTTATATATGTATTTATATCTTTGTGTGTGAATAAATCTTTATAATAATAATAATATACGTTTTGGTATAATTTTGACAAAGTTGTATGTCAATTTCTCGAGGTATGAACATCAGATAGATGTCCTAAAGGTATCGCTCAACTCCTGATGTTCTCAGATTCAGTCTATACCCACTTTCATTTTTCCTTTTTCATTTTTTATATTTTTCTACTTTATAATTATGAAATTATAAAATAGAAAGAAGGAGACAATCAAATTTATCTGGCATTAATGGAACGACTTTGTGGGGGTCACAAAGTCGTTCCTCTAGCTTTGATTTGATGGCCAAGGATATTTATCCGTTTAAAAATTCAAACATTTTTGTTTTTCTAAATTGCTTTTTAATAAGAGGAGTTATGATGGCAAACATGAGATTTCAATCTTCCGCGTAGTTTACTTTAGTTTCACGTGGATAATCTTAAGTTTTTTCAACTCATACAATTTCATACTATTTTTCATCCTTTCAGTTTTCTAAAATATCTAAAAACTTTCTTTAAAAACAAATATTTTAAATAAATGTTCTTTCAGCTGTGAAAGCGAAGAACGTGGTCACACTATCGGTTAACAAGATATTTGCCCAGCCCGGAATAGGTAAAATTAATTTTTTTTCTAAAAAAGTTTCAAAAAAAAAATGCAGTTAATAACCCGGTGTGAAATGTAGGTGTACCTGGAGTAAGCTCTACAGATACTAACAACCCGTTGTTTTTCGGTGGACACCCCTACCCTGCCCGTCTAGGATTAGACTACTACACTCCATTCGTTGGTTGCATAAAGGATATTAGTGTAGAAGGAAAACAATTGAAGATTACTGATGATATGCTCTCTGGAGATGTACATGCTAACGTCTGCCCTACTATTTAACACTGCCAATATTTAAGTTTAAAATTTGTACTATTCTACTTATGTAATTTGTACTCTACTACTCATGTAATTTGTACTCTTCTACTCATGTAATTTGTACTCTTCTACTCATGTAATTTGTACTCTTCTACTCATGAAATTTGGGCTCTTATACTAATGTAATTTGTATACTCTTCTACTCATGTAATTTGTACTCTTCTACTCATGTTATTTGTACTCTTCTACTTATGTAATTTGTACTCTTCTACTCATGTAATTTGTACTCTTCTACTTATGTAATTTGTACTCTTCTACTCGTGTATTTTGTACTCTTCTACTCATGTAATTTGTACTCATCTACTCATGAAATTTGTACTCTTCTACTAATGTAATGTGTACTCTTCTACTCATGTAATTTCTACTGTTCTACTCATGCAATTTCTACTGTTCTACTCATGTAATTTCTACTGTTCTACTCATGTAATTTGTACTCTTCTACTTATGAAATATGTACTCTTCCACTCATGTAATTTGTACTCTTCTACTTATCTTATGAAATATGTACTCTTCTACTCATGTAATTTGTACTCTTCTACTTATGTAATTTGTACTCTTCTACTCATGTAATTTGTACTCTTCAACTTATGTAATTTTTACTCTTCCACTCGTGTATTTTGTACTCTTCTACTTGTGAAGTTTGTACTCTTCTAAGTTCTACTCATGTATTTTGTACTCTTCTACTCTTGTAATGCGTACTCCTCTGCTTAAGTAATAAGTAATTTGTACTCTTCTACTCATGTAATTTGTACTCTTCTACTAATGTAATGTGTACTCTTCTACTAATGTAATGTGTACTCTTCTACTCATGTAATTTGTACTCTTCTACTTATGTAATTTATACTGAAGTAATTTGTACTCTTCTACTTATGTAGTTTTTGTACTTTCATGCACTGATGTAATTTATACTCTTGTACTTTTGTAATTTGTATCTTATCTTATTTGATTTTTTCTGAATTCAAATATACGTAAATGATTTTGAAGATATTTTTTTTCTCAGAAAAGGCGAATCCTTTCAGTCTTGTTATTCAGAATCTGGTAAGTACTTTCAGTCTTGTTATTCAGAATCTGGTAAGTGCTTTCAGTCTTGTTATTCAGAATCTGGTAAGTGCTTTCAGTCTTGTTATTCAGAATCTGGTGTTTTTAAAATTTTTTCAGATTAATTTGGGTTCGTCTTCGTAAAGGTCTTACGAAACCTTTCCTATAAAGATGTTGAGAATGATTGATAAAGCATTAAAAACTTTCGGGCGTTAAGGAAATAATTTCAAAACTTGGAAAATTATCTGATTTTTAGCTAAAATGAATAAAAAATTAATATTATGCCAAAATATTTGAACTGAATTGCATGTTTTAACACTTTCCCTTTATTAACTATTTCCTTCTACCATCAACACTGATAATAACTCTTTAAAACTTTATTTTTTTTTTTAATATTTATTGTGAACTACGACTTGTTTATCTCGTACATGACCTCGTTATTTCTGTTCCAGAACTGGAGAGGATTATCATAGATAGCTGTGTAATAAAATTCCATGTTCATTTCTCTCTTTTGGTACTCTCCTTAAACAGAGAAATATTAAAGAGGACGACATTGTATATCTCCTTAAACAGAGAAATATTAAGGAGGACTACATTGTATATCTCCTTAAACAGAGAAATATTAAGGAGGACGACATTGTATACTATTTACTAAAATCCTCCAAACATTAAGCGGTATATAAAAGAACTCTCGTCGTAATTTAAAACGGCCTACACTTGAAATCTCTAGCTTGCTTGAAGAAAAGAGTTTAATTTTGAGAAATCTTACTTTGCTTCCTAGCAGGAGAAATGCGCAAATCACTTGTATAGGGAACCCATAATGGAAAATAATCATAATTCAAAATTTTATATATTATTTCATGGATATTTAATTCATGCTTTAAAATATAAAGCTTTTAATTTTTTTATTAGTTATTTAAAGGGACAGTAAAGGAAAAATGAAAGGGGGTATAGGCTGAAAGCTAATCACTTTAGCTCTTGATCGCGACCCATGAAAGTTTTATCTGATGTTACTATCTCGAGAAATTGATATAAAACTGTGTTAAAATCATACGAAAGTTCATAAATGTAAAATTTAGAAAATCTTAAACTTAAATCACGTGACCAGAACTATCACCAATGGCAGAGCAGTATACTGATCACGTGTCTCTGCCTGTATCACGTGACCACTTTACTGCACTGTCATTGGTGGATTTTCTGGTTAAGCAATTCGGACTTGTAAATAATATTATGAATTAAATCTATCAAAAATAGAAATAACAAATATAAAATTAGAATTGGAGTAAACCTAAGTAATAATTAGCTTTCTCGGGGATATTATCGTTTTCAGATTGGTTGCTTATTTGCTGAATTTGATCTATTTAAACCCACTACTTTTATACAAAATTGTATATATATTAATTTTCGTATAAATTTGACACAGTTGTAAATCAATTTAAAAAAGGCAGACCACATTTTGGAAATGGCAGGACAAGGGAAATTTTGTGATTATTATCTCTAGAAATTTACTTCTAAAATTAGGTTGACAAATAAACGCAGCAAATTATATCAAAAATCAAGACGACATTCAAGTCGTCCTGCATACTGTCATGTTTCGTGGGACACCCTGTACTATATTACGTAAATTTTGGTATTTGCGAAAATAAATAAATAGCCATAAATATGCAGGAACAGTTTTAAAGAGTTCCATATAATCATTTAATTAAAAAACTAAATATCTGCAACATTCCATTATCAGAAAATGAATAATACGACATTTTATGAATTCTTTCGATGTATTCGTTATTTAGGGTTTCACTGTATTTAGAATGTTATTTTACATTTTTAATATAATTTGTGACTACAAAAATAAGGATTCTGACCCGCTATTTTGTAAGATATTTTTATGACAAAATAATGATGTCAAAGGTTGTGAATTTGAACAAAATATTTTGTCAAAATTAAATTCTAAATCGTATTTTCAAAGTACTAAATTATTCATGGAACTATAAACTGCAATTTTATAATAACGAATTAATGCAGTACGTCCTGTACTGTCCTGAAATTATAGTTTGAAAATTGTTTATGTTTGCTGTAAAAATTTTTATGACTGTTGTAAGATTATTGCAAAACAAAACAATAAAACGTAAATGAATGTTCCGTTTAAAAATAATATTGCTTCGAATGATAAGTAAACTAATGGGAAAAATAACATGTTTAAACCTAAATCCGTAACACTACGGTTAATGCTGATAAGTTTGCATTGTGTAAAGGTCAAATTGTAATTGGATAAGGTCCTAATTGTGATTTGGTCGGGTCCAAATATTAAGTGTGTTTGAAATAGTAATTGCTAATTTGGATTTAACCGGGTGCACTGCCGCGCTTATATTAGGTGTCTGGTTTCATATTAGAAATTCAAAGCATCTTTGATTTGCTTAAAAGCTTATTGATAATATGAGTTTTGATTGAAAACAGTTAAGTTAAGTTTTGGTTTTCGTAAAATTTGGATAAGGGCAAAATATATTATTAAATCCGCGAACTTGTTATCTATATAATATATATATAGATGTTAGGATTTATGTATGCATATATATATATATTTATAGGTCAGCTATTGCTGGCCAAACGAATGGACCGAATGGGCTAAAATTTTTTGAGGAAACCCTTGAGTACCCCGGGGGGTAACATAGGCTAAATAGAGACACAATTAAAAGTTAAAATATAAGACGGGCCCGAAGCGCCAAGAAAGCCAAGTAATAATAAATGGGTCAGAATATCATGTGTAGTGTGTACGGTAAATCCTTATTGGAAGGAGTCGTATTTAATGTTTCGGTGTATATGGTTCAGTTCAATGCAAATAGAGGTTAATACAGGGTTAAAACATTTAGTTTGGTAATTGGTTTGGGGTGTCTTCCGAAGATTGCAGAAAATGTTCTCCTCCCTGCAGGGTTGAGTCTCTAGGATAGTTAGATCCTCCTGCAGCGGAGTAGGTGGGTCAACCTGTACAGCTGGGTCCAGGTAGAAACAAGTCTCATGAACACTTGACTTATTCTGAAAAAAAAATATTTTTTGCAGTCTGTAGATCATTTAGATATAACGAACATATTGTTAGTGTAATGTTTAAGTGCCCTCTCATATGGAAAGATGATAATGTCCGATACACAATAGTACCATTAAGCACTTTGGTTTATTAAGTATGAATTAGAGATACAATGTTGATAATTCTCTAAACTAATTTTTTTCAATTGTGAGTTCTCTACAAAGGTGACTTGCGCATTTCTTCAGCAGGAAAACATTATCAGAACTAAACACTTTTAGTTAAGTAAATATTTGGGATTGTATTAGAAATGTAATTGATTTCAAGGCTTGCATCCTTTCACTGCACGAAATATTTCCATAGACTCAAAAAATACATTTAGCGATCAGGTGTGAAGATAAAATTGTAATATATTCTTACCTCCATCTGTGATATCTTACTACGAACTGGAATAGTCATTTTAATTTCTTGTTTGGCAGAATTAAACCCAGAAATATACCTTACAAACAGCAACAAAACATTAATCACAGTAATGTAAGCATTAATCACAGTAATCTAAATTGCGCATTTTGTAAATTAAATAATGAACACATGTCAAGCACCACAAAAAAGTATTTGTGAGTTAGTAATGTAAAATCAAAGTCGTTTCGGTGTTGAAAATCTAAGCATAATTTGCATAGGTCGCTGGATGTCTGTGTAGAAAATTAAAGTAAAATTTGCATGACTCGCTGGATCTCTGTGTAGAAAATTGAAGTAAAATTTGCTTAGCTTGCTGGATTTCTGTGTAGAAAATTGAAGCAAAATTTGTATCGATCGCTGGATCTCTGTGTAGAAAATTGAAGCAAAATTTGTATGAGACAGGAGACACATGATCCCAATCCCATTGCAGGAACAAGAACACAGATGAGACGAAAGGATACCTAGAGATGCTACATGGAGAGGTTATAGCTGGGCGAGCTAGCCTGAATACCTATGCAGAGCTGAGCAAAGCCAAGAATAGTTACGGAGAGAGAATACTAGATTTTAACAAGAGCACTCGAAAATAAAATGAAAACTAGGAGAAGGTTTGTGAATGGTGCGAAAATCTGGCATTTGTTACATAATGATTTTAAAATCGGTAATCTTTGTGAATTAAAATATTTAATTTAATTTGATTTAATATTATAAATACAAGTAAATTTACAGTATACAATTGTACAGTTTATCTACCTGAACAGTTTTATGTACATTTGTGAACTAGGCTGATCTTTCATGGTTTTATATTCATTTTCAAATATATTTTCATTTTCAGATATATCTTCTTCGTCGAATATATTCTCACTTTCCAATAGATCCTCCTCCTTAATTGTATTTTCATTTTCAGATTTATCTTTCTTTTCAAATATATCTTTAAAATTATCTTTGACTTTCGCCTAAAACTGCCATTGTTAAGAGATCATAATAATACTTAGTTAATTTATTTTTTTATGGCAATTCTATTATAACATTTTTGATTAAGGTCATACTTTTTACACTTGTTATGATAGTGAAAACAATACTAATGAAAATATTGATAATAATAATGTCTATGATAATAGCTGTACTAATATCAATAATAAAAACAAAAATAATAATGTTAATAATAAGAATAATAATATTGATAATATTATTAACTAGCTTCAGTGCCCGGCATTGCCCGTGGATATCCAGCTGTTTTACCAGCTAAAGCTAACATATATGTAATAATAAAATAGCAATAATAACAATAATATTAACAATAATACAATAATAATAATCCAAATTGGCTGAATTTCTTTTGAGGGAACTCAGGGGTATACCTTGGGGTAGTTTTTTTTAATATCACGGGCAACGCCGGGAAGGGTTCGTTTTATAAAACTATAGGATCACCTGAGTGAAAACCATTCTTGTACAAACCCACATTACAGCTGGATAATCTCTAATCTCGTAGCTCAGATCATCCTACGAATCAAAAATTTACATTCCTCTTTCATTGAATCCCGGCCCGCTAATCACAAAGCTCTGCAGGTCCTTGTTAAAGTCAGATCTTAACAAAGGAATATCATTTATTCCTAAATCTTTCAATAAAGACTCTTAAATGTAGAACCTCAAAAATACAAATAATTTTTTTTTATGAATTACATGAACCCTCTTTTTGGAAATGTTTCAGAACATAATAAAAAATTCATGTAAATTATTTAAATTCATTGGTGAACACAGTTTATTCTATATTTATTGACAATTTGATGAACATAAAAGACAATTTAGAAAATATTGCATAAAAATTAAAAAGGGTTTTCTTACGTAAACAATTCTTTCTACAACAGTGTACGGAACCTCAGCATATTCTTTATTCGTAATTTTGTCAACTTTTTCATTCTCAACCTCATCTACACTACTGTCAACAGCTTCTCTAAAAATATAGAATTTTGCTGTCCCCGAAATACTCTAGGGTTCACTTAAAAAATATCACCCATTTGGCCAGCATTGCTAACATATATATATATATATATATTTTTTCTCCAGCATATCCTTTCCCCACCTTGTACATAACATTCAAGTTATAAAAAATACATTAATTACCAGCGGATCATTTTTTGTTAATGTATAATTTGTTTTAAAGACTTTGATACGTTATTAACGTTGTAAACCACAGTCCTGCGAATTGTACATCTCCCGCCACGGGCGCCACTTTAATAAGTTTACATGTTAATGTTTAATATATATTATTTACTTACTAACTTACAATTATATATGAGCGATGAGCTTTTATTATATAGGTAACACTAGAAACTAATCTAACCAAATATTCTCTTCAATACTTGAGTGCGTGCAAGGTACTAATGCAAGGAAAGTTAATTGCGGTTGCGTATACTCTGCGTACATATTGAAACCAGTTCTCTCTGGGAGGTATTTGTAAACAAGAATAGATGCATCAGTGTTTCCGAGGAGGTTAAAGCATTTAATTTTAATAATTTTGATAATTCACACAATAGGTTCCTCTGACAAGAATATTTCATAGATTATTTTTGTGAAAATGGATTCAATGTCGTTGTATAATTTGTCTGAATTTTATAGTTTTTTTGATTTAGTTAGTTCGTTTGTTTTCAGACCTGACTTCTCGTTCAATAAAGTTTAGGTGAAGATAATCTAATTTTAACGTTTTTCGAGATTAAAATTCGCAAATTTCTTCCTTAAAACGTTTCAGAGCGGATGGTTATTTTACACAAATGTCCCAAGGGAACGTTATGTATTTTAACTTCCCTCTTTTGGAAGAATCTTAGGTCGGTAATGTTGCTCAAAAGGCGGTAAAATCAATAAATATTAAATAAAGTAAAATAATATTTACAGCTGATATAACTGTGGAGCAGCGAAGGTTCCCACCAATCCAAACCCAGCAATAAGCACAATAATCTGAACCATACAGAGATAAGAATTTATGAAAGCGAAAAGTAATTGAACCGCGAGGACGTATTTGAACCACCAAGTAGAAGGAAGACAAGTTCAACTATATCCCGCTATTTATTAAATCTGGTTACAAATCTTTAATAGTTTAAAAAATTCGGTTAAACACTATTTTATGAAAAAAAACTGGTTTTAACTAGTAAACTTTTTAAAAGTCTAAGTTAATAAAAGAAATTTTAGTTTACAAATCAAATAAAGATATATTTAGTTTATATTGGTATAGATTTACTTTATAATCTATTTATTGTTAATTAAAGATCTAAACTAAATACTGGATTTGAACTGAGTTTCATCAGTTATTCACAAAAATGTATTCTTTAAAAATATTAGATTTTAACTTTTTATCTGTAGTATATCAAGGATGAAATAAATAAGCATTCACTTAGAATTAAACTAAGAAATTAACAATATTCTTTTTTTTATTTATTTTGGCAATTTATTTTTAAAATTTTTGTTCACACATTATATTATGCACCTGCATTTGGGTGCAGCTGCAGTGGTGAAGCTACAATGTCTTATATATACTTTATTTACTGCCCATACGCAGTTTAAATTGTGTTTACACTAATTAACAAAGACAAATAAATAAATAATGAATGAGATGTCTGGTTTATCTGAGCATACGTATTACATAGTACGTACACAACAAATTGTCGTATTATAAATCTTTAAAGGAATTGAGTCTTTGTCACAAACTCTGATTTATTAATCCCTTTATCTTCCCAACCCAGTGTCGTAGACCTTAGATATTTCAAACCATGAATTCTGATGAATCAAATATCTAAGTTTGAAATATCAAAGGTTTACATTATCTGGTTGTAGAGATATAGCTATTAGAAAATTTGAATTCGTGGCAAAGACTCAATTCCTTTCTAAAAAAACACTATACAAATAATAAAAGGAAGCTACCAATAAAAATTCTACACACAAAATAACTTCACTTCTAACATGCTACATTAGATAAAAATATCTACTTTAGAAAACGGGTCACAATAAAACTGTATCAGAATCACAGTACTTACAAAATCCATGGGCCACGCCGGGCACTTCGACCAGTGTATTATATTATAGTTTTAGGCTTTAGCTTTAATTTGTTTTAATAATAAATAATCAAGTTGTTCAATAAATCATTACTTGGTTTGTGACTTTAATATGTAGTTCAAAAACATATTTTTTTTCAAAAAAATCAAACACACCTTGAAAATCCTATGTTTTTTGCTAAATCTTTTGATAACCATTTTTGCGAAATTTGATTCTTATTTCACGAACATTATTTATAAGATATTAATAGATTTCAAATGTTTGACTACAAAAATTAGAAACGATGATACAGAAAAGAAATGGTTTATGTGGTTTGAAATTATTTGGTATGGTTTGGCATGTTTTGGCATTGTTTGGTATTGTTAGTATGACTTGTTTTTAATCTGCAAGGCATGATTTTGTTAAGTTTGTTTTGTTTTGGTATGATTTGGTATAGTTTGGTATGGTTTGGTTTGGTTTGGTATGGTTTGGTATGGTTTGGTATGTTTAGTATGGCTTGTTTTTAATCTGTAAGGCATGGTTTTGTTGAGTTTGCTTTATTTTGGTATAGTTTAGTATGGTTTGGTATAGTTTGGTATAGTTTGGTATAGTTTGGTATGGTTTGGTATAGTTTGGTATGGTTTGGTATGTTCTGGTATGGTTTAATATGGTTTGGTGTTGTTTAGTATGGTTTTCTATGATTTTGAATGGTTTGGTATAGTTTGATATCTTTTGGTTTGGTTTGGTATGGTTTGATATCTTTTGGTTTGGTTCTGTACTGTTTAGGACGGATGGTTTGGTTTAGAAAAGTTTGGTATGGTCTGAATCGTTCAGCATTGTTTGTTATGGTTTGGTATTGTTTTTTATTTTTTGTATTGATTTGTATTGTTTTGTATTGTTTGGTATTGTTGGTATGGCTTGAAACTAATGTAATGGTTTAATATAGTTGGTATGGTTTGGTATGGTTTGGTATGGATAGGATAGTATGTTAAAAGTGTGTGAAAGGGTTTATTATGTAAGGTATGGTTATGTTGGCATATAATGGTTGCTAGGATTTGGTTGGATTTTCTAACGATCTAGCTGGTTGGCAGTGTGGGTTGGATGGAAGGATTTCGTTGTTATAGAAAGAATGTGGTATCCATGTTCACCATGTTAACGTAACAATACAATACCTGTAATATTAATAAACGGTACTCTACCTACAGCATACAGGGCCCCTCTACCATAAATAATAAATGATTTAACTGAAACCAAAGCTGAGGTTTGCTCAAACCTGGCAGGGAGGTCGGGGGAAGGTTTAAATGATTTATGAATAATTTATCATAGAGAGTACCGGAATAGAGTTTTAAATAAAAATAGAAACTTCTGAAACTGGAAAGTAAAGAACAGAACTGGAAAGTAAAGAATAGAACTGGAAAGTAAAGAACAGAACTGGAAAGTAAAGAATAGAACTGGAAAGTAGAGAATAGAACTGGAAAGTAAGGAATAGAACTGGAAAGTAAGGAATAGAACTGGAAAGAAGAGAATAGAACTGGAAAGTAGAGAATAGAACTGGAAAGTAAGGAATAGAACTGCAAAGTAAAGAATAGAACTGGAAAGTAAAGAATAGAACTGGAAAGTAAAGAATAGAACTGGAAAGTAGAGAATAGAACTGGGAAGTAGAGAATAGAACTGGAAAGTAGAGAATATAACTTGAAAGTAGAGAATAGAACTGGAAAGTAGAGAATAGAACAGGAAAGTAGAGAATAGAACTGGAAAGTAGAGAATAGAACTGGAAAGTAGAGAATAGAACAGGAGAGGACAGAACTGGAAAGTAGAGAATAGAACTATAAAGTAGAGAATAGAACTGGAAAGTAGAGAATAGAACTGGAAAGTAGAGAATAGAACTGGAAAGTAGAGAATAGAACTGGAAAGTAGAGAATAGAACTGAAAAAGTAGAGAATAGAACTGGAAAGTAAAGAACAGAACTAGAAAGTAGAGAATAGAACTGGAAAGTAGAGAATAGAACTGGAAAATAGATAATAGAACTGGAAAGTAGAGAATATAACTGGAAAGTAGAGAATAGAACTGGAAAGTAGAGAATAGAACTGGAAAGTAGACAAAAGACCTGGATAATTGAGGATAGAACTGGAAAGAAGAGAATAAAACTGGAAAGAAGAGAAAAGAACTGGAAAGTAATGAACAGAAGTAATAAGGAATGACGAAAGGAAAAATATTTTTAAAGGATTAACACTTGCAAAATATTAAAACTGGAAAAAGGATTAAAAGGAAAAAGATAATAAAGAAAAAGGTTTAGAAGGAAAAGAAAAAGAAAAAAAGGAAAAGTATTAAATAGAAAAGGAAAATAAAAAAAGTGAAAAAAAAATAAAAAAGGAAAAGAATTAAAAAGAAAAAGGATTAAAAAGGAAAAGATGAAAAAGGAATAAAAAGGAAAAAGATGAAAAGGGAAAAGGATTAGAAAGGAATAGAATTAAAAGGAAAAGGATTAAAAAGGAAAAGATGAAAAAGGAAAATGAATAAAAAGGAAAAAAGGAAAAGGAATAAACTGACAGAGGATTAAGTTGTTATTGCTAAGATCTAAATTAAGCAATGATAAAGACGAATTGATTCCATTTCCAAAGAAGGGTAAAGGTTTAAAAAGAATGTATACACGATATGCAAAGCAAAAGTGAATGGAAAATTGGAATGGGAGAAGGATTAGAAGTTTTGTCTTGTTGAGGTTTCGTTGACTCTTTGGACTATGTGTACATTTAAGTTTTCATGTATCCTTGGATATTTCAAAATACTTTAAACTCCGCAGAGGAGTTTGCACCGTGTATCTATGTAGTCACCAAAACACAAATCAGGCTGGGCTGGTTGAACTCCAGGCCTAGATTTATGTAACGAGGCACAACCCAGCTCCAGGGTTGTATAATATGCCTGGAAAGGTTGGGTTGGGTTACATGGTGTTATGGTGACAACCACACACGACGTTAACATTTTAAACCTCAGCTCCTAACCTACTTCAATACAATTCAAACTTCAGACAAAACTGGTCACAGGTCAATATTATAACACTTGTTTCAACATTTTTCACTGCACCAATCTACATTTTACTTTTTTCTTTTATTTCTAATTTCCGTTCACAATCCAACTTTCTTGGTTTCCTAACTGTACAGGATTACTTTCCAGGCTTAATTTAAAGATTCTTTTTTCAGGTTCCTTTTTCTGGCTCCCTTTCCAGGTTCCCTTTCCAGGATTCCTTTCCAGGTTTCCTTTCCAGATTCCTTTTTTCCAGGTTCCTTTCCAAGCTTCCATTCCAACACCCTTTCCCGGTTCCCTCCCCATTTTCTATTTCCAGGTTCTATTTAGAGGATCCCTATCCAGGCTCCCTTTCCAGGTTACCTTTCCAAGTTCCCTTTCCAGGTTCCCTTTCCAGATTCCTTTTACAGGTTCCCTTTACAGGTTCCCTTTTTAGGTTCACTTTCCAGGTTCATTTCCAGTTTCCCTTTCCAGATTCCTTTTCTTGGTTTCCTCTCCAAGTTTCCTTTTCCAGTTCTCTTTCCAGGTTCTCTTTTTAGGTTCCTGGCCCATTTTCCCTTTCCAGGTTCCCTTTCCAGATTCCCTTTCCAGGTTCCCTTTCCAAGTTCCCTTTCCAACACCCTTTCCGGGTTCCCTTTTCAGTTTCTATTTCCAGGATCTATTTCGAGGTTCCCATTCCAGGTTCCCTTTAAAGGTTCCTTTTACAGGTTCCCTTTTTAGGTTCCCTTTTTAGGTTCACTTTCCAGGTTCATTTCCAGTTTCCCTTTCCAGATTCCTTTTCTTGGTTTCCTCTCCAGGTTTCCTTTTCCAGTTCTCTTTCCAGATTCCCTTTCCAGGTTTCTCCGTTTCCAGGTTCCCTTTCCAGGTTCCCCCTCCAGATTCCCTTTCCAGTTTCCCTTTCTATGTTCTCTTTCCAGGGTCCCTTTCCAGGTTCCCTTTCCAGATTCTCTTTCCAGGTTCCCTTTCCAGATTCCCTTTCCAGGTTTTATTTCCAGGTTCCCTTTCTAGGTTTCATTTCCAGTTTCCGTTTCCAGGTTCCCTTTCCAGTTTCCCTTTTCAGGTTCCCTTTCTAAGTTCCCTTTCCAGATTCCCTTTCCAGGTTCCCCTTCCAGATTCCCTTTTAAGATTCCATTTCCAGGTTTCCTTTCCAGTCATTTGAAGTGCCTTTTAAGGGTCCCTTTCTAGGTTTCATTCTTTCAGGTTTCCAAAATAAGGTTTTCTGGAAATGTTTCCGAATAAGGTTCAAGAAAAGGTTTCCTTAAAAGGTTTCCTGAAAAGGTTTCCTAAAAAGGTTTCTTAAAAAAGTTTCCATATAAGGTTTCCTAATATGGTTTCCTATAAAGGTTTCCAAAGATTGTTCCTATCCTAACAAGTAACTGTCCTAATAAATAAAGTAGTTTTTATTTCAGAGGTTTGGCAGATTTGATTCCAGAGATTCTACAAACTCGGAGCAAAGACAAATAAACTAAAAACTAAAATTAAAATAATCATTATTTAAAGTTTCTGCTGGAGAAATATCATAACTACGATGATATTTGTCGAACAGTTTGGCATGTTTAGATCTGTTATCCAAAAATCATAAGAATTATGATTTTTGTTTAACAGTGTATAGCGTATCAGGCATATTTTCAATAATATAATAAAAATAAATAAAAATAAAAATATTATTTATAATCAAAGGAATTGAGTCTTTGCCACAAACTCTACTTTTCTAAATCCTATATCTTTGGATTCCAATGTCAAAGACTTACGACATTGGGTAATAAAGATATAGGGATTATAAATTCAGAGTTTGTGGCAAAGACTCAATTACTTTTCTCTAATGAAATATTTAATAATCTAATTTAGTTCCTGATGAGGTTGAAACGACGACAATTGTTCTACCGACCAACCCGCCCTACGAGGTTGCTTGTTTATTTTTTTTCAGCTAACCATTCTTTCCCCAGATGTTAGCTTTGCTCTGGCTATTTTTATCCAGTCTCAGTAGTAGTCAGTTATTTTTTGCCTTTTGTCAAAAGTTATTGTTTCTCAGATGTTGTCGGCAATGTTTTTTAGAAATTAAAAGTAGTTTTTTGTTACATGTCTGATACACATTTTTCTCAGTATTTTCATATTCTCAGCATTATGATTCAGTTTTCCCATTTTATTCTTTTTTCTTCGCAGTCCATCGGTTTTCAATTGTACTTTTGCCAGTAGTCTGTCTAGTTTTTTTTACTGTGTTCGTCAGTAGTCTGTCTAGTTGTTTTACTGTGTTCTTCAGTAGTCTGTCTAGTTTTGTTTACTGTGTTCTTCAGTAGTCTGTCTAGTTTTTTTTTACTGTGTTCTTTAGTAGTCACCAGTATGTCATATATTTATGTGTTTAACTATTTGTTTATTTATGACTGATCTGTGGTCGGAGTTTATATAAATATAATGAAGACGACTTTTCTTTTTAAGTTTTGATTTATAACGAGCTTTTTTCAAATTACAAGCTTAAAGATAAACAAAGAGAAGCTGCTGATTGACAGCTTCTATTCAAGTTTCCATGTTTAAGTATCATTATCCATGCTGTTTGAAAGCTTGGTTGAAACACTGACTTCAAAAGTCGTCTTTGTATTGATTTATACGACAACGACTGTAGTTAGTATTGTAGTGATCAGTAGTCAGTTATTTCTGTTGGTTTGTTTAAAAGCCATTTTTTTATAATGTAATCAGTAGTCATGTTTTTGTTGTCTAAAAAGTCTCAAATTAAAATTTTTTGCCTAGGTTCGATTTCCAGAGACCACCGACTATTATTGGTCTCTGTTTACAAAAAAAGTCACGGAGAAGATTGGAGGGGAACCTCAAGAATCTCAAGTAATTTATCCATTAATCCATTCATCTTTTGATTTATTAATCCATTAATCCTTTGATACTTTAATCCATTAATCCTTTCATCTATTAATGTATTAATCCATTTAATCTATTGATAAATTGATACAGTAATATACTAGACCATTAATTGAATAATCCATTAATCCTTTGATACATTAATCCATTAATCCTTTCATCTATTGATTAATTAATCCATTAATCCTTTAATCTATTAATAAATTGATTCATTAATATACCAAACCATTAATTCAATAATCCATTAATCATTTGATACATTAATTCATTAATCCTTTCATCTATTGATTTAATTCAATAATCCATTAATCCATTAATCCATTTTTACATGGATAGAAAAACTTTTTTACATTTATTTAAATACATATCTAAAATGGACTTATTTAGGGTCCTTTTGGATTCGGTAATGGAGTTCAGTTAGACCAATCAGAATCACAGGTATTTTAATGTTTTTTCAGTGCGATACGTTTTTACACTTAAATATTCCTTATGAAAAGTAAATTCAATTCAAATATTGCATATTTTAATTGTGTGAAATATATTTTCTTTCAGTGTGTTGTAGACGATGATTTCCAAGATGAAGGTGACGAATGTGCCGTGAACCCTGTCAACTGTGCTGACGGGATAAGCTACTCAATGTTCTATAAGAATACGTTTAGGAAAACAATATAAATAATAACTATAATATATATATATATATATATATAAACTTTGCTTAGGTCGGTGTTTGTTTGTTTGTATTGTATCCAATAAATGCCAAACGGCTGCTTCGATCAGGCCCAAATTTTATGTGGGACCTCACTGATTCAAAGTTAAAGGATCAGAATTTAATGAATTTGAGCTGGGTCGCAGACCTACCTTCTGCCGGTGCAAATTTAAACCACCGATTCAAAATTAGATTAAGGAAGAATTTGGATCGGTGATTCAAATTTGATCCAGCGGTATTACGATAGGCATTTCAAATTAATTAAATTCGGTCCCGGGACGGATTTTTAATGGTGATTAATATTTGAATCGGCGGTAAGCAGTTCAATGATCCTTCAGCGGTCTCTGAAAAATCATCAAAACAAATTTTAACTCCCCCTAACTTCCCTAGTGTGGAAACCGTGAATGTAAAACTTGTATTTATTATTGTTTAAATACTAGTATAAACCCTTCAGACCTGGAGACTGGTGATCCTACTCAGTTTGATAGAAAGTATATACTAAGTACAGGTATAGTAATCTATATACATGAAGTAGTAATCTCTGTTTGGGTGTCTGTCTGTTTGTTTGTTTGGTTGTATGTCAGATTATAACACTCATGAACCCTTTCACAGATTTGCATCGAATTTTGATTAGGGAATATTCCTATCTTGGTTTAAAAGTTTTCAGCTGAGAGGATTCTTTTTTGGTAAGATTTTTATTTTCAGGCAAAACTGGGTTCTGTATATATATAAAGTTGTATTCTCTGTTTGGGTGTTTGTTTATGTGTACGTCGAATCATAACTGATGAACCCCTTCACCCATTTGCCTCAAATTTTGATTGAGTAACTAGGAAGAAAGACAGAAATGGATAAACGGCTGGAGTAACTATGAGTAACCAGGGTAACAATAGTAGCAAGCATGAAAACGTGTAAAATATGTCTTGGAATGTCATAATGTGTAAATCTCGTTTTCTCTTTTAGCTGCTGATCAATCTACATGTCAGTTGATATGTCTTATGACAGATATAGAAAAGTATAGAATGTCTATTTAGGAGGAGCTAAAGATACCCCAGGGGTTGGAATATTCCTCAGTGGACCTTTCCTAGGTTAAATTATTTTTGTTTTTCATTTCATTTTGATTTTTTTAAATATGTGGTTTTTTATGTCTCATATATAAAAGGTTATTTTTTACATAAAGTTAAAATCTTAACCTTGTTTTGAAAACAAGAAAACAATTTTATGTTATAAATGCTAGGAGCTGAGTTGAGTACTGGTTTGGAGACCTGGTCTATAATAATACGCGGCATACTTCCGAAGAACAACACGTGGAATAATATTGCAGTACGCTGGAAACAACCAGTAACAGACCAGACAGAATTTAATACCTTCAAGGATAATAATCAAATGGATATGATCGGAGGTCTAGAGATATTCCTCAATCTAGAGAAGGTAAAATATTATTTCAATAGAACATACACATGGTCCTCTTCTGTCCTTTTTTCTTTTAAATATCTATATAAATATATAAAGTTGTAATCTCTGTTTGTCTGTCTGGATCTGTTTGTTTGTTTGTCCAATCAAAACTCGGGAACCCATGGTCCGATTTTCCTTAAATTTTGATTGAGGAACTCGGGAGAGTCACGGAATTGTTCTTAGCTCGTGAATGTTCCTAGCCAAGAGAATGTTCTTGACTTGAGATTTTCAGTTGAGTGGGTTGGCTTTAATCGGGAAAAATAGCTTAAATCGTAATTTACGACAAGCGGCGGATACACGGTGGGACTAACTACGACTAGGATAGCTATTAAAAAATACATTTAGGTTGGGCACGCAATCTGGTCTGCGGAGGCAGAGGCTGCGGCACTAGCTGGCGAAGATCCACCAAAAGTAAACGAGAACGCTAAGGTAAAAATTGGCAACTTTTTTGTCTAAATCTTTTCGATTTAATAAATCATGCTTTTTTAGGAACCCCTGCCCAAACCAACATTGATTCTAGGATGTCATAAAACAAGCGATGATACAGCTTATAGGCAAGTAATTTTACTCAAATATTCCAGGATATTTTACTTAAGTATTAAAGGATATTTTACTCTAGTATTCAAGGATATTTTACTTAAGTAATCAACGATATTTTACTCAAGTATTCAAGGATATTTTACTTAAGTATTCAACGATATTTTACTCAAGTATTCAACGATATTTTACTCAAGTATTCAAGGATATTTTTCTCGAGTATTTAAGGATATTTTACTTAAGTATTAAAGGATATTTTACTCAAGTATTCAAGGATATTTTACTCAAGTATTCAAAGATATTTTACTCAAGTATTAAAGGATATTTTACTCAAGTATTCAAGGATATTTTACTCAAGTTATTTATACTTTTATGGCCTAAATTTATTTCATTTTTTTCTTCAGAAATTTTGCCGGCGGTGTGTTCGATGAAGTAGCAATCTGGAGACGCCATGTGATGGATAACGAAACTGGAATATTTTACGGAGGATATAGTAAGTTAATTTGCATTTTTTTGTGTGATTTTGTTTTTAGATACAATCAGACCCATTTAACTTAGAAAGACGACCTTTCAACCTGTTTTCTTATCAAATGTTTCAAATATATTCTTCTTAAATGCATTTTCTGAAGGCTGAAATAATATTTGAATGTTTTGTTTAGATATAAATAAAAAAGGAAATCAATATTTCAAAAATAAATAAATTAAATATTGTAAAAAAAGTTCATTGTTTTGCAGAAGAGAGTTTCACTGGTATTTCCTCTGAAGAGCTGGTGAATATGATGAACGGAGTTGATCTAGCAGACCCAGCTCAAGCTGCTGTTGCTGTTGATGTGCTCAATGCTGTTGTTGGAGGAGGAGCTAAAACAACACCATTTAGAAACATCTTTCCAACCCAACCCACCACAACAACAACTGCAAAGTAAGCAATACTCTCCTTTAAATAATTACCTTGTCTACTATATTTACATGTTGGTCTCTAAACATACCCCTTCCAAAAAAGTAGGTCATTTAGCTCAGACTCAAACTTTAAACAAATGATCTAGACTCATACCATACTGTTAAAAAGTTTGTTAGAAACCAAATTTGACATCGAAAGTCGTCTTTGGTATATTAATATATACGACGAAGATTGTATAATTTTCAAAAAGAAGCTGTTGACAAAATCAATTTTTCTAGTCCGAACCAGCCTGCAGCTACTGTAAATCCGAACCCAGTTGTAACAACAGTTAGAACAACAACAACATCAACACCACCACCAGTAACGGAGAAAGGTAATTTAGGAATAAATAGTGGAATGATTGTCGTCTTTGTCACTGAAAATTTCAGGTTTATCTGAAATACCGGACTAACTCTCAGGCAGATAGAGCTGTATGGTACACATACAGACTAAGTACAGTACAAACTTTCTGGCAGATAGAGCTGTATGGTACACATACAGGCAGATAGAGCTGTACGGTACACATAAAGGCAGATAGATCTGTACAGCACACATTCAGGCATATAGAGCTGTACGGTACACATACAGGCAGATAGATCTGTACAGTACACATACAGGCAGATAGAGCTGTACGGTACACATACAGGCAGATAGATCTGTATGGTACACATACAGGCAGATAGATCTGTACGGTACACATACAGACTAAGTACCGGACTCACATTCAGGCAGATAGAGCTGTACAGTACACATAAAGGCAGAAATAGAGCTGTACAGTACACATACAGGCAGATAGAGCTGTACAGTAAGCATACAGACTAAAACAGCAAAGTGGTGAAAAATCGCTAAGGGTTTAGTCTTTTTATTTCTGTGCCTTGAACATTTTAAAACTGTTTCAAAACAATATCAAATAAAAACACAAAATAAAATAACAAATAAACAAGATAAACCTAAACGATTGGAAACAGAGACTAAAAATATAATATGATAGTTGGAAACCAGTCGTTCTAACATCAATGCAAGTTTTCTCTCCTTCATAAACTCCGACCTCTGAAAAATATATAAGAGTTGGAAACCAACCCTTCTAAGATCAAAATAACTTATCTCTCCTTCATAAATACCGACCTCAGTACAGATTGAATTCTTGAAATATTTCAGGAAAGAGTGAGAAGGATTTGATAAATTTCAAGAATATCCTGATGAAGCTGACAGCCGAAGCAGGAGTAGCTCACAACCTCACAGAATCACAATTCAAGAAAAATATGGTAAATACATTTTTTATACAGTCTTTCACACCAAATATGACAGCTCAGAGACACTTAGAAAATCGTCTCTTATCTTTTAAATAATTTGCGGCATTCTTTATAACTGTAAAAGTAAGTTATCAAATGAATGCTATACAAATTATTTTAAAGATTTTCTATATTCTGTTAACTGTCATTTTTCGTGGCACACCCTGCAAAATTCCAAGAATTGCATTTTTAATTATTTAACTTTCAATTATAGGGTCGAGTAGGTTTGGTGGGGAACTTTTTCAAATCTGCCAATCAGCCAGGTTGGGAGGAAGTGTCACAAATTGCCAGCGAGGGTGGATCTCATGAACTTAGGTACCTGTCAATCAGTTCACGGTTATATCCGGCATTTATGGTTTATTCATTATCAATTATATATTATAAAATTCTTTGATGTAGGACAAATAAAGTGCAGGACAAATTATGTGTAGGACAAGGATGTGACGGATGTGTAGGACAAATAATGTGCAGGACAAGGATGTGTAGAAAAATGATGTTTAGGAAAAATTGTGTGTAGGACAAAGATGTGACGGACAAATGATGTGCAGGACAAATTAAGTGTAAGACAAATAATGTGAAGAACAAGGATGTATAAGTCAAATTATGTGTAGACGAATTATATGTAGGACAAGGATGTTAAGGATGTGTAGACAAATGATGTTTAGGAAAAATTGTGTGTAGGACAAGAATGTGACGGACAAATTAAGTGTAGGACAAATATTGTGAAGGACAAGGATGTATACGTCAAATGATGTGAAGACACATTAAGTGTAGGACAAGTATGTGAAGGACAAATGCTGTTTACTCACAACTGTAGGAAAAATGACGTGTAGGACAAACTATGTGTAGGACAAACTATTTTTGGGACAAAATATTTGTTGAACAAATGACATACCGCCATTAGAAGCAAAGAAATTGAATCTTTGCCACAAACTCAAATGTTTTAATCTCAATATCTTTGCAGCCTGATGATGTAAATCTTGGATATTTCAAACTTATATTATTTGATCTAACACATTTCATAGTTTGAAATATCTAAGGTCTGCTACATTTGGTTTTAAAGATACAGTAAATACTAAATAGAGAATCTGAGTTTGTGGCAAAGATTCAATTCCTTTGCAGTAGTAATCCCTTCACAAAAATATTTCTATAACTTATATATCTTATTTTGTTCAGGATGAACTTGGAGAGATTTCAGATGCGAGCTCTACAAAGGCTTGTAATTAACGAGACTACTGGAATATTCGCTCTGGAACTTCACGAACAAAACAGTTTCCATCAAATGTTTAAAATATCTGCTGCAGCATTATCCACGTACGTTTAAAAATGACAAAAATTGTTTGGAAATATGGTTTTATGATTTTTTTCTGTTTTAGTTATTTCCCTGAGACGTTGGTTCCCATCACCTTCCCTAGACCTAGTAATGTTAGGATTAAGAGGGAAGTTGACAGGTATTTTTTAAATAAAAACTACACACATATTGAAACTAGCAACCAACTTAGACGACTTTACACCTTTGTGAGACGATTTAATTCGAAGAAAATCAAAAAAGTATTTTATCACTCTTCACAAACATTTTTTTTTTTTAACCGATATGTTTGACACGTGTACCTCATATTTAAATTTTGAGTTTTTAGTTTTGCAAAAATTCTCAGTTTTTAGTTTCAAAAGTCTACTATACATTGATCTGAGGCCGAATTTAAAGGATTTAAGTCGCGGCTTAAATCCGCCAAAACCCGGTTTAAATTGAGCGCCGGCTTTAACATTTGATACAATTTTAAGTTAAACCAACCATAATTAAGCCGCGGCTTAAATTTTAACCGCGGCTCAAATTCTTTAAATTCGGCCTCTGGAAAGATAAAAGGATTGGAAAGTTAGAGATTGTGGCCGAAAATATGTTTCCCTCTATAGATGTCAAAAATACGTGTTTTTTCAGTGCTTTCGTGGTTGACAATGTTCTTGATCAATGGACCCAGATTTTGGAATCTATTGATATCCCTCGAGTGATGTTCAGCGGCTCCTGCGCAGATAAAGATGTCAGCTATATTTTCAATATTATTGATGATTTCCCTGATCCTGGTTGGAAGAATCCTGTCTCGATCAAATCTAAGAATATCCAGCTGGACAGTAAGGTGATCCATGTGTCTGCTACAGCTAACAAGTATGATTCAGGGACGCATACCTTCTCCGAGGACTGCCAACCCGACTCTAAACTTCTCTACAGTCATAAAGTTGTCGCTCGTCTTTACACCAAGGTAAATATTCATGATCTTACAGAATTAAAACTAAATTTGTTGTTTACAANAAACTCTCTTTACTTAAAGGGACTGTCTATAAGTGTTCAAAAGTACCCTTAAACCCTTTATGTGATTAATAATGTGGAAGATATTGTCGTTTTTCTATGTTTTAAAATGCGTAATTAATCCCAATATCTTTTCCTGCAATAGAAATCAGCGAGTCACTTTTGTAAAAAACTCACATTTGCAAAGAATTAGGTTTCAAAGTTATGAACATTAAAATCTAATTTATACCTGATCAGATATCGTTGTGAAATGGGCGTGGCCATCTTTGTATGAAGGGTCACTTGAAATGACGCTTACTGCATTCCCTTTAACTTATTTATCTCTCTTTAATCTCAACTTTCTTCTCCAATAGAGAGTACGACTTTGCGCTTTCATTCATATTCATTTTTGTTTGTTTAGCAACCATTAACAAAAACTAATTGATCCACAAACTGTTATTTTCTATAATTTAGACCCAAATGCCGAGTAAGAGACAGCTCCTATTCCACGAGGATGAAGTTTATACAACAATACTTCGAAGATACTGCGCTATCTGGAACCCCATGATTGGGCCCTTTGGTGCCTGGGATATCGATGATGTTACAACTGTGAGTGTTAACAATGAAATGGGAACCTGTATGAGTGAGAAGCTTGGAGCTTTTGCAATCATAGCAGAACTGGTTGACCAGCCTTATGCTAAAGAAGAACTGACCTGGTTGTCTATAGTTAAGATCTTGGGCTATGTTTTGTCCATAATATGCCTAGTTATATTCATAGCTTTTATTCAGCTATCAAGGTAACAAAAAATAATTTAAATGGTTAAAATAAAAAATATATTTTTTTAAAAGTGACAAAATTTGAAATTTTTTAGTTATCTGTGGGAGCAGTTTAATATTATAAACATGAATCTATCAATATTTATGATCTTGGGTCATGTTTGTATGCTTTTAACTGATATTGAAGCTATACAAGTAGATAGACATCTTTGCACAGCAATAGGTAACTTTATAACTTCAACAAAAATAAGATAAGAATTGTAATATTATTAAGAATAATAATGATAAAAATAACGATTATAAAATGTCAATAATAGTATTAGTAATGATAAAGTTAATGATAATAATATTGATAAAAGTAATAATAATATTAATGATTATAATATATTCAATGATAGAACAATTGAGAATTGATATTATAATAAAAATGATGATGATATTGATATTATTAATCATAAAATAACAATATTAAACATTTCTGCACAGCAATCAAATTTTAAATAATAATCAAAATGCTAAATTTTTAATAAATTTATTTTCCAAGGTTGTATGATTCAATTAGCTTATACTTCTACCGCTCTTATACTGGCTGCTGAGTGTCATGCATGCTTTAAAGTAAGTTAATTATCCATAAAAAAAGCATTTTTACACAATTTCTGTTTTTAGGCCATCACTGCAGGCATGATAGGGGGTCGAGCTGTCATGTATGTATTGACAGCTGTAGGAGTTTCATTTATAGTTCTTGGTTATGATATATTTATGAACCTCCAGGTAGAAACTAACTATTTACAACTACTTAGTTCAGGAAATTTTACTTTACCAAGGATTCCCAAGCCTTAGCCAACAAAACATCCATTGCGTAGCGAGGGATATTGGTGGAGGGAACCCGAGGCTAAGCAAAACTTTTAATTTCCCGAATAGTAGCTGTACACAATTTTATCAGCTTGTAAGATGAAAATACACAAACTTTTTCATAAAAACTGCGCAAAGCGGTTTGTTATTTTATTTAATTATCCGAAGGAACGTTAAGTAACTAAAGTAAAGGAATCAGGGGTCGGTAAAGTTGGCAAATAGGTAGTTCGGTAAAACACACAAATGTAAAAATATACATTTAATGTTTTAATGTTCTTAAATTTTAGGATATGGGTACAGACCCTATGTGCATGGTGGGTTGGGATAATTTTGTTAAATGGCATTTATTCTCACCAATCATAACAGCAGCAGGGGTAGGTATTTTTTAAATAAAAGTATTAAAGACTCATTTATTTTATTTTATGTTTCCTAGGTTGGATTTATACTCATTCTCATTGTTATGTGTAATATAAACTATGCGGCCATCAGGAAATCCAGTCTTTTAGAAGATTTAAGGTAATTTTTACGATAAAACATTCATCATTATTTTAATTTTTAAAAATTATTTTTCTGATTCTCAAAAAAATTTTAATTCACATATAAAATTTTTTTTTGGTTCTCTAAAATTTTTTTATAGTTCCGTGGCGTACGGTTTATTAATAACCATGTTCCTTTTCTTCTTAACCTGGGGTTTCGGAATCCTGGCCTTTATCCGGAATCCGGATGCGGAACTTCCCGATTTCTATCCAGTCTTTCAGGTCAGTCGTTTGTTTTCTGGCTTGTGCCATTTTACAAGAAGTCATTTCTTCAGGGTTCTGTCAGTCATTTCTCTAGATATTTTGTTAGATATCCAGGACTTATATGTAAGCATTTTGTTCAAAGAGTTAGTCAGTTCTTTTTTTAAAGAGGGTCATTTATTTGGTCAACTCTTATGTGAACTCTGCATATGGCGTCCTGGTTGTATAGAGTATAGACAAAAGCTTTTTTCATTCTTAAATTATTCACAATTTTATAAATAAACTCAAAATCTGATTTCATGAAAAAATTAGTTAAATTAAGTATTTGCCAGAAACTAAAACTTTTTGATCAAATGTTGAAAATATCAAATGATTTACGGCATTAGGTTGAAAAGATAATTTGAGATTATGACAAAATCGGCGTCTTTAAAAAAACTTTTAAACTTTAAAAACAAACTAAAATCTGTTAAGGTGATGAACTCTTGGTCTGGTGTCTACACATTCCTGTTCCTCGGACTTACAACACCTAGGTTTAGAGCTGTTTTATCAGGAACAGTCAAGGAACGGGTAAGCTAGCCTTAGCTTTTATATCTTAAGCTAAAACACTGCTTTAACGGGACTGTATTTGTAAGCTTAATTCCATATGGCCCTCTCTGCAAATATTACAATGACTGATTCACAACGGTTCTCTTGAAACCTAAATCTTTTTAAAAAATTTCAGCTTTAAACAGTGTGTGATTCTGATACAATTTCTCCTCCAATACTTCTTAACAGCAAGGAATGTGAAGTCATTTTCGCAGAGAACCCGCAAATGAAAATAAACAAAAACATGGATATCTAATTCATACTTGATCAGATAAAGCTTTTAAGGGTACCAACTACCAATGTCATCTTTGCAATGAGGGTTACATGAAATTACGCTTACAGTCCTTTAAGACAAAATATTCCATTCGAATTTATGAAACTGTTCGGCCTTTAAATGTTTCACAAAACTAGTATTATTGATTTTTAACATCAACCAAAAAAGTTTAGAATTCAAGATTGTTTTATTTTCAGCAAACCAAAATCCTAACTCGAGAAGTACAGAGAAAATGAGAACCTACCGCGAATATATTGACAAGGAACAGAGTTAGTTAAGTTGGGTCAAATCTATCCAGACTAATGTCGTCTTCCAGACGTGAAATATCAATCATTACATCGATTCCAATAGTTTTAAAAGGTTTTGACTTAACAGTATCTAATATAAAATGTGTTCTATGATATTAAGTAAATAAAGTTATTGTATAATTATAATAATCTTAATAAATTGTTGAAGCATTGAAATTTTAAGAGTTTATTTTTGTTTATAGAGTAGAGTAGAGTAGAGTAGAGTAGATTAGAGCAGAGTAGAGCAGAGCAGAGCAGAGCAGAGCAGGTTAGGGGGGTAGGGTAGGGTAGGGTAGGGTAGGGTAGGGTAGGGTAGGGTAGGGTAGAGTAGGGTAGAGTAGGCAAAATTAAAAGTTTTATCTTATTTTTCTATTTAAATGTGTCCTACTATGATATGTATTGTGTATTCATTTAATGTCTGATTGGTTTAATAAAATAATTGATAAATTGGTCAAGAATACTCTAATAAGGGTTATATCGAGTGTCTAATCGTACAATGTCATGGCAATGCCCGATTCAAACTTTAACCGTGAAAAGCTTTGATTAAACTTGAAATTGATGGTAATGTTTATAATTTTCAAAAGTTTCTACTGCAGGGATAAACCTCGAAAAATGAAAATATCCTCCCCGTTATTGATCATATAAGGGTTTCGAACATTGATTAAGATCTGGCAGAATACATAGTTAAAAATATCAGAGGTTTACAATGTAAAGATTAAAACCAAAATTATTTTGTTATGGATTTTAACAGAAATTAAGTGGATGAAATTTGTTTGTTTTAGTTAAACACCAACACTTTACAACACCCTGCACATTTGATGTTATTGTAACTGTGAACCTCCATTTTATGAATGGCATGTCCGATAAACAATGGTACCCTTGAAACCTTTATCTGGTCAAAATTGTGGAAGTTAGCCTCGTTTTCTAGCTTGAAAAGTGTTTAATTTTGATCATTTCTTTATTGTTTCAAAAGCAAGAAATGTGATAGTCCCTTTTGTAGAATAAATATTTAGTTTTTTAAAAAAACATTCATACTTTATCAGACAAAGCGGTTGAGGGTACTATTGTGAATCTTGCCACCCTATCAATGGAGGATCAAAAATTAAGTTTAAACTTGAAGAACTCAATGACACAGGATTTTTTTCAAAAAAACACTTTTATTTAAATTCTGAATCAATAACTCCGTTTTACCGAACTCTATGTGAAGTTGATATATAGAAAATTCCTATAAATAATAAATAAGTTTGTGTATTGTTTACTGTATACCTAGATACTAAACCAACCAAACCTAGATACCCAGTTCATTTCAACACCTAGACCTCGCACAATCATCATGTTTATTTATATATAAAAGATATAAAATCTAGGATTCCAGGGCCCTTGGCGGCACTATAGTTAATTCTTTGCACTGCAGTCATTTTCCTTCAAAAAATAAAAATAAAATTTCGCAGATTTTTGTGTTTTCATTTGGGAATTTTCGAAAAAATCCAACTTAAATATTTGGAGACAATTCTGTTTTGAACGAGTTTGAAAGAGGAACTGATAAATCAAATCAAACTCTAATTATTAACACGATTCACGGTTTTTCAGAAATAAAAATTTTCTTTTTGGTGCTCTTTTATTGTGACGGACATCATCAACCTTTCAAGGGTTTGGGTCTATCCCACCCTCCCTCAAAATGAAAGGTGATATGAACATGAGCTGATTAAACTCTTTAAAAAATGCAAATTTGAATGTTAATCTATTTCATGTAAGATTTTCGGATTTCAATATTGTCTTAAAACTAAAATCAATAAATTAAGAAAATATATATTGATCTAACAAAATTTACAGTTTGGAATATTAAAGGTTTACAACATCGGGTTTCAAAGATATAGAGATTAGAAAATCAGAGTTTGTTGCAAAAACTCAATTTCTTTCTTTTCAACAATAATTGTACAGTGATTAGTGATTTCAGAATAGTCTGTTATTTCAAGTATTAAAGGAACTATTAACCGTCATTTTAAGTTCAATTAAAGAGTCCTGTTTCCTATTCAAAACCGGCCCCTTATACCTTAACGATTAAGATATTACTTACTTTTTATATTAAAACTGATAATTTTAGTTGTGGTTTCAATCTAAAAGTTACTTTTTAATTCATGCATTGAAGACAAGAAAGTAAAACAATGATATATTTCTCCTTGTTAATCAAATATATTAAGGTTTAAAGATACCGCTGTCAATCAAGAGGCTAAGTCACAAACTCTGATTTTCTTATTCCTATATTTTTTGCAACCAACTAGACTTTAGTTATTTTAATTCATATCATAGGATTACATCCTCAGGTATTACATGTTCGGTAAAGGCTCAATTCCTTTCTAAAAAGAGGTTCATTACATCCAATTTTGTAGCAAAGAAATTTTTTTTCAAACAATATATTTCTTTTGTTTTGTTTGTCAATGTTATTTCTTCCAGTAGGTTATTCAGTACTGTGCCTGCTGGTGTACAGTGTACATGAATGTGTAAGTGTTGAACTAAAAGGAACAAACTGTCTATGTCCCGGGGATCCTTTACTTCTCACATCCTATGATAAGGTACAAGTATGGCTTGCATGGGTATCGTTTTCTTGGTCCGTTTTTAGGACCGTTTTCAGGTTCGTTTTCAGGTCCGTTTTTTGATCTGTTTTCAGGTCCGTTTTTATTTCCGTTTTTAAGGTTCGTTTTCAGGTTCGTTTTCAGGTCCGTTTATAGGTCCATTTTCAGGTACTTTTTCAGGTCCGTGTTTAGTCCGTTTTTAGGTTCGTTTTGAGGTCCGTTTAGGTTCGTTTTAGGTCCGTTTTCAGGTCGTTTTTAGGTCCGTTTTTAGGTCCGTTTTCAGGTCAGTTTTCAGGTCCGTTTATAGGTCCGTATTAAATATTTAATGTTATTTTATTTTTAGAGGCTTTACAAAAATCTGAGTGATATAACGTATTTCAAATTTGTGTCCCTGATAAATTTACTCTTTTTACATTTTCAACTATTTTTCCTCTGGTCAAAGATATATATTAAGAAAACCAATTTTTCAAAACGACGCGTTTTTATTTATCAAACAAAGGATAAAACAAACCAGGGCAAACAACAAAGGATAAAAAAACCAGGGTCAAACAACAAAGGATAAAACAAACCAGGGTCAAACAACAAAGGATAAAACAAACCAGGGTCAAACAACAAAAGATAAAACAAACCAGGGTCAAACAACAAAGGATAAAACAAACCAGGGTCAAACAACAAAAGATAAAACCAACCAGGGTCAAACAACAAAAGATAAAACAAACCAGGGTCAAACAACAAAGGATAAAACAAACCAGGGTTAAAAAACAAAGGATAAAACACACCAGGGTCAAACGACAAAGAATAAAACAACCTAGGGTCAAACAACAAAGGATAAAACCAACCAGGGTCAAACAACAAAGGATAAAACAACCTAGGGTCAAACAACAAAGGATAAAACAAACCAGGGTCAAACAACAAAGGATAAAACAACATAGGGTTAAACAACAAAGGATAAAACAAACCAGGGTCAAACAACAAAGGATAAAACATCCTAGGTTCAAACAACAAAGAATAAAACAACCTAGGGTTAAACAACAAATGGTCAAAACACTACAAAGGGTAAACCACAAAGGGTCAAAATGAAAAAAATGTCTCTTTTAATTTTTTTTCAATATGTCAAATCACCATATAATAAAAGTATTCTTTGGTCCTTTATTTAAAAAAAATACATATTTTAGTTTAGGTGGGGCTGTGGGCCAGTCTTTAAAGTTTAAGTGACCGTTAATATTTTTTTTGCTTTTAAATTGAAAGCTTACAGTTTTTTCATTTTTAACCAAATTTTCTGCAAATTTCAAGAAAGTACTTTATGTAAAAGAATTAAAAATATACATGTATTATGTACATATGTAGAAATTTATTTACCTTTGAGTCTAAAAATTATTTAGGCAGAAATATCACAGATTATGAAGAAAATATCAGCTTTGAGAAGACATGACCATAAGAATATAACTGTAAGTATTTTTTAGATAAATATTACATTTTACAATATCTACAGACCCAAAAAAGGTCTTTAAGGTGCTACTACTCTCATCATTTTGCAAATTTTCCAAAAATTGAAAAAATCGAACCACGAAAAGACTTTTTTAAGAGCGTTTTTTGGAACCCCTGCATGAACTATTAAAAAAATTGTATCTCATTTATTTCAGAAACTTTACACCCCGGCAGAAGCAAAATCAGCAAATGAAACTGTAAGAACAAATCTACCTTCGTCAAGTCTTTTGATCGATATGTTTCCGTTTGAGGATATTAAAACTTGGTTGAGTGTTAACTCTATCACAGAGGCATCACTGAAGGTAAAATGAATTTCTGTCTATTTATGGTGATCAAATTTTACTATTTTATATTTTTATATTTTAAACTAGCTGAAAGGCCAGTGTTGTTTAGCCTTTGTCACCCCCAGGCTTCCCTTGAGTGTACATAACAAAATTCAGCTCATTGGGTCCAGCAGTTTGGCCGGCTATAAGGAACATATATACGAATGTCTTGTTTATTTATGTAGATAGAATATTAAAGGCTCAGTCAAAAATAGTTTGAATTTAATATCAATATTTATTAATTTGTAAATATTATTTTTAATTGTGGGTTCTCTACAGAAGTGATTTGAGCATTTCTTCTGCAGGAAAACATAATTTTTTAATTAAAAACTTGTCTACCTAGAAAAACGACAATATCTTCCACATTATTGGTCTGATAAAATTGTCAAGGGTACCGTTGTAATCTTTGCATAGATGGTCACTTAAAAATACGCTTTAATAATTGTTTCTTGGAAGTCTTGCATGACATTAACCCTAAATAGTAAAATTATATTAAGGTATACAATTCTCTTCCTTTTAATGCTTTTAATGGATGTTATGCTAACCCTTTTAAAAGCCACCTATTGCATCCCCAAAAGTTAGTTCTATGTCAGTTTCAATTTTTTTATATGGGACAGGAAGGAAAATGATATTTCAAGAAAAACTTTACCACTGCAATAAATGCGATCAAAACAGATGATAATATTTTCATCATATTAGGCTCTGAAAGAAAGTGTTAAAGCTAAAGTAAGTCAGAGGACCAACTTAAAAAATGAACTCTCTGCCTACAATAAAAAGTTTCCCAAGCCTACAACACCTGTTCCTACAACTTCAGCTTCAACTTCAGGTACAAATATGATATATATTTATATATTATAATAATAAGTAATTGAGTCTTTGCCACAAACTCTGATTTTTAAATCCATATATCTGTCGTAGTCCTTGAATATTTCAAACTAATGCTGTTAGATTAAATAATCTGAGTTTGACATGTTAAGAGTTTACACGATCAGGTTGGCAACGACTCAATTGATCTTTATCATAATTATCATACTATTTATCTTTATCATTTTCTCTCTTATTCTTTCTAGCAGTAAACTCCATAGTGGTCTCAGGTGCAACAGGATCATCTTCTGGGGTTTCAGGAGATACATCAGTTGGTGCCACAGGAGATACATCTGTTGGTGCCACAGGAGCTACATCAGTTGGTGCCACAGAAGCTGCATCAGTCGGTGCCACAGAAGCTACATCAGTTGGTGCCACAGAAGCTGCATCAGTTGCTGCTACAGAATCAACCTCTGAAGCTCTACCTGCAGGAACAAGAAGAAAAAGAGAAACTGTAAAGAGGCCTGATGTTCCAATGATAATACCAAGGTAAAATAAATGAGATTTATATTTCAAAACGCACTAAGATAAGAATGTATTTATAATCTTTTTTACCTAATAGCAAAAAATGGCATATAGTCTATTGATAAATTTCCAACAAGATTCTTTGAAGCAACATTTTGAATTTTGATTGGTGATACCCCAAATATAGAAGTATTCCATATTCCAGGTTGAAGGGAATGGGAATTAAAGCAGGAGAAAATGCAGCTACACTTGAAAACGCAGTCTCATGCTGGGAGTGCCAAGCTCCGTCAACAAGGTTAGATAACGATTACATGAAAGCTTTGAGCAAGGATATCAAGCTTTCTAAAAGAAGTGATCTTTATACAGGGCTTAAACTTCAAATTGGTACCCTCTCTTAAAAAAGCAAAAACAACATTAAATGCTTAATTTTTAATATTTTTATTTTGAAAAATAACCAAAAGTTGCTTTAGTCATCCATCTTGAGGCTAACTTGATTTAATCACCCTCAGCCTCTATCATGACCTCTAAACCTGGATCAGGCATTGATCATCAGGTCCTTGAGAGGGGGGTAAAGTACTCCTTGATGGATGCAATTAGTCTTACCTTGGTGGTGTGGGGACGTCTATTGGTATGTGCCTTGTGAAAGCCACAGATAAAACAATCCATAAGATTATGGTCGGGACTCCTGGGAGGCCATTGCTCACTGGTGATGAGGTCATGGAGCCATACCATGAAACTGTGGGGCACATGGCAGGGGGCAGAGTCCTATGAGTCCTATATTTGATCCTGGCAGACATTTTTTCATCTGAGAAGAACCAAATCATGTTGTTCTCCTTGGGTTGCTTGAGTTTTATCAGGAGTTTTGTTGAGTTCAGCAGCCTCCGACACAGCTCCACTTAGCCTCTGTAAACACAAACTCTGGTAGATCTGCGCCATGCACCGTAATGCAAAAATACACTGATTGAATCTGCATAGTATTTATGTTTTTGAGGGATTTAAACAAAAACATTTAGAAACTTTTGATAACCTATTTCAGAGTGAGAAAGATCTTAAAAATAACAAAAGATGAGTCTGTGTTGAATTTAAATTCTGATGAATTCCTGACCTTCAAAGAACTTATTGAATCTGAGGTATAAAATAACAACAAATGGAGAAGATTATATGAAAAAAAAATCAAATAAATTTAAACTTCAAAACTTTGACACTGCTTGATTGGATTAACATTGACTTTAGCCATATTTTAGATCGATTTGTTGTTTGAAACAGCTATTGCCTCTGAAGATATTGAAGTCGGTGGGAAGAAATTTTCCAATAGTATTGGTTACTATGGTGCTGAGGTGGTAGCATTGTATAAGAGTGATGCTGGGGCACGAAAGAAGCGAGCAACCTCTGACATAACCATTGAGGTTAATATTGCAACTAAAGATGCTATTGCTTCATCAGATATTGATACTGTTTTCGACAATGGAACCCTCGAAACTTTAAATCTGATTTCTAGCCAACCCTCTGCACCAACCACTTGCAGGTAACTTTCAGGAGAAACCATCAGAGGGGAGGGGGGTTCTTTTCACTCCTACATCTAACAAAGGTTTAGATATTTTTCCCCATAAATCTATGGAACCCCACTAGTTTTAACCCCTAAATTTTTATACTATTGCGAAAAATTTTATTTTGTTCTATTTTAGCATTGCAGATCTGCCTTATCCTACAGCATTACTTCATTTGATTGGGGTTTCATCTACTGATTCGATTACTGTTGGAACAAAAGTTTATTTTTCCTGCAATTCTGGAAATATCCTTAACTCAACATTAGACCCAGAGATGAACGGATATGAAGTAAGTTATTCATAATTATGAATGAATCTTTTTGCATATATGATATATGTATACTTGCATTCTCTTGTCTATCTGTTTGTTTGTATAAATATTATTATTATTAAGGATGCACCAAGAAATAGAATAATCCACATACTTTTTACTAATTCAGGTTATGTGTGGTATTGGAGGTATTTGGGAAGTACCAGGAGAATGGCCAGATGAAGTGACTGGGTGTGTTCCTTCTCAAGTATGCACAGTTCCAGACTCAGGCCAAATCCCATCAGCATCAGGTTGGAACTTATGCTTAAACAAATTTAAAATCACCAAGTTAAAAGAATTTTATCAATTGGGGGATATTTATTCATGTTATAATGCTTTACTAATGCAAAGCATCATAAAAGATCAACCAACCATGCAGGGCCATATTTGTGGGTGGGGGGCAATGGGATATGTACCCCTATGTAAGATCAAAGTAATGGCAAAATTAGTGGGTTTTTTTACTATTTAAAAACACCCCCCCCCCCTCCCATCCCCCTACAAAAACTTCCAGTAACATGCCTGCCACCCTGCCACCCTGCAACAATCCTTTGGTTATTGTTTGTCCTGTTGAGTTTAAACTGCAGAGCAAACCCCCATTTTGAAACAAATATTAATCCTGCTCAGGTCTCATCAGGTTGCCATATGTGGCAGCAGACTTGTCTGGTGTTGTTCTTGAAGGTGACAGTGTTTTCTATGCCTGTATAGAAAAAAATGCCACTCTAAATGATGGTTCCGGGATGGGCGTTTACCAAGCAAAATGTGAGAATGGTACTCTAGAACCCAAAACATGGCCTAACTGTGAAATAATGGTAATACCAACACTGTATCTTTTCAATGAGATTTTTATGAAATTGTATTTAGACTTCATGCTCTGCGTTTCCTACCCCTGATGCTTTGTCAGCTGGATCTGGTCTAGTTCTATCTACCGACAAGACCACTCCTCTCCTAGATGGAGAGTTTGCAGTGTACAACTGTTCAGATAAAACCCAAGTAACGGTTACAGGAAAAATCTACACTCTTGAATGCAAAAAAGGAAATATTTCAGCTCCTGCCAATTGGCCATTGTGCACAAAGCCCAAAGCGTAAGTACATTTATTTTGATTATTTATATTCTGTCCTTTTATTCATATTTGTTAACAGATGTGATGTCTCTGCTGCTCCTTCTCCTCCCCCTGCCACATTTTTACTTCCCAATATCACTGCAGGCATTGCGATTTTAGAGACGGATCAGTTGTACTATAAATGTTTAGCAGATCCTGGTAAAACATATCTTGAAGGGCAACCAAACAATCAGTTCCCGGTCACATGTCTCCCAGGAGCAGTTTGGCAGATTCCAGCTGATTCAGAATGGCCTATATGTCAGGATACAACTACAACTACAGAACCACCAACTACGACCGTTCCATCTATGAGTAAGGATTTATTATCACCGTCAAAAACAATTTTATGTATTTAGGTTGAACCCATCTTAGACTTAAAATACACTACTGGGATTAGAGATAAAATACCCAACTAGGATAAGAAAGAAAAAAACTAATCTAAGTTCAGAAATACAATGTCCATTAAGGTTTAGAAAAGAAAATATCCATCTGGATTTAGAAATAAAATATCCACCAGGGTTTTGAAAATAAAATATCCACCTGGGTTTAGAAAATAAAATATCCATCTGGATTCCGAAATAAGATACCCATCTGGGTTTAGAAATGAAATATCCAGCCAGGTTTAGAAAATAAAATACCCACCTGGGTTTAGAAAATAAAATACCCATCCAGGTTTAGTAAATAAAATACCCATATGGTTTAGAAAATAAAATACCCATCCGGATTTAGAAATAAAATACCCATCCGGGTTTAGAAAATAAAATACTCATATGGTTTAGAAATGAAATACACATCCTGGTTTAGAAATAAAATACCCATCGGGTTTAGAAATAAAATAATAATCCAGGTTTAGAAATAAAATACCCATCGGGTTTAGAAATAAAATAATAATCCAGGTTTAGAAATAAAATACCCAACTGAATTTCTAAATACAGAACTGATTTTCAGAAAAAGTTGACTTAGAAATACCAAACTTATTTTAGGTAAATCTTGTTACTGCCTTGGAGATATTGAACCCAGCAGTAGTGAAACATTTTTGATGACAATTTCAAGACATGAGGTATATATGTATAAATGAGGTAAATATGAGGTATATTTCAAGACATGAGGTATCTATGTATATATGAGGTATATATGAGGTATATTTCAAGACATGAGGTATATATGTGTTGATATCTATGTACAGTAGCAACCAAAAATAGAGGAATAAAATTGTTATTATTGTTATTATATATAAATCTTACAATATGTAACTAATGTTTTGTAATTTGAGAACTGATAAAGATCATTTTACCCCAACCCATGTGTAGTAAAAAATATTACTAATTACAAAAACCTTGAGCAACATTTCATGAATTAAAATGATTTCACTCTTATTGAAGAGCAGTTAAAAATCTAAATTAAACTGTTTCCTTGATTGGTTCTTTTAAATGGTTACAGGGACATATTCACATGGGAATATTTGTTATAAACAAAACACATTTTTTTTGCATTTTCCAACGTTCTTGAACTAGAATATAAATAAAAATGATAAATAAATTACTATACATGTTTTTTTATGTTTGAATAATTATAATCTTCTGAATTTTACCCAAAAATGTATTCTGTTTTATTTCATTTAAGAGAATTCTAGAAGTGTGTAGAAAAGTATATGTTACTTTTGGAACTCTAATTACAGAGGTTGACGAATATAATAATAGGTAAGGAAACCCTTTTATACTTTGAAATATAGACATGCCATTGCCCCCCCCCCCACTCTTCCTTAAAAGGGAAGTTGTTTACTGTGATCAATCTATCTTAACCTAACTAAACCTGAAATAGTAAAATCACTAGGGGTTGTTCTATTTCCGAAGAAAAGGAGAGAGGGTGGGTGGTGGGGGGGGGGGTTGACAAAAATCAATTTTATTTTCAAAAATAAAAAAAAAATAAAAAAATTCAACATTTTTTTTCTTCAAAATTCCACGCACAATGACGGGCACTTCAGCTAATTAACTGTAAAATAAAACCTATAATTCTGTTAGATACCTGGTCCCCATCAAGGAGCAGTGTGGTGTAAAGAATCCGTATATTGAGGAGTATGGAGGCCTTCAAGGTTTAAATCGAAGCTTTACTGAAGAAGATACATGTAGATGTGAATCTGCAAAGGGTAAGAATTATTTGTATTGTAGAGATATGACAACACCACCGTTTACTGCAGATCACTTTTATACAAGGGATGGACGCACTTTTACAGTTTTAACCATTGCATACATACTACAAAGTACCACAACGTACAAAATGAAATGTGCAATTGCATGAACCCTTAAAAATTGTTAATTAATATCATATTAAACACAATTCACAAAATACAATTAGCCCAAAAATAAATTGGAGCAAATTAAATCGTATAATTGTTCTACAGGTCGTCGTTTTATATCACTTTAATTTGTGGACTTCAACAATATGCACTGTTATAGTAACTGGATACTGGATTACAATGGAGATTATCAGTCAAAGCTACACACCTCTCTTTGCCCAGCCAACATCGAGGAGGTCTAGACTTATGAGGGAACATATTGAAGAGCTTGTAAGTATAAATGGGTGAAGAGATGTTTATATAAGATCCCACTTAAAGGGACTGTAAGCGTAATTTCAAGTGACCTTCCATGCAAAGATGGCAATGCACGATTTACCATGGTACCATTAAAGGCTTTTTCTGAATCAGATTAATTTTACGGTGCTGTTGAAAATCGAGCATTGCCGTCTTTAGTCTGAGGGACACTTATAATTACGCTTGCAGTCCCTTTAATATGACAATTTTAAGAAGAAAAAGACTAAATATGCTTAGTCGTCTTTAAATTGTCAATTATTGTGGGAACTACTGCATTTTTAAAAAATCAGTGGCCGAATTTAAAAAATTTTAACGGCGGTTTAAATTTAAGCCGCGGTTTCAATGTGGTTGGTTCCACTTAAAATTGTATCAAATGTTTCAAGATTTAAGCCGGCGCTGAATTTAAACCGGGTTTTGGCGGATTTAAACCACGGCTCAAATTCTTTAAATTCCATCTCTGAATGCTTATTAATAATTAAATATCTAGCTTACCATGTTACTGTAAGCGCAATGTTTAAGTACCCTTCTATTCAAAGATGGCAATGTCCGATTTACAACGGTACTCTTACACGCTTTGTCTGATCAAGTATGAAAAATATATCTATGTATGCATTTCTTTGAGGTGTTATTTTCATTTGCGGGTTTTCAGCAAAAGTGACTTGCGCATTTCTTATTTATAAAAAGTATTTTTTCAACTCATTTTGAAATTTATAAATAATGATGATTTGAAACATTTTTAGATGGATACAATTTACTTGAATGGACGTGGAACCGTGAACGGTCTGTTTAACAAGAAGTATGTTCGGACCAGAGTTATGAGATTTGATTCAGGGAACACCATCATCAACCTAGAGGATGTTAAATTCGACCCAACAATAGAAATGAAACAATCACTCAGGTTTAGTATCTACAGGGGGCCCAAAAAATAATAATTCAAAAACAATGTATGTTGAGCTCTTCAGCCCTAGATTTCTATGGTCCGAATGGAAGTCCAGTTTGTTGGGGCAAATCCTATTTTCCGGACAGATTTTAATAACACCTTGATTTCTTTGGTCCGAGTGGAAGTCCATATTGTGGTGAAAATCCCCATTTCTTTGACAGATTTTAATGAAACCTTGATTTCTATGGTCCAAATGGAGGTCCAATAATTTCACGTGGAAAATTCATCACCTGACTTATTTAAATAGTGTGTTTACAAATAGAAGTCCAATTTGTCGTGGAACAACTTGTAATCGTTGACAGACTTTAATAAAACCTTGATTTCTAGGGTCCAAATGGAGGTCCAGTTTGTCGGAGAAAACCCTATTTCCTTATCAGATTTTAATAAAACTCATTTTCAACTCATTAGTGTCAACACTACACTCTCAGGTAAACAGGACATTGTTTATTTAAAAGTTGTATTTTAAACTTTAAGCATAAACCTATATCGATATAGGAAGTCTAAAAATTATCTTTTATTGAGAAAAAATTATGTGTTTAATTATTTAAAGCACCATCAAAAATAATTTTATAACAAAAATTTCTTTTTCAATGCCCCCCCCCCCCCCACCCTTCCCGTCTTAAGCAACATAAATATGTTTGAAAATTGTATATGCCTGAATTAACCAATGTCCTATATGGTTGAGTCAAATAGATTTAATTTGAATTTGATGCTCTGTTTCCCCCGCACTGAAGTGTACCCACAGATTATTCTGAACGATTTGAGTTCTGAAAATGTATCACAAAAATATAAATAGCTTATTATATATTGAAATCTCTGGAATAGGAAGTCGACCTACAGACTAAAGTTAAGACTTTAAATAGTCCAATAAGCAACATGAGACACAGCAACATAAACTTGATAAGTTACTAGTTACAATATTTGATTTTATAACAACATCAAAGTCATAAAAGTATTAATATAATGTTGTATTCCTACTCTACAGTTCCATGGTTCTCACTGTAGTCTATTGTAAATGTTTTAGAGAAACCGTTTGATACTGGAGTTGGTATTAAAATCAACCTCAACTGCAATACTGTGGATAATCCACAAAGCTTGGACAGCTGCCCAATTAAAGGTATTTATCTTTTGTTTAAGGAATTGTTCATGTTTTTATATATGTAACCTTTAAAAACGTGACTTACAAACGTCGGACAGCACGAACGTCGGACCAGTACAAACGTCGGAATGGTATAAATATCGGACTAGTACAAACGTCGGACCAGTACAAACGTCGGACTAGAACAAACGTCGGAATGGTAGAAATGTCGGACTAGTAAAAACGTCGGAATGGTAGAAATTTCGGACTAGTAAAAACGTCGGAATGGTAGAAATGTCGGACTAGTACAAACTTCGGAATGGTAGAAATGTCAGACTAGTAAAAACATCGGAATTCTAGAAATATCTGACTAATACAAACGTCACACCAAACGTCGGACTAAGGAAAACAATTTTATTTGAATTTCAAGAAATTCTATTAAAAAGTTATATCCTTTCAACGAATGGTCTAATTAAAATCTACCCGAAGGAACTGAGTTCTCGCAACTAACTCATGTATGCTCATCCCTCTATCTCTGCAACCTGATAGTATTAACCTTTACTGCTTTCAAACTTACACTGTTAGATTTTATAGATTCCATGGGTTAAAATATCAAAAGTTGTAAAGATATAGGCATTAAAGCATCAAAGTTTGTGACAAGACCTCAACTCCTTTTTGATTTATTTCTTAAAACAATAGTCCTTTCTTTTAATTCAACCAAAGTTCGACGTTTTTGCTTATAAATGTACCCATTTTCTCACAGTCCGATGTTTGCACCAGTCCGACGTTGTACCAATCAGTTTGTAAGTCCGACGTTTGTAACGTCCGACCTTTGTAACGTCCGACGTTTGTGGTTCCGACGTTTGTACTAGTACTGTTTTAAGGTACCACTGTGAATTGTGTATTTGGGCGTGACATGAAATTATGTTTACAGTTCTTTTAAACAGGACTGAAAAAAGTGAGATATTTAAACCGTTAAAGAATAAGTTAACATTTTTGTATTGTTTGTAAACACTAAAAACAAGTTTAGACATTAATTGTAAACACTGAAAACCAGTTTAGAAATTTTTTGTAGACACTGAAAACCTGTTCAGATTTTGTTTGTAAACACTGAAAACCTGTTTGAATGGTTGGATGCTTCCACTTTTTTCCGTTTTTATTTTTTCAAAAAACGATCGCTTCTTGTTTAGATAAAATGATCGAATTTGAAAACAAACCACTGATTTTGAACTTTCACAAAACGAAAACGATCGTATTAGAAAACGATAGTTTTTTAATAAATTTTTTTAAACGTTTTTTATAACGACCCTTCGTTAAAGACCTTTTAAAGAGAAAACACATTTTTTTGTCGGAAAATTCAAAACATTCAGAAAACATTCAAACATTAAGACAACCTTCAGAACCTCAAATTCAATTTCATTAACAAATTTTTTTTTCAAAAACTAAAGATTTTCGTTTTTTTGAACGATTTTTTTTTAAGTTCAAAACGAGTGGTTAATTTTCAAAAGATTGTTTTTTTTCTAAAAACGAAATGATCGTTTTAGAAAAAAATAAAAACGAAACAGTCATCTTTGAAAACAATTTACAACCCTAATTGTTTGTAATCACTGAAACCATGTTTAGTTATTGTTTGTGTACATAAAAACCAGTTCAAATATTGTTTGTAAACTTGTCTAGATTTTGTTTAAAACACTGAAAACCTAATTAGATATTGTTTGTAAACACTGAAAACCTGTTTAGATATTGTTTATAAACACTGAAAACCTATTTAGATATTATTTGTAAACACTGAAAAACCTGTTTAGATATTTTTTGTAAACACTGAAAATCTGTTTAGATATTGTTTGTAAACACTGAAAACCTGTTTAGATATTGTTTTTAAACACTGAAAAACCTGTTTAGATATTTTTTGTAAATACTGGAAACCTCTTTAGATAGTGTTTGTAAACACTGAAAAACCTATTTAGATATTGTTTGTGTACATTAAAAACCAGTTTAGAAATTTTTTGTAAACACTGAAACCTGTTTAGATTTTGTTTAAAAACACTTAAAACCGTTCCGTTAAGATATTGTTAATAAGCACTGAAAACCCGTTTAGATATTGGTTGTATTCGTTTTTAAGACGACAAATCGAGACAACTGAATGTTTTCTGACTTTGAATTTTCCGACCGAAAAATGTATTTTTCTCTTTAAAAGGTCTTTAACGAAGGGTCGTCGGTAACGGTCATTAACGAAGGGTCGTTATAAAAACGATAGTTTTTGAAAAAGATATTGCTTTTGTGTTTAAAAAACTATCGTTTTCTAAAACGATCGTTTTCGTTTTGTGAAAGTTCAGAACGTGTGGTATGTTTTCAAAATCGAGCATTTTTTCTAAACAAGAAACAATCGCTTTTAGAATGAATAAAAACGGAACGAAAAAAAAATAGTTTTTCTATCGTTTTTTAAACCTTTTTACAACCCTAATTGATTTTAAACACTAAAACCTATTTAGGTTTTGTTTTAAAACACTTAAACCCGTTTACATATTGTTTGCAAACACTGAAAACCTGTTTAGCTTTTGTTTGTAAACACTTAAAACTTGTTTAGATATTGTTTGTAAACACTGAAAACCTGTTTAGATATTGTTTGTAAACACTAAAAACCAGTTTGGATATTGTTTGTGAACACTGAAAACCTGTTTAGATCCCCCTAAATGCCTGAACAAGGATTTTGATGGGGTACCAAAATATCTGACCCACCAGTATGTCCAGTTGGCTGATGATGGGTCCATGTTACCTTTCCCACACAACGTTACCGTTAATGGTAAGTTTTTAACTATTTAATTATGAAAAGGGTGTTAAAAACATAGTTCGTTCAGTAAAATAACATTCTGTTTTAAATGTATGTTCGAAAAAATTGTTCGTTAAAAATTGAAAAAAAATTCAAGCTCTTTTGAGCGAAATATTTCTGGAAATAAAAATGCAAATTCTTGAGATTTCCAATATTTAGTCTACCACTGCAGTATTTTCAAAGCCTTTTCTTTGGCACAAAATGAAATTTTCTAATCCCTTTATCTTTCCATCCTTATGGTGTATGGTGGATCAACAAAATTCATAGTCATGTCTTAGACATTGGGTTACTAATATATAGGGATTACAAAATGAGAATTTGTGGCAAAGGCTTAATTTCTATATTATTACCAATCATTAAATACCCAAAAGTTAATGATATTGTATTTTCAGGTCAATCCCAAGAGTTTGCACTTTTTGTGGGAGAAACAGTTGATTTTGTTTGCATCGATCCTAATAATGTCAAACATTTCAAAACTACAGAACCAGAACTTCTTGTAAGTACACTAAAAAAAAAAATTACGCCAATCCAACTTACAGAAATGGGCACATTATTAGAAATCATTTTGAAATTTTCTTCACAATTGGCTAAACCCCAAAACGGAAGAATTCTTTTTGGAAAATTTTAAATTTATTATTATAAAAGTTTGATCTTAAACCAAACTTCAATATAGGCATCAGCGGTAAAAAATGAGTTCTTGTCACACACATTGGTTTTCTAATCCTTTATTGCAACTTATTTTGTCGTAGACCTTCTGACATTTCAATCCATGAATTCTGTTAGTTCAATTAATGTATATTTCACTTTACAGGGAGTGGTCGGGAAAAATAAAAGGGGATAAATATAGGCTAACGTCGAATCGAATTCGATGGTGATCCCTACTAATCTTATTTCTATCTATTGAGTCTATAAGGAGAAAAGGGTTTGAACTACCTATTCCGAAGAACGTAGGATTCATACAAATTCACGAAGTTGCATTATTTCACTCAGATTGTAAATAACTAAATTAAATTTAAAACTAATCATTCAGATATTAAACCTGTGAATGTCGAACATAATTCGATGCATTCATACATAGTTGATATTTCATAATATTTTTTATTCTTTTAATATACGATAGACTTAAAACGACGATTTTTGTCTCTCCTACGTGGAACCCCTGTAATGTCAAGGGCAGAGACGCCTAGTTTGATATACCAAAAAGGTCAACGACGATAACAAACTGTTAAAGATGCAAATGTAGTTCCTTTTTTATAACAATTACAAACTGTTAAAGATGCAAATGTAGTTCCTTTTTTATAACAATTACAAACTGTTAAAGATGCAAATGTAGTTCCTTTTTATAACAATTACAAACTGTTAAAGATGCAAATGTAGTTCCTTTTTTATAACAATTTGTCAGAATCATACTTTTTAAGATCTTACATACATTATTATGTCGATATTTCCACGATTAATTGAAAGGAATTGATTTTTTGCCACCAAATCTGATTTTTTAATCTCTAGATTTTGGCCACAAAATCTGTTTTTCTAATCTCTAGATTTCTGCAAGCAAATTTGATTTTCTAACCTGTAGATTTTTTGCCACCAAATCTGATTTTCTAATCTCTAGATTTTTGCCACCAAATCTGATTTTCTAATCTCTAGATTTTAGAAACCTTTCAGTTTTTCTAATCTCTAGATTTTTTCCACAAAATATGATTTTCTAATCCAAAGAGTTTTGCCAATAAGTCTGATTTTCTAATCCTTAGATTTTTGCCACCAAATCTGATTTTCTAATCCGTAGTTTTTTTGCAACCAAATCTGATTTTCTAATCCCTAAATTTGTGCAACCAAATGCCGTAGACCTTAGATATGACAAACTTCGAATTTTGTTAGATCAAGTTCTCTATGTCTGAAATATCAAATTAAGGTTTACACAATCAGGTTGCAAAGATTAGAAAATTTGAGTTTGTAGCAAAGACTCAATTCCTTCTGAAGATTAAGTGAAATCAATATTCTCTTTAGGACAACAAGCTGACTGTTGTGTGTAAGCCTGATAAATACTACAATGTGCCGAATATTTGGCCGATTTGTAAAGCAAAATGTCCGGCCGAGAAACCAAAACCAGGAAATGGAACCAAACTTGAGCTGTGGACAACACAAAAAGAAATGCAAGGTAGAAAATGATTTAAAAAATAAACGTTTAAAATAAATTTATCAAAATGAGTTTGTTTGCTTTGTTGTAAAAGTTACAAATAACATGTATGTATTCATGCCAAACATACCTTACCGAGACTTTTTGTGCATTTTTAAATAACTCTCTGTTTACAATCTGTTTCAAGACAGGACAATAAGGATATTTCCATCATCTTTTTTCAGACTAAGAGTTAAAGGGCGTCCATTTAAACCGGAAATGTATTTTTTTCCTGGAAGAGTCATTTCAAACCAATCAAAAATTTGTTTTATTTTTTCTCCTATCTAACTTTTCTTTTTTTACACCATCACAGTCGTATGTTGGATTTAAAATATTTCATTTCCAAAAGCTGTCTATTTCGAATTGCATAAACCGAAAACAGGTCTTAAATAAATTATTTGAACTAATATTAATTTCTATTTTTTGTTTAGATCATTGGAAGGAAGAGTTCTGGGAGGATGACCTGCTGTATTACCGTTGTATAGATTATAGAAATGATGGAGTTGTTCTTCAACCCTTCCTAGTTGACCCATTAACCGGGGGGCAGGTCGGAGACAGAAGGGTCAGCTCGCAGGTCTTCAAATGTACCGAAGGAGGATTCTATAATACACCTGTACAGTTTAGAAACTGTGCTCCTAAACGTAAGATTAAAACTAAGTAAATTAAAATAAAAATATTAGGTCTCTCCGATTATATAACTATAAAAAAAAAATTAAGTGAATAAACGAAAAAAATGGTTAAAAAATTAAAATTTAATCCTAAAGCCCGTATCTTTTATACAAAATTATGTGTTATAGAAATTAAAAGCTTCACCACCGTGATCCCTGCAATTGTATGATTTTCAGCTGATGTTTGATTACTGTAATACACTTGTTTTAGCTGATGTTTGATCACTTTAATTCCATTGATTTAGCTGATGTTTGATCACTTTAATTCCATTGATTTAGCTGATGTTTGATCACTGTAATTCCATTGTTCCAGCTGATGCTTAATATCTGTAATACCATTGTATGATTTTCAGCTGATGTTTGATCACTGTGATACCCTTGTTTTAGCTCATGTTTTATCACTTTAATATCTTTGATTTAGCTGATGTTTGATCACTTTAATATCACAGATTTAGTTGATGTTTGATCACTTTAATTCCATTGATTTAGCTGATATTTGATCACTTTAATTCCATTGATTTAGCTGATGTTTGATCCCTTTAATTCCATTGATTTAGCTGATGTTTGATCACTGTAATTCCATTGTTCCAGCTGATGCTTGATATCTGTAATAATTTTGTCTGATTTTCAGCTGTTGTTTGATCACTGTGGGGGTTTTAGCTGATGTTTTATCACTTTAATACCTTTTATTTAGCTGATGTTTGTGAATGTTTGGGTGAACTTGATCCTAATCAATCCAGGGAGATTCTAGAACTGGTTTGCAGGTTCATATTTCATAATCTTTTATTGTCTGTAGGTTCATATTTCTTAAACTTATATTGTCTGCAGGTTTATATTTTTTAATCTTATATTGTCTGCAGGTTCATATTTCTTAATCTTATATTGTCTGCAGGTTCATATTTCTTAATCTTATATTGTCTGCAGGTTCATATTTCTTAATCTTATATTGTCTGCAGGTTTATGTTTCTTAATCTTTTATTATTTGCAGGTTTAAATTTCTTAATCTGTTAATGTCTATTAAGGTTCATATTCTTAATCTTTTATTGTCTGCAGGTTTATATTTCTTAATATTTTATTGTCTGCAGGTTCATATTTCTTAATCTTTTATTGTCTGCAGGTTCATATTCTTAATCTTTTCTTGTCTGCAGGTTCATATTTCTTAATCTTTTATTGTCTGCAGGTTCATGTTTCTTAATCTTAAACTGTCTAAAGGTACATATTTCTTAATATTTTATAGTCTGCAGATTCATATTTCTTAATCTTATATTGTCTGCAGGTTCATATTTCTTAATCTTTTCTTGTCTGCAAGTTCATATTTATTAACCGTTTATTGTCTGTAGGTTCATATTTCTTAATCTTTTATTATCTGCAGGTTCATATTTCTTAATCTTTTCTTGTCTGCAGGTTCATATTTCTTAATATTTCATTGTCTGAAGGTTCATATTTCTTAATATTTTGTAGTCTGCAGGTTCATATTTCTTAATCTTTTATTGTTTAAAGGTTCATATTTCTTAATCTTTTATTGTCTGCAGGTTCATATTTCTTAAATGCAAACATTTTTGCAAAATTTTAAATAACCTGATTTTTAATCAAGAAAAACTAAAAATGTGCAAAATTCCTTTGACAAGTTGTTGGCAAAAAAAATTGCAATTTTTTTCGCAAAAATTGTGCAATTCGTTTCCTTATGTCAAAGGCTTTCCAAAAAGCTAAATTTTATCAAAATCTGACAAGTGGAAGTGGGTCAAAACAAAGATTTAGTTTGTTACAGGAAAAAGTAGTCATTCAGGCAGTGTGCCTGAGGACTCAGGCAGTTAGTATTAAAGCCCGGTTTTAGGCCTAAAGGGAGGGCCTTGGGTATGTAGGAAAAGTCCTTAGACCAATACTTTTTGAGTTGTGTAAAAAAAACTACAGTTGGGGTCAAATTAACCCTCCCCCCCCTTGCAGGAATAGGGTTAATCGTTTATTGTCTGTAGGTTCATATTTCTTAATATTTTATTGTCTAAAGGTTCATAATTCTTAATCTTTTATAGTCTGCAGGTTCATATTTCTTAATCCTATATTGATTGGTTGCCCTCAGTAGTTAAATAAGTTTTAAGTAGGTCTAGTTACTAACTCTATTTTTTGATAGATTTTAAAGATCCAAACGATTTGAGATAACTTGAGGAATTCCTTGAATTTTATGAATCTTTAAAATATATAAAAATTTATATTAAAAACTTTTGGTTGAATTTAACTGAAAGGTATAGTAAAATTGCAGTTTTGAATTATCTTTAGCTTTGAGGCGTTAAAAGGTTGTCTAGCTCGGGTTCAACCCTCTTTTCCTGTTATCAAATAACAAATTCATTAAGTAGTTGCCAGTGTCACTAAAATTTTCTAATCCCCATGGTTTAAACCTTTGATATTTTCAACTAATATTATTTTATCTAACTGAACTAATGGTTTGAAATATCTAAGGTTTACGATATTGGGTTGCAAAGATATAGGTATTAGAAAATCTGAATTAATGGCAAGGACTAAAACTTTCTTTATAATTATTTAGAAATGATTCTCTGATAGAAGAAAACTACTGGTATAACTGGGGAGCAGACAAAGATGAGACGGGTCTCGTCATTCTACCAAACAAAACAAGGTCTAGAGTAAATAATTTTTAGACAAATTTGTTAGAAATATTATATTGGGTTATCTCAAATCTTTAACGACTGTGATCTTGCCAATCTTCATGTGTTGCCTAAATCGTGCTGGGTTAACTCTACGCTGTGTAGCCTGACTTGACAGTATGACTGATCGAATGCATACACGTACCGTACGTGTGTACTGGCACGGATTATGCAACTGTGTGTACTGGCACGGGTTATGCAACTGTGTGTACTGGCACGGATTATGCAACTGTGTGTACTGGCACGGATTATGCAACTTTAAGACGGGGTGAACTAAAATTTTCGCTTAAGCCCCAAACTCTGTTCGCGTCTAATATGATAAAGTGCACATTTAAGTTAGATGCAACTAGCAGCGTAACAAAGTAACACATGTCATACATCATTTCTGTATGGATTATATTTGGTTTAGTCTTTGTTTTAATGTAACATGTAAAATGAAAATAATTCAAATTCTCATAAAATTCATAAAGGTATTGAATCTTTTCCACAAACTCTAATTTTCTGATCCCAATATATGTGCATCCTTGTGTCATAGACCTAAGATATATAAACTATATCAATTCTGTTGGATGAATTAAGTTTGAAATTTAAAAGGTTTACAACATCATGTTGCAAAGATATATGGATTAAAACATTTGAATTAGAAGCAAATACTAAATTTGTTATTAGATGTGGTGTGAAGAAGGCAGATTATCCATCTATTGACGAGAAATGTTATTGCTTTGAAAGAGATGCTCAAGGTGTAAAAAATGGGTTCTGGCATAAAATGGAGGTTTTATCTATGCCCTGGCATCCTGATCTATTTTGGCCAAATACAACACTGTTTAAGCAGCGTAAAATCGAGCTTGAAAGAGAACTGGATGAGATGTACTTGAACAGTACAGTTATTCATGAAAGGGGCTATGTACGAAGTATTGTTATCAAGTTTAAACAAGGAAAGTACGTTCTTAAACATCAAACCTCAACAACAACCACGACGACAACTACGTCAACAACAACGACGACAATACAGCTGCGAGGAAGACGATCTGTGCCAGATGACGAGAGGGATTATATACTGGACGGAACGCGAACATGGCGAGAAGATAAAAAGTATTTCATCGGAGCTGCGGGATATTGGCCATACGGGGAGGACGAGTACAGTACTCAGGCCTGGGTAGAGCATCAGTTCTATGGGGTAAAAAATATCATTTTTTCATAAAGTCTTCTACATACACACTTTACTTAGTTACAGACTTTGCTTGAATTGATCTGGACTTTCCTTAATCGATTTAATTTCCGACTTTTCTTTCTGCTTTATCCAAGGACTTTTCTTTACTTGATTTTATTTCAGGTTTTCTTTTCTTGACTTAATTTCAGGGTTTTTCTTACTTGATTTAATTTCAGATTTTTCTAATTAATGGACATAACTTAGACTTTTCTCTCATTGACATAATTTTAGACTTTTCTCTACTTTACATAGTTTTAGACTCTTCTTTACTTGACATAAGTTTAGACTTTTCTCTCATTGACATAAGTTTAGACTTTTCTCAACTTGGCATAAGTTTAGACTTTTCTCTCATTGACATAAGTTTAGACTTTTCTCTACTTTACATAAGTTTAGACTTTTCTCTCATTGAAATAAGTTTAGACTTTTCTCTACTTTACATAATTTTAGACTTTTCTCTCATTCACATAATTTTATACTTTTCTCTACTTTACTTAAGTTTAGACTTTTCTCTCATTCACATAATTTTAGACTTTTCTCTCATTGACATAATTTTTGACTTTTCTATCTTTGACTTAATTTCAGGACTTCTCCGTGCTTGACTTTGACAATGTTGATTTTGAAGAAGAGCATTTAACCCTGCTCGAGGAGAGGAATGGTCAATGGTTGGATTCTACTGGAAACTTGTCTCTCTGGTTAAGCCAGGGCTGCTATCTATCAGAGAAATGTCACATCGAGAGTGAGTTAAACCTCGCGATATTTTATGAATACTTTGCGTGTCCGTCTTTTTGTTTGTGTCCAATAAATGTCAAAATGGTTGAAATGATCCGGTCCAAATTTTTTTTGGCAACTCACATGATTACATGACTCCAGAAAAGGATTGTGGACATTCAAGTTGAACAGTTTTGCCGACGATCATTATTTTTAGATATTCACCAAACTAATGTAACCAGTGTGAGCTAAATTGCTTGGTATAAGGATAGTTCCACTGATGCAACCCCACTCAGTTCTCATACAGGGTGTCCCACGAAACATGACAATAGGAAGACGACTTGAAAGTCGTCTTTGGTATTTGAATTTATTTGTGACATTTAGTCTTCTATCTACTTTAACATGTATGATTCTTGAAACAATTATCACATAATTCTCCTAGCCCTGGCATCCACAAAGTGGTCTGCTTTTTGTGCTTTCAATATTACCTGAGATATAAAGAGTTTGGTTCAGATTTCAATTTTGTTAAATAAAAGCAAAATTGTCGAAATCTGAACGAAATTCTTCATATCTCGGGCAATATTGAAAGCACAAAAAAGGCAGACCACATTTTGGAAATGGCAGGACAAGGGAAATTTTGTGATTATTATCTCTAGAAATTTACTTCTAAAATTAGGTTGACAAATATACGCAGCAAATTATATCCAAAAATCAAGACGACATTCAATTCGTCCTGCATACTGTCATGTTTCGTGGGACACCCTGTATGAACCTGGAGCTAAACTCAGATTGGATAGTTCCATTAATGTAAACCCCTTCAGTCCTCATACGGACCCGGAGACAAGCTCAGATTGCAAGTAGTCTGGCCTATAAACAGGACAACGTATTAGCTCTTTTGTATATAGCTATAGGTCGGACAGAAAGTGAGGCGGATGATGATTTGCTAACGTCGAGAAATATTTGTCGTTAGAAAATGCTAACCCAGAAAACATGCTTTAAATGCATGTTTGAATGTGTGGAAAACCGAAGTCAAAATTGCCCTAGATCCTGGTTTAAATTCAAGCCAATAGGCATGAACCACAGCTTAGAAGGAGAAATAGGATCAGCCCGGGCTAAACCCGGAATAGAGTCAGTATTTACAAAGAGTCTGAAGACAGAAGATTAACTCGTTGTACAAGGCAAATAAAAGGCGGAGAGTCTGTCATAGAGCTCGGGCTTTCCATGATTCATTAGTATCATTTTTATTTGTTCATTTTTTACTTGTAAATACATTTTTTCCTAGATTTACTCACATCAGTTTTAAGGCTTTAGATTTCCTTTATTTCATACCACTTTTTTATGGTAATAAATAGAAGAATATCCGTCAAAATTTTTTAATATTTTAAAATTTCACTTTAGATCTTGTTGGAGACATTACGTGTTCAAGTTTAGTTATTAACAACCTACTAGCTAACTAATATTAAATCTGTGTTCAGATCTAGTTGGAGATATCACGTGCTCAAGTGTAGTTATTAACAACCTACTAGCTAACTAATATTAAACCTTTGTTTAGATCTAGTTGGAGTATCACGTGTTTAGTTATTAACAACCTACCAGCTAACTAATATTAAATCTTTGTTCAGATCTAGTTGGAGATATCACGTGTTCAAGTTTAGTTATTAACAACCTACCAGCTAACTAATATTAAACATTTGTTTAGATCTAGTTGGAGATATCACGTGTTCAAGTTTAGTTATTAACAACCTACTAGCTAACTAATATTAAATCTGTGTTCAGATCTAGTTGGAGATATCACGTGTTCAAGGGTAGTTATTAACAACCTACCAGCTAAGTAATATTAAACCTATGTTTAGATCTAGTTGGAGATATCACGTGTTTAAGTTTAGTTATTAACAACCTACCAGCTAACTAATATTAAACCTTTGTTTAGATCTAGTTGGAGATATCACGTGTTCAAGTGTAGTTATTAACAACCTACTAGCTAACTAATATTAAACCTTTGTTTAGATCTAGTTGGAGTATCACGTGTTTAGTTATTAACAACCTACCAGCTAACTAATATTAAATCTTTCCTCAGATCTAGTTGGAGATATCATGTGTTCAAGTGTAGTTATTAACAACCTACTAGCTAACTAACATTAAATCTTTGTTCAGATCTAGTTGGAGATATCACGTGTTCAAGTTTAGTTATTAACAACCTACCAGCTAACTAATATTAAACATTTGTATATATCTAGTTGGAGATTACACGTGTTCAAGTGTAGTTATTAACAACCTACTAGCTAACTAACATTAAAACTTTGTTTAGATCTAGTTGGAGATATCACGTGTTCAAGTGTAGTTATTAACAACCCACCAGCTAACTAATATTAAACCTTTGTTTAGATCTAGTTGGAGATATCACGTGTTCAAGTGTAGTTATTAACAACCTACCAGCTGGTCTAACCAATACTAAACCTACGAAGATGGTTCCAGTATCTAAGGAGGACCCGAATAAGGAAGAGGAGTACCGTGTCCCCGTAGGAGGGGAGGTCAGATATTAGATAATCCTTACACGTCGGAAGAATTTTAAAATATGTCGTCTTGCAGATTTTTACCGAGGTTTGCCGCTGAGAATTATATAATATGGAGGATTTTATTTGTAAATTAGCTCTCAACTATATGAAGCTGTTTGATAACATATTTCACGTATTTCAGGGATATTTATTTATCCTGACTAAAACAAATTTAGAAAAGTGTAGCTGCGATCGGAAAACTTTGACAGCTCGGGAAAATACAATTGACAAATTCTTTAAGACGACATTACATACTTTCTTTCGATGTCTTCTTATAAATGTGTTTAACTGTATATATATAATATGTATGACGTATGTCACATTTTTCTACGTTTACAATGTGCGTTCTTGACAATGTGTTCATAATAGTGCGTCCTAAATTTGTGGTCTTAAAAGTCATTATATAGAGATGCGTCTTTGATGTGCAACCTTGTTAATTTTATTATGCGCCCTCAAAATAAGCCTAGTCTCAATATTGTGTCAGGCGTCTTCGTTTACAACAGATGATTAAATTAAATGTTACAAGATTCAAATTTTTTTGTAATGATTATATATTTTTAATTGTTAGGTGAGTATAAAATGTAAGGAATATTACCAGAAGATAACCCTGGATAAATGGGATAATGATCCGAATGATATGCTGATGACAGTGAAATGTTTACCAAACTTCAAGTTTGATCTGCCCTCGGATGAATTCCCAAAGGTGAAATTCAAAAAGACGTGATTTTGTTTAATTTCAAATTTTTAATACAACTAATGAATTGTCTAGTGTCGAAGTTATTGTCCAGCTCCTCGAAGATTATGGAATGAATCAAATATGGCGAATGATATTCTCCCGTTACAAATGATCTACACCCTGGACTCCTCCGTGCAGATGAAGAAGGCTATGGACCCTGAAGTCGGATACAGGTACGTGAGAGTGAGTCATTATTACAGTTACACCTTTTGATTCGGAACCAATAGAAATTGCAACGGCGGTAACGTTTATCTATCTTTCTAGCTATCTATCTCACCATTCAATTTGTCCTAAAATCAGTGCAGAACACTAGTCGGTTGATCGGACAATTTTATAAATTAGAATGCATACACATATATATAGTATGTACGTGCACGTGTATGTATGTAGCATTAAATATTCCGATTAAGAGTTGAATCGATTTAAATCAGCAAACGAAATAAGTCTTTGCCACAAACTCAAATATTCTAATGCATATTTCTTTGCAACCTGATTATGTAAAACTTTGTTATTTCAAATTTAAACTTGATCTGACAGAATTGATAGTTTGAAATATATAAGGTCTACGACAAAGGATTTCAAAGATATACGAATTAGACAATCAGAATTTGTGGCAACGACTTAATTTCAAAATGTCTTAAGCTTTTTTAATTAAAAGAAGAAAATGATTTATTATTAGGAAGCTGCAGGCCCCCCTTTACTCCGGGTTGGATATCAACGTAAACAAGTCTGATCTTGATACAGAAATATGGGAGGGGGACAAGGTACAGAAAAATATTAAAGGTTTCTTCTTACATCTCCAACTATTTCAGGAACTGTTGGCTTAATTTTCTACTTTCATGGAAAGATTGCAAGTCCCGATTCACAACAGCTAACAGTACTCTTTGTCTGATCAAGTGTGAATAAGATATCAATGTTTATGATTTTGGCAAAAAATAACTTTCAATGCGGTTTCTCTCTCAAAAAAAACAAAAAAAAACAGGTGCATTCTAATAATTAAAAGCATAAAAAATTTATCCTAATTAAACGCTTTTAAAACTAGAAAAACTATTGAAATCACGCTATTAATCAACACGCAGAATTTACATCTTTTAATCAACACGCAGAATTTACATCTATTAATCAACACGCAGAATTTACATCTTTTAATCAACATGCAGAAGTTACATCTATTAATCAACACTCAGAATTTACATCTGTTAATCAACACGCAGAATTTACATCTTTTAATCAACATGCATAATTTACATCTATTAATTAACATGCAGAATTTACATCTATTAATCAATATGCAGAATTTACATCTATTAATCAACACGCAGAATTTACATCTATTAATCAACACGCAGAATTTACATCTATTAATCAACATGCAGAATTTACATCTATTAATCAACATGCAGAATTTACATCTATTAATCAACATGCAGAATTTATATCTATTAATCAACACGCAGCATTTACATCTATTAATCAATATGCAGAATTTACATCTATTTAACAACAGGCAGAATTTACATCTATTAATCAACATGCAGAATTTACATCTATTAATCAATATGCAAAATTTACATCTATTAATCAACAGGCAGAATTTACATCTATTAATGAACAGGCAGAATTTACATCTATTAATTAACAGGCAAAACTTACATCTATTAATCAACATGCAGAATTTACATCTATTAATCAATATGCAGAATTTACATCTATTAATCAACATGCAGAATTTACATCTATTAATCAATATGCAGAATTTACATCTATTAATCAACATGCAGAATTTACATATATTAATCAATATGCAGAATTTACATCTATTAATCAACAGGCAGAATTTACATCTATTAATCAACATGCAGAAGCTACATCTATTAATCAACAGGCAGAATTTACACCTTTTAATCAACATGCAGAATTTACATCTATTAATCAACACGCAGAATTTAAATCTAATAATCAACACGCAGAATTTACATCTATTAATCAACATGCAGAATTTACGTCTATTAATCAATATGCAAAATTTACATCTATTAATCAACACGCAGAATTTACATCT